TCCCATTTGTTTGTGAAATTTTCCTCCATCGAGTCGCTCACGAATGCGATGACGGTCTGTCTTGCTTTCTGCTTTGCACGTCGAGGTGGCATCCAATGCAATTCCTTATTAGATTAATCTCTTCGTTGCACGGAACATCAGAAACTCCGAAGAGACAAGCCTTCTTATTCTCATTACGCATGGGCGCATGGGTAGTCAAGTTCATTTCCACGTTCGGCGTGTGGTTTGCGTGTTTGTGTGTGGTGTGTCATGTCATTTCTCCGAATGATGGAGCGACGAGTTTGGACTGATGACTTTTCATGACCCCGAGGATATGCTGCTGCTTTCTTTGGACTACGCTGCAAGATAAAGCGGCCTAGCAAAGAGAATCCTTTCTTTCCTTCGGCATCTGGTTCTGTAGCACGAATTTGTTAAACCTTTAATAGATTATAGATTTTGATTTTTGCTCTAATTTTACAGCTTCGAGATTATTTTTCTGCTTTATTTTTTGTGACAGTATAGCTATCTTTGTGTTTTGTATGGCCTTCATGCGTTGGTAATGCAGTGGTATACCTCAAAAAGCGGGAGAAGTTGTGTGCTGTGAGGAAGCTTTTAAAGTTGGTGGGCCGCAACTACGACGACAGTGGTTACAGTGAGCCACTACGCGCGAGTTCCTGTGAATAAAGCCTGCTCAGTTTTGAAAAATGACAATGCAGCTTTACACGTTTGATCTTAAAGGGCCCCTGAAAAGAAAAGAAAAAGTTTTTTTCATAAAACAGTTTGGTCGGGATATGCGTGTAAAAAAAATTGAATTTGTTATTTATTTTAATATTTTTATAGCAATATTGACAGCGCGAGACGCGATATAGTCGGTAGTCACCTTCTTTCCATTTGTTTCCTCTCTCGGCATTTCAAGAGCGTAGAGGAGAGGTGAACCGGCTTCACCTTTACCTTGAGGTGGAAGAAGCGAAAGACCCTCTCGTAGAGGTCGGAAGAGCGAATGACCATTCCGTGACGTCATGGACCTTGCGCGCAGAATTACAAATAAATCTCTCGCCGTGAATATGGCTCCTAAAATTACTTTTCTTGTAAATTTAATTTTTTGACACGTGTGTCTCAACCAGACTGTTTAAAAAACATATTTTTTTTCTTTTCAGGGGCCCTTTAACAGAGCTTCCCTAATCGCCTGTACCGCCGAGCTCACCCTGCGTCATTGGGGGGGGGGGAGAGAGAGAGAGAGAGAGAGAGAGAGAGAGAGAGAGAGAGAGAGAGAGAGAGAGAGAGAGAGAGAGAGTATGTTGTTGAACCCCTCCCGAAAAAAAATCGTGGCTACGCCACTGCCCATAAGCCCTGCCCTGGCTACACCCGTGTTACTAGCTTACGTCTAGTCTTGCTCCTGAACTGGGGGGCAGGCAAACTAGCAAGCAGCATTCTCACTTCTTTTTTCTAGACCTCGCCGTGCCATCCTGAGTATTTTTTTTATTCGCGACTCCAGCAAAACGGACGCCGCCAAGCGGGAAAACCGGGAACCAGCCGGTCCAGGTTGCTCCGCGCCCCTCCGCGTCTCTGGTGGCTTTCACGGAGACGTGTTGTCGGCGCGGTGGCGAACAATGTAATTTGACGAAGGTCCGAATATTTTTTAAGTTTGCCTGAGTGATCATTAGTGTGGTGAAGCCTCAGTAAATTGTTTTTTTCTATTACGTGTTTGAAAGCCCGTTTACTCCACAGCACACGGTCGCGTGCTTTCGATTTCTTGGATGGGGAGGAATCATGGAAAAACTTTTTGATTTCTTGTCTGTCTCGAATCACATTCAAAGTGACGACTGCTTGGTAACTGATACTGGAGGGAACATCAATGTTGCAGTCAAGTGAATGGGAAGGTTCGATTGCTGCTTTTCTTGAGTTTGGTTGTGTTCAATTAGCTTAAAGTTTGAGCCACCCACGCCGGTCGGTGCGTTGGCTATTCATCTTGGCTGCTTTTCGTCGAAAAAGCCTCTGGACCACACTGAAGGAGTTGGGCTGATTTTGCAATTACTTGATTCAGGAAAACTTGCTCGCTGCAAATGATGAATGAGGGAAATTATCTGTTTTCAAAAGGTGGGAGACAAGTCTCGCAATGTTAGATGCTGCCACGGCATTTTGACCTATAGCGCTTCCAATATTTATATTACCAGGACGTCGTAGCCAGCAGTAATATACGTCTACATTGATCAGGTTGACCGGCCACAAAAAAATACTAATTTTCTCCGTTCAGGATTCGAGGCAAAGTTCAATGTAGAGAGGTTCTGCGTGGATCTTCAATGAAGACTCTCTTCAGTTTGTCTCCGTGCTGCCGGCTATAGAACCATTTGGCTACATTTAAGTAGTATGTCTTCGTCTGTCAAATATACTTTTATTCAGCAGCTCACCTAATAGCTAGTCAACTAAGCTCATATTTCAACCCGAAGGATATACTAATATCACTTTAGTGGGACCATAGTACGTAATATAATACATAACCCGCTTGTCAAAATGACTTCTCGATTGCTACTAAAACCTGAATTGAAATACGAGTATCAGCTGCTTAGTGGGGCGCCGGCGGGTTAACATGGTCCTTGGCTCAAAAAGCGGTTGCTTAATTTTCGTAATTTTCCTGCAGCCTGTGTTGATGGCCGAGCAGACGACTGGAGCTGTTTCGTAAACGCGGATGCGCACAAAAGCTTGATCCCGCGGACAGATAAGTTGCACGGTCGAGGCATGCTAGTTAGCTGAAAAGTTACTATCTGTGGAACAATTCTATAGTCATCGCCGCTTTCCTTAGATGATCAAAACTGATTAGTACATTACCGTCTCTCCGGAGCCCATAGTTTCGGTTTTGAACGAAATCTCCGAAACGAAAGTTTGACACGAAAAGAACAAAAAAACACCGGCAAAACAAAACTATGCTTTGCAAGTTTATCTGCACCGGCTACACTTCACCGTCTCAGTTCAAATACCTATAAAATTGGGCATTAAACAAAAGAAAATCTGTTAAATTGAACGCGCCACCCATTCAGGCGGCCCGGCCGAGCCGCCACGACTGGAACTCAGCCGCCATGTTTGTTTGGTGGTGGCGCCCCCTATAGGTCGCTGGAGTTGCGAATTGGCCGCAGGGGGTGGTATTTAGCTAGTTTGCCCCCCCCCCCCCCCCCTCACACACACACACACACACACACACACACACACACACACACACACACACACACACACACACACACACACACACACACACACACACACACACACACACACACACACACACACACACACACACACACACACACACACACACACACACAAAGAAAACATAAATAAAAAAAGATAGTTACAGGTGGAGGCAATTGAGTTACTGATGATTGTAATGTGTAGTGACATCTCCCGATAGGCACAGCGCTCGCTGCTCTGATTAGGAAATGGTGCAACACTTCACAACCGCTCTTAACTCTGTTGCCTCTGAACAGGTCCGCTATTGTCCCTGGCAAGTTTGTTTTAGAGCGCAGCTCTTAGGGGCCCGTTTCCAGCCTGAGCGGCGTCAACGTAACCGGGGGGGGGGGGGGTGGGGTCACGTGACCCCCCCCCCCCCCCCCCCCCCCCCGAGGTCACGTGATCCCCCCGAGGTCACGTGACCCCCCCCTCCCCCGGGGTCACGTGACTACCCGCAGGTGACGTGACCCCCCTCAGTACCCTTCCCTACTCCTCCTCAAGAGCTGCGCTCCAATTCGGCGTTACAGGGATTTGTAAATGGCTTTCATTTTTTCTCTTGGTTCACAGGAAGGGAGCTACGCGTTAAAATTTAACAAGGTAAAATCAACCACTCAACCAAATCAACCACTCAACCACTCAATCAATCAACCAAATTTTCTGGCTCGTTCGAAAGCGCAGGGGTCTATTCTGACCAACCTGCGGACTAGCTCTTATCGAATGACAATGAAATTATTTTTCTTTTTTCAGGTGTGCGACCTTCATTTCACAGAAAACGACATCCTCCGGGAGACATCTTACACCGATGTTGCTACAGGGCGTGTGCTGACTGCACGCTTGGCCTACCCCCGCCTTCGCCCAGAAGCAGTTCCATCAAAGTTCCCAGACTCCGGACAATGCCGCGTAAGGGAACAGCGTCTTTCGTCAAAGACTTCAAGGGACCACCCGAATGCTGCTGCAAAGGAAGGAAGAATCGCCGAAACCATCGAGGCTGTGGTTGAGATGTTTCGCAGTGAGGAGGAGACAGACAGAAGGCGACTGCGTCCAAGGCAGAACCTGAACGCTGATGGGAAGCGGAAAGCGACGGCTGGGTCTGTTGAGACTGCCCTCGAGACGTCTAGCAGCTGGGAAGACACAGATAGGGAAGGTGGCACCAAGGACCCCGACACGGGGCGGACGCATTCGAGGCGAAGGCGTCCAAGGCGAAAGCGTCCCAGGCAAGTCAGTTCAGATTCTGATTACGTGCAGATGGCAATTGCGGAATCCATTGACGCATTTAGCAGTGAGGAAGAAGCAGACAAGGTGCACAGCGTAAAAGGCTCAGGCAGAAGACGAAAGCGTCCAAGGCGGAGTCCATGCTCGGATGACATCCAAAGGGTGATTGCCGAGTCCATTGAGACAGTCTACAGCGAGGATGAAGCAGACGAAATCCTCAATCTTAAAGATCTAGCTGACTATGCAAGAAATCAACAGTATTCCACATTCTGGCACGCTGTTGAAGGCAGTAAACGTCTCATTTTGGTGCACATTGTCGAGGATGAAGCACCTTGGATCAAGTACTCTGTTGTCCTGAAAGCTGACCTTACTCTTACTTGCTATGTCGCAAAGACGCCGGTCACAAAGCTGGGATCCAGTCTCTGCATTCCGACCGCTGTAAAGAGCAAGAGGGCATTGAAGGAGCTCCTTGAGAGCATTGAAAACTGGGACAGCAGCCTCAGCTCCACGTCTGAAAGTTTGGACGAAGACATCAGCGAGACTGTTTGTCTGCTGCCTGGCAAGTCGACTGCAACACCGACAGAGGACAAGGCCGCTGCCATCCAGTTTCTGAGGGAGCAGTTTAACCTACTGTCAATGAAGAAAGATCAAAGGCGTTACTCAGCTGACCTTATGGTGTTCTCCTGCATTCTCTTCACAATATCCCCTCATGCATACAAGTACATCTGCAACTCCGGCAACGTTAGTCTGCCTCACCCTATGATCATCAGGTCGGTATGCCTGTCCTTCGGGATGAATTCCCAACCTCTGCAACAAAATGCAACATTCCTCAGATATGTGGCAAACAGGATTTCTGATCTGGACTATAGACAACGCCTTGTGACCATCATGGTAGATGAGATCCACATCGGGCCTTTCTTCGATTACAAAGGAGGCAGCACTACTGATGTAGCACCCAACTCCACGGAAGTGGCCGGTAGCGTGCTTGTTTTTACTGTGCAAAGCCTCACGTGCCAATTCAAGGAAGTTGCGCATGTCGTCCCCATGCAGCGGGCTGATGCTCAGTTTCTGCACAAGTTACTGAGTGACGTGATTTGTGGGCTGGAGAAAATTGGGTACAGGGTTGCATGTGTCGTAAGCGATGGCAGCTCGGTCAACAAAGAGGCTATGTCACACTTCACGTCACCGCCAACTGAAGGAATTGTCTATCCACACCCGTCTGACCCTGCAAGACCGCTTTTTTTTGTGATAGACCCTGTGAACATACTCAAGTGCATTCGTAACAGCTGGCTCGACCAAAGCAACGACCTACTTTGCTTCTACTTTCCCGAGTTCCACGCCGAGCCGACACGTGCACGGCGTATGCTGTCTGGATCTTTTGCAACCATCAGAGATGCATACAACTTGGAGCGCCACCAACTCGTGAGGTACGGCTACAGTCTATCAAGAGAAGCCCTGTGCCCCATGAACGCTGAAAGGGAGAATGTGAAGCTGGCTTTGCAGATATTCAACGACTCGCTCCCCCAGGTTCTTCGCACCCTCGGAGCAAAGCACAACCTGCGGTTTTTTGAAGAGACCGCGAGGTTCATCGAGATCATAGTGAAGTGGTGGAAAATAGTGAATGTCAAAGCTCCGTACAAAGAAAAGACATCAGGAGACCAGTTCCAAGAACCACTGTTTCCTTCGGTGGACGATCCCAAGGTGGACTTCCTCTACAGGCTCCTGGACTGGCTGGACGAGTGGAAGGGCAAGGACCTTGACAGTGGGACGCTGACCAGCGAGACCCATGCTGCTCTCCAGCACACGACTCATGCATTGGTGGAGGTCGCCAGGTACTGCTTCACCGAGCTCAAGCTGTCCCGCATCCTTCTGGGGAAGATTCAGACCGACAACTTGGAAGAGCGCTTTGGGAACTCCAAGCACCTGGCCGGCCCCCAATATCACAACTCCATAAGACAGCTTCATGAAGGTGAAGGTGAATTACAGCCACAAGACAGTCTGCCGACGGTCGCTGCAGCCTGCGAAACAGAAAATGACGAAGATGAACAATGGGAAGACCTCCACAAACGAGAACACACGTTCCGTCCCGGCTATGCCGTAGGGGTGACCGGAGAGGCTTTGTTAAAGTTGGAAGACACCCTCCCGGCTCTTGTCTACGTGGCTGGATATGCAGTCCACGCCACCCTGGAAAGGCTGAACTGCGTAAAGTGCAGACCAGTATTGTCGGTAAACAAGGCGATCAACATCTCTGTTGCTCAGCGACACTTCAAACTTGTCAAGGAACTGGAGGGAAGGGGGCTTCTTTTTCCAACGATGTTTGCCATAAATGCTGTTGCGTACAGCTATGTTGTGGCTCAGCAACTGTCCAAGCAGGCCGAGTCCTCGAAGGTTCCAAACCCGCGCCAGCTCGTCGCAGATCTCACTGTGGAGCTCCTGACCAACGAGGGGTCTTCCGAGTTCGATGTTTGTGAAGACGGACATACGAGCGAGCTCGTGCTGAGGCATGTGTTGTGGTGCAGCACAAACGTGTTGTTGAAAAACTTTTTCTGCAGGATGAACAACGAAACAGTTGCAAACGCTAAATCATGCTAAAGCAAGTCGAGCACTACATATGTGGACCACGTCACAAATCATTGGAGTAACTATACTTATGTGTTAATATTCATCTCCTTAGTTCAACAAAAAGAAAATTGTACTTCATCGAGACAGACCTGTAAATGTTTTTTACTCTTAATACTTTTTCTACCACACAATCTAAACTATTTTTTTAGAGCGGAGCTCTTAGGCGCCCGTTTCCGGCTTGAGCGGCGTCGCCGTCGCCGTCGGCGTAACCGCGCGGTGCATTATGGGTAAATTTATCCGCTAAATCTAGCGGAAAAATTTCCCCGCTAAATGTAGCGGAAAAATTTCCCCGCTAAATCTAGCGGAAAAATCTCCCTGCTAAATCTAGCGGAAAAATTTCCCCGCTACATCTAGCGGAAAAATTTCCCCGCTAAATCTAGCGGAAAAGTTTCCCCGCTAAATCTAGCGGAAAAATTTCCCCCCTAAATCTAGCGGAAAAATTTCCCCGCTAAATTTAGCGGAAAAATTTCCCCCCTATATCTAGCGGAAAAATTTCCCCGCTACATCTAGCGGAAAAATTTCCCTGCTAAATCTAGCGAAAAAGTTTCCCCGCTAAATCTAGCGGAAAAATTTCCCCCTATATCTAGCGGAAAAATTTCCCCCTAAATCTAGCGGAAAAATTTTCCCGCTAAATTTAGTGGAAAAATTTTCCCGCTAAATCTAGCAGAAAAATTTCCCCGCTAAATTTAGCAGAAAAATTTCCCCGCTAAATCTAGCAGAAAAATTTCCCCCCTAGATCTAGCGGAAAATTTTCCCCGCTAAATCTAGCGGAAAAAATTTCCCTGCTAAATCTAGCGGAAAAACTTCCCCGCTACACCTAGCGGAAAAATTTCCCCGCTAAATCTAGCGGAAAAATTTCCCCCCTAAATCTAGCGGAAAAATTTCCCCGCTAAATTTAGCGGAAAAATTTCCCCCTATATCTGGCGGAAAAATGTCCCCCTAAATCTAGCAGAAAAATTTTCCTGCTAAATTTAGCGGAAAACTTTTCCCGCTATATCTAGCAGAAAAATTTCCCCGCTAAATTTAGCAGAAAAATTTCCCCGCTAAATCTAGCAGAAAAATTTCCCCGCTAGATCTAGCGGAAAATTTTCCCCGCTAAATCTAGCGGAAAAAATTTCCCTGCTAAATCTAGCGGAAAAGCCTCCCCGCTAAACCTAGCGGAAAAATTTCCCTGCTAAATTTAGCGGAAAGTTTTCCTCGCTAAATTTAGCGGAAATATTTCCCCACTAAATCTAGCGGGGAAATTTTGGTCATGTGACTTGGGGAGTCACGTGACCCCTCCCCCGAGGTCACGTGACACCCCAGGTCACGTGACCCCTCCCGAGGTCACGTGACACCCCCAGGTCACATGACACCTCCCGAGCTCACGTGACCTCGGGGGGGGGGGGGGGGGGGGCACGTGACTCCCCCCTTTACGTGGACCCCCCTCCCCCGAGGTCACGTGACCCCAACAAGGTCACGTGCCCTGGGGGGGGGGTCACGTGACCCCCCCGAGAAACCGTGGCCCTCAGTACGCTTCCCCCCTCCTCCTCAAGAGCTGCGCTCCAATTCGGCGTTGCAGGGAGTGGTAAACGGCTTTCAGTTTTTTTTTTGTATAGATATGGGCGGTAGCTTTGTTGATGTGCAAAGCCCGCTCTCGGAAATTCTGTTACACTCAAAACTTGCGAAACAGTTGTATGCCATTACTATATGCATGTGAAATGTTGGAACAGCAACCCCACTGTGAAATACTGTCAAAGACAAGTTTGTGTTTCAACCCTAAAAAATAAGGTGCCTTATTTCCTATGGGTGTTTTCTACTTCGCTGTAAGAGAAAAAATATACATATTTCAGTGTGTCGTTTTTCTAGAAAATAGTAAAAAGTGTTCATGCTTGAATATTTTTTTTTTTATTGCTGGTAACTGAGATGTGAGTAGATACCTTCATCACCTTTAAATTTTAGTTTCTATATTTGGCATCAACTTTTTTTGTGCCAGGTTGTCAAAGCAAGCCTAGTTTGCACACTGCTGCATGGGCAAATGGCTTTATCACATGGCACAATGTTGATGCTAAATATAGCTATGTCTACTGGTGGCAGCTAAAAACAACTGATGTCATCATTTCTTGATGGGTTGCTGGGGTGAATGGTTCTTTAGAACTGTGGTGTTAAAAATTTGACATGCTCAAGTATAGTAGTTGGTTAAAGGGATTATGAAACATTAATTTGTTTTTAAGATACTGAGAAACATACTAAATATTTTCCTCAATTTCGTTACATTCAGAGAAACAAACCGTGTGCATTGAGTGAGGCTTCCCATAAACTGAATGATTTTTTTTTGTTTTTTTCCAAGAGCTGTTTTTGTCTTGAAGAGCATTCCCCATGAGTAGGGCAGCAGAAAAGGACTGTCGCAGTTGTCTGCCATTTCAGAACTCGTTTATTTTTCGGTTGGTGATGACAATACATACAAGATCAGGGGCCCTAAACTCGTGAAACACAAAGTTGGAGCCAAAAGTTTGCGGGACGCGCCGATTGGACGTCGGCGAAAAAAGTGCGAAGTCATCGTTGTGATAGGCCAATCGGTGCACTCCATCAACTTCGGCCCCAACTTTGTGCTTGACGAGTTTAGCGACCCAGGTGGGCCATGCGTAGGGAGGCACTGTTAAAAAAGATAATCAATATACGCATCCCACCAAATCCCCGAAAAAGTTACAATTAACATATCAGTTAATTTTTGTCCATGGAACACAATTCAGTACAATTCACAGTTCAAAACAACTAGATTTAGTTTACGGTTCAAAAACAAATCAGTTCGCAAGGTTCACTCTTAGGGCTAGTGATAGAGTCTGACACGATCGGTTCTTAAGCCGCCTGTGACTGCCCAGGACAAGCCGTGCAGCAGCAATGGCAGTGATTAAAAACCGGTCGTGTTGGAGTCGGCTGCAGAAGCGTGGACCAGCCTTGGCTCTTCAGATTCCCTAAACCAGGGGTCTCAAACACGCGGCCCGCGACTCGCTGGGACGTGGCTGACTGGCAACCTGCTACGGGTCCCTGTTCACGTCTCAAGCGCCAGAAATGGCATATGCCATTGTAATCTCATCTCGTCGATTCTTTTTCGCTCGAAAAGCATCTCTGCTATTTTAACGTATTCAGGTAGTTTATACTTATGTGTGTTCATTCTACCTTTGTTTCGCTTTATTTCTTGCTTCCCAGCTTTTTCTAATGTACAACAATTTTGCTACTAGGCTGCAAGTGCGAGCTATTCGTTGAAGGATGCATTTCGGCTGCACAAACTCTCTATCAGCAGGAGCAACTGCCAGAGATAAAGCTACGAGCTTGGGATTCTCTCCTACAAAAACAATCGCCAATCCCGACTGTTTTTTTTTAGACATATTGCACTTCGTTAATCCTTGCGTGAATTCAGCAGCGGGAACAACAGTGTAGTTGTTCTCTTGCAACATTCAAAATGCCAGCACGTTGGCGTTGCGGTCTCATTTTAGTTCATGTTATCACACCAGGTCAAGGCCCAAAGTAGTCGTATAATCAAATCTAAAGATGTCACTGGCAAAACTGAGTTTGCAAAAAACACAGAGCCCCCCACGAGGTCCTTTCTCATTCAAATCTTTTAACCCCCCCCGCCCCCGTCTTACGTTGGCTCTTGTTCTTTCCGGCGTGGGCTATTTAGCCCCCACTAAAATGGGTTTGAGACCACTGCCCTAAACCGTGCTGGTTGTTTCCTGGGGTGCCAAGAATGTCGAAGCCAGCTCTCGGCTTGCTGCACTCAACACCTGGTTGCGTCTGCTCGCTGGTTGGAGTGGCTCTTTGGTCAGAACTGGCTACACGTCTGCACCTTCGGCCAGGTCCTTGGGAGAACCGATCATGCCGCAGCGACCTGGAAAGGCTCCCTGGACGAAGCCGGCTACACGCCGGCACTCTCACACTGGAGGGAATCCAGGCTGTGCCGTTTCAAAAGGAAAAATCCTCGCAGCAGTCGGAAGTGCAGACTTCAAACGCTCCAGTTCCACGCACAACCGTTGCGCAGTCTGCGTCTCGGTGCCGACGACTGTTAAGGGACGCTCGTGGCGCCCTTACCCGGATGCTTGGCACAGGGAGGTCGTCGAGCTACTTGCGAGGTGTTGGTCGACGAAAGGAACATAGCATCTAATCGTCGTTACTTCGCGAACCTCCCTCTCGGCATGGCGGTCGATTGTCAGGCTTACAATTTTGGGGCGCTGGGTTTGATTTCCCAACGTTCGGAATTTTGCTCCCCTCTCAATTTATTGCCCGTCGCTTTCCCACGCATTGGTTTCACGTTGGAGACCAGAAATTTCGGGGGGGCCACCGATGGAAATACTCCCGCATTGAAGGTTGCCTGCTATCCTAAGGCATCTGTTGATAAAGGTGGTCTGCTTAGGCTGGTTTGCACATACATGTTTGAGCGCGATTTCTTATGATAAGGGAACGCACTGGCGCTGTTTGTCGGGTAACCCTGGAACGGATCCAACCCGCATATATTTTGTGCATCATACTGTCGGCTTGTCTGAAATAATTGCGATGTTATAAGCGACCATTTCGCCCGCGTTTCCTCCGTCACATCTGTTGTGTGCTACAACTGGTCCTGTACATACTGCCCCCGACGTCCCTCGCGGCGCTGTGGAGGCCGCTGCATCTTTTCCAACAGGTCTCGAGCATTGTGGTGACTGAAACACCGTTTTCGTGCACCGGAGGCTCAATTTTTGCCCCAGTTGTACCTAGGAGCAGCTCTGTGTGCAGTGCTGGATTTGTTGCATGCAACATGCGAAGAATGCAGAAGTGCACTTGTAAAGACAAATTTGTGAGATGCGTTGCATACCGAGATTGGCTTTCGAAGAGTCGTTGCAAGTAAATGCAGGAAAATGACATTTGTACAATTACCTCAAAGAATCGTGCCCCTTTTTAGCAATCTCTGTCAATACTTTTAATTATGTCATAGTATAATACTGTTAAACAGTTAAATGTGCATCTAAAAACTTAATTTTGCCAGAAAAGACTGGCTTCGACGCCCACTTTTTGCAATCCCGTACTCGTGCCGAACACGCGCAAGATATCCGATTCAGCAAAAGTTTGGCCCATCACTAGATTGTGTACACATTTTGGAGAAAGTGAGAGAAACTTACCTGCAAAGAGCTGCCTACCATGTTTACCCATTACGGTAGATGGTGGGACATTTTTTTACAGACGACTGAAAGCAGTGCTTTTTTGGTCGCGCTGCAGAGCTTTGTCCCCCCGCAGCAGGTTCAAAAAAGCGAGCTCTTTTCACCAAGCTTTCCCCTCCCTCCACTTCAGCAGAGCTAATGCTTGAGAGGAGAAAACCACCAATCGTGGCAACCATAGAGCTTTGTGGGAGGGGCTTGTTCCAGGGGTTTCCCCAGGAATTAGAATTGGGAGGGAGGGTGGGTGTACATTGAGAATAGAGGAGTCTTTGCAAATTAGAAGGGGGTGTGTAGCGAAATCACTAGCTTGTCCCACTTTTCTGAACTTGTCACAGACTGCTGGTAACAAAGAAAGGATGAAGTAGACCGCTGTGCCAACCCCAGAGCACCTCAAAGCCGGCGATTCCGTCGTTCAGGCATGGGGGGTCCCCGGACAAGTGGAAAAACGTTTCTTTCATGGAAGGAAATGTACATGAGAAGTACCACCGCAGTCAAGTCGCACGAGCAGCGCAAATATTCGACCAATGCGCTGAACCCAAGGTCGTACCGTCTCGCTGAAACCGTGAAAGGTGGACCGAAAAAGAACCGAGCTGGCAAGCTCGGTGTGACGAAGGTAAACCGGGAGATGAAAGGTTTCCTACCAACTCGGTAATGGGAATTATAACATCAACTCGAGCGAAAGGTCTCTTCGAGTTAACCATCGGTTTAGAATTTAACAACATACTATGAACGACTTATCATTTTTGCTAGGGCCAATTTATTGCAAATTTTGCTATTTGCAAAAAAATTGCGAAAAATTAATTGCGCAAATATGCCGGCTTACGGTAATGAGCACAAAACATATTGCTGTAAATTGTGCAGTTTTGTGCCCGCGAAACATTCCCGTAGTCTGCACTTCGCAAAATGTTGAGACTGCAAAAACAAAGGTCTTTACGGTAATCCAAATCTCTATGCTTTCCAATAGCTTTTAAGGGTGAGAACGACGGAGGAATGGAATGTTTTGGGTGACAACGTTTTTGTTGCAATGAATAGTGGCGAGATTTTTCAAATCGTGCTTTTGTACTTGGACAGCGTTAGTGGGGAAAGTCTCAAGGACATTTCTGTGTAGCCAGGAGCAGCACTCGAACTAGTAACGACTACATTTGTGATGACAATTGTTGTATGGCTTTATTTTTTTTTTCTTCCAAGATGAACACTCCTGAGCATCGTAAATAAATAAACGTAATGCTGTCAGCACTGTAAATAAATAAATTAACAAACGAAACACCGATCCAGTCGGCGGGACACGGCCAAAAAGACGCTCGTCCAGAGAGCCGATATGTTTGGAGGAAACAATTGACCATGGATTCAGAAACAAAGCTTGGTCTGCCAGCAAACTTCCAGGAATATCCTCCACAATATACACACACAGCAGTAACACACACGAAAAGAAATGTGCATTTGCAAACTGGGGGCTATAGGCAACAACACATTGCACCTGTCCACCCTAAGGTCCCATTGTCCACTCATGCATGGCAAAAAAAGAAAAGTGCAGAAATAGACAAGTCAACGAAATGTACACACAAGGTGCTGTCTTGCAACAAAGTTTAATAGAAATAAACACAAACCTGCAAAAACAAGCATACTACTATTCTAATGTTACAAACCAATCGCTTCACACTGACTGAGATATGCTATCTCACTTTCGTGCAGTGCAAATGGCGGGGAATCGATTCACAGACCCATCAATTGTTCAACATCAACTGGACTGTCTAAAAGTGAGATAGCCTATATAAGACAGTGTGAAGCCATTGGTTCATAACATTGGTGTGGCTGTGCATTTGCGTTTGACTTCATGTTACTTTTTTTTTTTTTTCTATTCAATTGAGTTGTAAATTAGTCCTTGGTATTTTTGTTCCTTCGACCATTTTTGCACTCTTCATTTCGCCAGGTACACCCCCTTGCTACCTGTGGGACGTCGTATTGGTGCCCAGCGTTTGGCGGTTGCACACTCCCTTGCATCCTTTCACAAGGTATAGACTAGCAGGAGTTCCCTCCTTTGGGAGACCGTCCTTTGAATGCCAAGCTGATGCACTTCCTGTATGGCTGACATGCAGCAGACGCGCAAGCGAGAGGCCATAACGATGGACACAGGTGGATGGCAATGAAGATGACACAAAGACCCGTAAAGCGTAATGCAAACTGAACAAGTAAAAACGAGAAATCTTTTTTTAACCCTTTGACAATTGTACACGTACAACGGTGATTACACATTTCAAAGTGCCCGCCTAAACGCAAAATTATGCACACCATGGGAGGTGTTGCTCTTTGTTATGTCTTTGGTGAACTATAAACATAGTATTTGCACATTGTTTCGCATGGTTGGGCTATTGGTATTTCTGAAATCAGATGCTCTGCACGTGTAATGCTCACTTTGCATACCGATCGCTCCTTACGGTGGTGTCAATGGGAGCACTGGCTCTTCTGATGCAGACTTCCAACGCTTTTCGGACTTAAATTTAGAGGAGAGCTCGTCATCCGATGAAGAAGTTCTGCAAAGTACCTCCGGTCAGGAATTTGAAGTCCCTGGAATGTTGCAGAACCGGATGAAAGAAAGGTGACAACTTTTCGACTTCAATATTTTCATTTGTTTCTCCTAAACCTAAACAGCTTGCAAACACTGTATGTGCTCCTGCTAGAAAACAAAAAGAACCCTGTGCATCGACCCTTTTTTCTATACATACCTGTGCAAACAAAACCAGACCACTGGGAAACATCTTTCGGGAATCAATAATAATACCTAGTTAAGTTGTGTGTATGTTTTACAGCCTGAAGTAACGGGCGACTTGTTTCACTGTTAATGAGAAATTTAGCCAGTACAGTACAACCGCTGGCCTGGGGTCTTTAACGTGCACCACGCAGTAGTGGTATGCGACCGCATGCCGGTACGATATGCTCGTCCAGATCGAAACGTGCAGCGGTGGGGATTGAACCCAGGATCCCTGGGTTCTAGAACATGAGCTTTCACTCCACGCGCACCGAGCTGGTGAGCGCTAGCGCACTCGGCCACCGATCCCCCATCTTTCGGGGGGAAAAAAGAAAAGAATAGATTGTCAAAGGGTTAATAAAGCAAACACAAATCTCCAAACACAAGTTAGGTGACTGGTGCGCGACTGAAAAAATCTGCCTAGTCCTGGTATCGAACCAGGGACCTCTCCACTTCCAGTGGACTGCTACACAACACCCGTCTTTGCATCTTTGCAGTTCCAGCTTCGGCTTGCTTTTCAAGAGGCAATAACGTAACTCATTGAAACAGTAGCCAACACTCGGTGGCGTAGTTTTCTAGCGACGTTTTTCATTGTTTTGGCACGTTGATGTGGCAACTTCCAGCAACTTTCGCGAAACGATTTGTCCGCGGTCAAACATTCGTAAACAAATTCGTCGCATGAATCCACCGTGGACGAGAAGCGAGCAGCTCTCAAGTCCAGCAAAATATTGCGCAGACTTTCCCGGCGCACGTCCACCACCCGTAAAAGATCTGTCCCCGAGACATCGAGGAGAACGCGCTCAACTTTCCAAACTTTCAATTTAAAAAAAGCTTAAAAAAAGGAAAAAAAAAAAATGTTTATCTCTTGGCCATTTAAACCTTCCGTAACTTTCACGCCTCTAGAGCAGACGAGCCGGAAGCGGGACGAAATGGCGCGCCAGAGTCGGGCAGCTGGGCAAAGTCTCGGCCGACGCGCATCCACGAGATTCACAACACTCGACGGGCAGCTTGGGGCTGGTGCCATCAGCTGGCGGCCATGGGTGCCATCATGATGTCCGTCGCGGGAGTCCCCCAGAGCCGGCCGGAGGGCTGACACCAGCGCACCGCCGCCAGGCCCAGCAGCAGCAGGGCGCACGCCAGCCCCAGCACCTGGGTGGGATACGTACCCGTGGTGCAGACCGGCGCGCGGAAATGCAATGTCAGTCGAGAAAATGAAACCGCGATTTTCGGCTTAGGTGTATGTGCAGTGCGTCGCACGGAGCTGGAACTCTGTTCAAATGAGTCGCCACGGTCTCCGAGGGAACAAGAACGGCGTCCCTTCCAGTTGCCTGGCCTCCGGCACACGCTTGTTGCCTTTTGTCCTGCCTTGGCTCATATTGGAGACAGGATAACTGAAAGTTCTCCCTGTCGGTGACTGGCGGCGGTCGTGGAACGTGAAAGGAGAATGTGTCTTTGCCCGTATCGAAAAATGAAACAAAGAGACTAGATTTTGTTTTCTGCGAGCCGAAGTCCGTTGGCGGTCGTCGGTGGCATCCACGACGGCTGTGGGAATTAACCACGTCGCACCTCCTTCCTCAGGGATGTGACGACACCATTCCACCCAAATTGGGCAACCGTGCTACAGCTATTGCTCTCGTTTCTTAAAAGTACAACTTCTTTTATTTATTTTTTTACATTGAAAAAAAGGATTTCTGAATATAGCAAGAAGATATAAAAGTCCCCTCGATTAAGTATAGCTAGGCATCTCTACAGGTATAATTTTACATAAAATCCATTGTTTACTTGCCACCACAATGTAGGCATTGGACTTCTTGAGGCTACAGTTCATAAGTATCAGTAAGATTAAAATTAACTGAGCCTACAAGTGGACAAGTACAAGCTGGAAATAACAAAATTGTGGATTGCTGGGCTACCTGGTTGATTGACGCAACGAAAAAAAAACACATAAAAAAGACGAGACAGAGTTGGAGAAACACACGCACGCAGGACAAGTGCCTGTCCCGTATCTGTCTGTTTCTCTGACTTCGCCCATCCTTTTGGTGCTTTTTTTTTTTTTCGTTATGCTACGTACCACCTTCACGAGTCAGCTGGATTTCAGTTCGAGCATGGTGCAACAAAAGTGAAAGGCTCGAAGAAAGCCGCAGCACTATTCGGTTAGAAAATCTTCGGCCGAAACTGCTATTCACTTCGGATCTACTTTGAACTCAAAATCCACTATTGGCGCGTGCCTAGCCTGTAGGATTTATTTTGTTGAAAAAATAATCTTGTCAGCAAAAGGTAAACAAGATTTTTCTTTTAGCTGACAAGTTTTTTTTTTCTTTAAGTAAATTTCACAGGTACCTACAATGCCATTTCTGGATTAAACAAATAGTAATGGGCCTTGGTAGACATTGGCTCAAAGAAAAATATCATTTTTCCTGTTTTACCATTTGATCCATAGGTAACACCATGTTCTAAAACCTTTGCATTCCATCACCGCCGTTAGCACCACAATCTCAGAAAGTTTGACATTTCTGCACTGCAGTTTATTTATGCGCGCCGAAAAACAGGGTTCCATTCTCTTAATCGGACTCTGCACATCACCTCAGTTATGGATAGGGTGACCAGACATCCTGTTTTGGGCGGGACAGTCCCGTTTTAGAAGTTCATTCACATCGCCCCGTTGTTTTGGCTCGAACAAGCCTCATGTTTGTTTCATTTTTGCGGAAATGAGCAGTTGAGAAATTAGCACTAAGGGAATGTAAGAAAACCGAAAGAATGTTTATTCCCTAGAGACATCATTTTATAAAAATAAACATACTATGAAAATGTTAGTTCCCATACAGCACAATTTAAAGATTTATCCCTCATTATATCTGCCAATAAGTCTGCCAGATTTTTCTTGTAGCACTACTGAATTTGATGTGTTAGTTTGGCAACAATGAAACAGTGACGAGAATCACTTGCCTGATTACAGAACAATATGCACTTCTACGCTCAAATAAATATACTCGTTCTCACCTAAAAAAAAAGGAATTCTGGCACGCTGTTTATATGCCACACAAAGCAGTTCTTACGAGATTTGATTGTGGAAGAAGGAAGCAATGCTTTTGGAATTTTAAAGATTTATGTCTCGATGAGATAACATATATCTAATCTAAAACGCACCAACATATATCTTAATACTTTTGCACAAAGGGGGAAATTAGTAATGCTCCACGAGGAGCAGGACTTTTTTTTCTACGGTTCTTGAGATGAAAAAGGGTATGGTAACACAATGCATTTTTGTGGCACCCCTCCCCTCCCTTTACAAACTCGAGTGTCCCGTTTTCTACTTCGAGGATTGTGGCCACCCTTGTTATGGGACTTTCCATACAGGCTGCACAAGGGACGAATAGTGTGCCTGAAGGTACTCGTTTGAGGTAGTAGACGACCCATGAAGTACCGATCAAGCACCCACTCAAAGTTTAGAGATAATTGCAAGAAAGTGGAGGGTTAGGCACTTGTTAGGCCACAAATTTTATCTATATTTGTAGTGCGAATATTTTTTCTGATGTTACAACATTTAGGGATGGGCGCTTAATGTGGAATGGGCGGATGCTCGGTATATTACGGTAAGTGGAAACGTTCAGTGCCCGTCATTACTGTGACCAAGTAAAACGCGGAAAGCACCCATGTCCTCTTCGCACTAACAATTCATGTTGCGCAATGTTTGTGGGCACACATCTTTTCATTTCCATTCCATCGCTGAGTACTCGGATAGCGACTGAGGAAGAGGAGAAGACGGGAGTGCACAGGCGAGGACGGAGCACCAAGCTTTAGTTTGAACGATTAGTGGGTACACACACAAAGCTGGCTGCCTTTGTCTCTATTCTGTTCTAATGCCACATCAGAGCTCGGTGCTCTGATGCCCTTGCAAGCTTTCATCTCCTCCTTTCCTTCAGTTGCTATCTGTAAAGTCTGTCGCAAGTTAAAAAAAACAGGACAAGCCTCTCCCACAAAGCTATAGAGACAGTTTTCGTCCGTATTCGCTCGATTAATGGCCACACTTCTTACGAACAAGGCCCTTGCGTCTACTTTCCTGCAAAACACGCACACAGTCAATCGTTACGCTCTGCATAAAAAAAACGCAGCAAATAACGAGGTCGAGATGATGATTCTCTGTAAGAATGCGATCCGAGCAGATAGCATTTTTGAGCGAAGACGTCATCTCCATCCCGTAAATCGCTGCCATATTTCTGCCGATTGCGGCGATTCGCTGTTCCCATGCTCCATGGGAAAGCAAACGCACGGGCTTTGTTCATAAACACCACGGCTATTACTCGAGCAAATACGGTAGTTGGGTTGGGTGACCAAAAATAAATTCTATAAGCAATAGTACAATTTAAAAATATAGAGCCGGAAAAAAACACAAGTAGTGGCACGAATCCCTCTAAATTAGCGCTCTCCAATCGGCGAATAAAGCGGTTTTGTATTCTGCCCCAATCCAGCCATGTAAAAATTCAATGTTGCGGCCGGCACGAAAAAAACGCTCTATAGTCTTTCCACTTTAGCGGACCGAACACTAAACAGGTGAGTGGAGAGGAGGAAACCAGCGATCGCAGTGAACAAATATGGAAGGGGCTTGTTCTGCATTTTCTTAACGTGCAACAGACTACAAGAACGTTCCAAACCATCCCCTTCACCAGAGCCAAAGCAAGAGGCATAGTCACCCCGGCCACAGCGAACAGGCTGCCGCTCCGCTCTGCCACCAGGGGGCTCTGGCTGTACATGTGCCCACTGTGCAGCAGCAGCGACGATGACACCACGTGCAGCAGGCCGCATGCACCGCACGAAACTGTGTCCTGGAAGCCCGCACACACCCTTTCCCTTAGCCCTCCTGCGTGTTATTCATTCATTCAATCATTTCTTTTATTTCGCTCTATTATTTAAAGAGAAATTGAAGCGGTTTTTTGTTTGAGAAAAAACACTTGAACCATTTTCATTTGGCTTCCAAAATCACGAATATCGAAATTATTTTTCAATTTTGGTACACGGAGGCTGCAGCAAATGTTTTTTAAAGTACCGTTGAAGCCCCTTCTTCCCGGAGTGTGACGTCATATACAGAGTTTTCGGAACCCTCGCTCTCGCGCGTCTTCAGCGCCTATCAAAGCTATGTACTAAGCGCACTCTTGCCGTTTTCAAAAGGCCAGAAAAAGACACCACAACTGATGTCAGAGTGCGGGGGAACTATATACCTGGCAAGCTTGCAATTGTACGCACTGTCCAGACGAGCGACATGCGCTTGGCAGCCGAGAGATCTTCGCGTGACGTAACGACTCGTTGGAGGGTTTTCGTGTTTTCTCGCATTTAGTTACATCTTCGAGAAAAACGAAAGTGATATTCAGATACACGGGATGAGAGCACTCTAGAGTTCACCTCTAACTCGTTTCTTTCAAGAACCTCTTTAGCTTCCCTTTAATTTCGCTATAGGAATCAGAATGATGGATAAGAGAAGGCATCCATAAGTACACGAGTAGAACCATTGAGGGAAGAAAGCGTGATTACATAATTTAAAAGAGAACTTCATACTCGAATTATTTGTGGGAGGAATGAACAGTTGGAAACATTGCATTTAAATCTGTATTGTTTAGTCAATCTTGTGTTGTTCAACCTTGACGATTCGGTAAATGAAAAGGCGACATATTTTTCCATGCTTATCAATAAATTTCCCACGAAGGAAGGAATTATGACTCTTATTTCCTTATGAAATCGATGAAAGGGGGGATCCAGGAAAAAAAAGAGCTTAATCACTGCCTTAAAGGGGTCGTGGAACGTTTTCCCAGAATTCTGAGCTATACGTCTATTTGGAATCTTTGTTCTTTGTTATATAACCCATGTTTGTTAGTATGAATGTCCGAATTCATATAATAGAGTAAAAAAGATAATTTCTGCTTCCCAGGCAGCTTCCCCCTCAATTCTCGCAAACATGTCACGGTAGGTAACCAATGGGAAATTTTGGTTGTCTGCACAAGATGGTGACGTAGACTGAACTTGATGGGCGAGGCCAAAGTGTCAGATAGCACTCCAACAGCGGTGCCATAATTACATCATGCACGTGAGTCCACGGATGACATCTGATTTCCGATATTATGCTCGGATAATTGCAAGATGGCCGACCTCATCGATCTCCAGCGCCGCCCATCACAGCGCAGTCGGCTTTTAGGTTTTGAGCGGTACGCCAACATTATGTTTGTGCTATCATATGTCGAGGTACAGAGAAGAATACAAGGAAACTACAATTCACAACTTTGACTGGTCGAGCCGCATCCCCATACGATCATCAAATGATGAGCCGCAAAAACGTTCTTGCTTTGACCAGAAAATTGCTGATCTACTTGCAAAGAAAGGATAAGAAGGTTGGAAATACAAGCGAAATGAATCGTCTTTGCGTACTTCAGGAGTGGCAGGTCAAGTTACTGCTCAAAAAAATGGTAGTAAAGGAAAATTAATGGAAAACTCACGAACCTAATGCTGGCATTGCGAGAACTACAGCATCCTAGGACTACACCTGTAAATAAGCAGCGCTGCCAGTCGAGAGGTTACGTGCGTGTGGCTCTCCTTGCTATTGACTGCGAATTTCTGGGTTTGATTCCTCCTGGGATTATATTTTTTTAATTACTTCATTTCACGCTGTATTATAATTCAAGTTCATAATCAGGTTCCGCAACCTTGTCCCTCAACGAATGAGAGCCGCAGTGGAACGAGCAGCTAGGTTACGATGGTTACCAAACAACAGAAGACCCGGACACGTTTGAAGCCGAGACTGTGGTGCAGAAGTGTACAACTATCCATAGAAGAACGTCAATATATAACTCAATGTTTTTGCCACTCCCAATTTATTATTTGAAGATCAAACAAAGCTGAATATCTGCTCAACCTTTTTACATAGCTACTGCGGCGTTTTGCTGCTCACGCTGCCGAAGGGTGTATAGCCATAACCAAAAATGGCACGTGATTGATTAACTTGTATCCTTTAAAAAATCTCACTGAACTCGTTAATGTTTTTCCCAAGCTCCCGTTCACTGCTCCTGCTAATTTAGTTCTAATTTACTCCCACCTACATAAAAGTGATAATTAAACGAGTTGGGATAAAAAATAAACCTAAAGGAGTGTTCATATAAATATTCTCGCAATATTGAAGTACCTTTGCTAAGTCTCGAACTGGAAAAGGTTACCGCCAGGATATTGCAGTCTATCATATTAAATACAAGCCCAAGTTTTTTTGCAGAAATTCTCACCTCTCGCTCTGCCTTGTTACGCTGGTGCGCTGCGGCAAAGCAAGACATGCAAAATCGCGATGACTACTCCGCAGTTGTCACTGCACTGCAGTACATCAGTGAGCAAAAAGAAGCACACGGAACAAAACAAGCTAACCCACCGGAACAGACCACGAACATGAGAATTATTAGGAAACTTCAGAGTTTGTCATTGTTTGGTACGAAATTGAAAGAAATAGTAAGTCATATGAGGCAATAACTGGAAGTTTCGAAAACTCGCACAAGCCTATCATAACAGTCCAGCCGGGTGGTGAGGCCCGAGTTATTATATTTTCTGTATCATTAAAGTAAAATCTGGCGCAATGAAGATGCAAATTCCTCCAATTTGGTAAAATGTAGCAGGGTAAGCACTTTGGCGCAGGAATCACATCACTGGAGGTAGTTTTGCGGGTTTCATTTTTTCCCGCAAGTTTTCTGTTTTCTGGTGTCAATTTTTGGTGTTTGACAGGATATTGGAGTTTATTCATGCTGATGAAAACACAACACGAGCGTGAAACCCCCCCTTCTTCAGGGAACATGTGCGCCACCAACACTTGGGAAACGTCTTGGCACCAGTAAGAGGAGGAAACAGGACAAAAAAGAAGCAACCTTGCGGACCGTTCGGTGAAGGCCGTGTTTCGGGTGAACACAGTATAAAACGATACATACAGATTTCTTCCCGTGAAGGTTCGGACTTTTTTTATCCAGGGGCAGCCCCGATTCCACGCCTTTCAATTTTTTCCCCGATTTCGATAAAACCGGATTAGGGGTTACTTTTCAAGGTTCTTCGGTATAACGCCGAAAACACGGTATCCTAATTATAACGAAGGCTATGAAACTTTAGGTGCCCGACAGACGCCGCTCGTGTGGGAGACGAGGGTGGAAGACGACGGGGCGGGGGACACGTGACAATCGGTAGGCCGAAGAGACACGAGCTGATGCCTGACAGAGCGTGCTGCGCAAGGCTGGGGCCGGGCAGAAACAACGGAGCCGATCTGGCCCATGGCAATCCCCGAAGCGATCCGCTGGAGAAGTTCGAACCGGGGCCGGCGGTAACGGCGAGCCCTGGTTATACCAGCCTAGGCCATGATGATTCCGTAGCGATTCCGCAGCAAGACTCGGGTTACGATAGTCTGGAGCAGCTAGCTTACGCAGCGCTGGCGTGGGACGGTCAATCCGCATGGTTGGACATGGACTGAACGACGGGCGACAGCCAGGGTTTGCGGGCCCAAAGTGCAGGCTCTCGAGGACGGGCAACCGGGAAGTACAGTAAACCCATTCGCTGCCTTCTCCTTGTATTGTGTCCTTGAGAGACGAGCGAAGCACAGACCAATCGGGCGGCGATTATTTTGGAGCGATTCCACACCCTTTATAATCATTACGAAGCAGCCGAAAGCACCTAAAAGGTGCCATTTTCTTCCGCGGACAAAGTCACTTGTGCAAAAAAGTGCAGGTAGGTTTGTCTGCGAAGACAGAAACTGCCAGAAACAACTGCAACGCACGTCAAAGGCCCTCTTGGAGGCAGGCTTGCCAGAGCACCTCGATGTTGCTGTGCTGGCGGCCCTCCCATAGTGGGAGCAACTCTGTCGTCCGCTAGCGGATCTGTTATTTTGCTTCCCACTCTAGATAGCCGTCTATGAGCTGACAGGATAAAAAAAAACAGTGCACACAGGACAAGACAGCAGAAGAGTCACATAGAACACACTCAATAGGTAGCTGTTTACACATTACCTATCAAGCTTTACCAGCCGTGAAACGATGCGGAGTAACCTTAAGAACACGCGGCATCACATGTTTCGTCAGGTATGCGTTTGTTTTCAACGCCGGTCAGGAGGCAAAATGGCAGTTGCAACCAGGAGAAGGCGGCCCTCGCCCTTCCAAAGGACGTCGCAACTCTAGCAGAGTGCAGTCAGCAAGCAACAATGAGGCACTCTAAGGCTTTGGCAAAGGGAGGAATCATACTTTAGGCTTTTACATCAATAGACTAGGTGGTGCAAGCTAGCACCCGCTATAAAGGGTACAGCCGTAAGCATTTATCAATCCGTGCACGCTCCTGGGTCGCGAGTCCGAGGAAGGGCGGAACGCTCACCACCAGAACCCAGTTGCAGGGCAGTACGAGCGAAGAGATGTCGGCCAGTGCCAGGGCGGCCATCAGCAGGAAGCTGAACACGCAGGCAAAGATGTGCAGGCGAACGCGCTCGGCCAGAGGCAGATCCAGCACGTCGTAGTCCCCCGTGCCGGCACTCGCCAGGCACGCCAAGCTCAGCAGGGAGGTAGCCTGCGCCGTGGGAATGCGTTTTCGGACGTCATCTCGGCGCGCCAAAGAACACATGAGAACGTAAAAATTATGATAATGTAGTGATTGCGCAGGCGAGCTGGTGGATGTTATTGCTTTGTGGAAAACGTCAAGGTCGTTTGACAATTGTGGTGGAAAGATGTGAGACCTTTGTTATCTTTTGGCTTTCGAGATCGGGAATGTGCTGTGGTGAAGTTTGTGGAGTGTATATAAGAAGGTGACCAAATAAACTTGTCTTTAGCTGTGTTAGAGACGTGTCCTCGACTGTTCATTTTTCTTCTACTTCGAAACTTTCCTCTTTTCCTGCCTCAGTCTCGGGCTAAGAACAAAATGGGTAAAAATTATGTTTCCGCAACTTTTTTTTTTTTTCTCTTTTTCGCTTGTGCAAACAGGTCGCAGGGCCATAGTTTAAAGGCTTTTCTCTAGCTTCTCTGAATGCCCCTCTCCCGCACAGGCAGTACAGGCACCATGGTGCACATGCAGGATGTTGTGGTGTGTCTTGTTGTTACGTCTCCTACGATGTACAGTCTCACAAGTGCTTGTACTTACGAGTTTGATAGTATTATTACTATAGATTCACGTTTCTATGTTATATATAATGTCTCTCAAAGAATTCTCGCCACTGTTTTTAAATAATGGAGAGGTGCTGGCAACGAGGAGTTTTAGATAAAATGGCCTTCAGCATTAACCGGGTGGCACCACTACTCCTTGCATGCTAGCGCCTCTTCTCGCCACTGTTTTCAAATGACAAGAAATTTTAGGCAGCAAATAGGCCTCCACAAAGTTTATGCGAGCGGGGTACTTCTAAAAATTGTAATGTGAAAAAAGACTCAATGTTCCTGAAATCTGACAAGGTGTACCTAAGAGGCATTAAAATAATGAAGAGTTTCAGGTAAACGGTTTAGCAACTCCAATAAGACCAATCCACGGCCCCGTGACTGCCACAAATCCGGCTTCGCTTCAATAACAAAAGTAAAATTCTTTTTGCATAGAGGTTGAACAACCTCAAAAAGTCACTAAAGAGAAAAAAAAAAAAAAATTTTAAACAGTCTGGTTGGGACACGCGTGTCAAAAAATAAACTTTATAAAAAAAAAAGATTTTCTTTTTTTTTTTTTGTGGAAAAAAAAAATTTTAGAGCAATACTGATGGCGCAAGACGCAACTTAGTCGGTAGTCACCTCCTCTTCCGTCGCTTTCTCTCGGCATTTTGGGTGCGTGGAGGAAAGGTGGACCGGGTTGGCCATCACGTTGAGGTGGAGAGTGTATGACCATCTCGTGACGTCATGGACTTTCGCACAAAATTTAAAGTAACTCTTGCGCCATCAATATGGCTCTAAAATATATATATATACATTTTTTCTTTTCCCGTAAAATTTATTTTTTGACACGCATGTCCCAACCAGATTGAAAAAAAAAAAACTTATTTTCTTTTCAGTGACCCTTTAATATACGAGCAAAATGAACAGTGACTGTGTACTTTAAAAGCGTCAAATGCAGCTAATGCTAAAAAAAAAAAAATTGGACCAAAAAAAGAAAAAGTTTGATAAAAAGTTTTGTTAATTGTGGGCTACTTCTGCAAGCCTGAGTTATACAGGGTGTATCAAAAATCCCTAAATATTAGGTGTAAAACAAAAAAAGCACTTTTCTTGGGGAACAATTTACCAGCCATAGCGGACGTCAGGGATTGCAAAAATATACTAATTAGCTAAATAATTAACTAAAATTTACCAATCAACCTTTTAATTTGTGAAGATAAACATATGGTTCCAATTACAAACCCGCCGAGCATCATCAAAACCCGCTTCACTTTGTTTCATCTTGGATCCGAGTGCGGCCAATGTCACGAACCGAAGGGCCGATCAAATGATGCAAAGAGTGCAATGTCGCAGTGTGCTCTCTGCAGACGATAGGACCAGCTGGTGTTGGCAGTCTTTCTGCGTGTGGTCCTCCGCCAGCTTGTCACATCGAGCATAGGGAGCATGCCGTGACATTGTGCTCTTCGAATGGCCCTTTGGCTCGTAAGATTGGCCGCGCTCGAACCCAAAGTGAAACGAGGTATAAATCGACTCATCTTAGAAAGAGGTAAGGAAGATGTAGCATTCTACAGCGTTCTCAAACGGCGCTCGATTTGGACGCGTTTTCGGGTTTCGCTTTTCTACTATAGCGCACCTTTGCACCACGATGGCCAAGGTGCGCAACGCACATGCTCCACACTTACTTCCATTCTACGAGGGAGGCGAGGCGGTAGCTTCACACCTTGGCCATGTGGGGGCAGGACCGCTGGCGCCAGCAAAGGAGCACCGGCAGAAAACCGAAACCTATAAAAACTCGTTCAGACCCTTATTTTTCTTTAACACCACAAAATGCTGTACCTGCCTTACATCTTTCAGTACAAGCTGATTTAGTGGTTTTCGATGATGCTCAGCAAGCTTCTAATTGGAACCATAATAACTAATTAAAAAGTTAAGTAGTAGTTAAGTAGTAAATCTTAGTTGATTATTTATCTAATTATAATATGTTTTTGATATCCCCGCCGTGACTGCCAATTTGTTGCTATAAAGAGTAGTGTATTTTTTTTTTTAGTTATTTGCTTTAATGTTTCATATAGCACTGCAAATCATGCCAAACTGGTTTGCACTTGTGGGCGAGTGGATAAGCATACTACCTTTTGCGGCCTACAAAGGTTTGTCTTTGAATGTGCTTCCAGATTATGTGTCTTTTGCTTTGTTTTTCACTTTTCGTTTTTTTCAATTTATGGTACGATCACATAATTCAAACAAATTTTCAATGCACTCCTTTGGCTCCTTTGGGTTTGCCTGGCAGCACAGCAGCAGCGCTTCCCATGTCTTTGTTGTTCGCTGACATTGCTGCATAACTCATTAGAAGATTTATCTGGGATATAAGAGGTTCATAGCTAATTAAAAGATCTAGAAAGATCAAACTGGACATAAATGACGGCATACATGTTGCATATGTGTAGTCATTCGTCCATGTCTAGTTTGCGCTCGTAGATCTTTTAATTACCTACATTTCTCCTTCGCCAAACAAGCGCTGATGACGCAGTAATGTCAATGTTACACCAGTTTTGCCACAAAAAAAGATAAAAACATAGAATAAAACAGCAAAAGAACATGAATCAGAGGAGAATTTGAGCACAGAACTTTCTAGACCACAGTAGATGGTTTTTACACTTAACCATTCATTCACAGGTGCGAGATAGTGACAACTAAGTTGCGCTTCTATATATCAATCAGTGTTGCGGAGCTGCCACTCCGGAGTTGGAATGATTGCGGAATCATTCCGCATTTTCGCGACCCCGGAATGGAATGGGAATGGAATGGCGGCAACGTTCAGGGGAATGGAATGGGAATGGAATTAGATGCCTTTTGCCCGGAATGGAATGGGAATGGAATGGGCCAGGTTCTTTATATTTTACGTTCAGCTATACCGAGCCAGTCAGAGAGTTGATTGTTCAGAAATAAAATGAGCGGGAAACTGCGAACCCGCGTAAGGCCCTAGCAGACTTATGCGCAAAAGAAAAAAATGCAATACAAGAAACAAGCGTCAAAGCAACGAACAGAGGGGGGGGGGGGGGGGGGGGGGGGGCGGCGGCGGTGGCGCCTTTTATCAGTGAAGTTCAACACATATCCGAATGCGTCTGCGCCTGTAATATTGCGATATTGCACAGCTAGTACGTCATCAGCCGACGTGAACGTGACCTGCTGCTCCGGTGATCCGATACCCAGGAAGGAGGCTAGACGTGGCCTCGCTGTGCGGACCCAGACTTAGTACACTTTCGACTCGTCTCGAGCGCGCTGCTTCTCGAAGAGCTCGCACCTGTGCCGGCCATCTCAGGTCGCAATCCACGAGGTCCCTATTTGAATTATGCTAGGCGAAACTTGAAGACTGCCATTCATGCGTTGGAGGCGGAGAGTCGGCAGGAAGGACCGTCACAACAGGGATGCCACCGTATTGATTTTTCAACCGTAACAGAAGATAATACATGCGCTTCAGGTGGTCCAGTTTTCTCGAAAATTCCAAATGCAACTGCCTGCATGGTCTTCAACGAGGTCAGCTACAACGAAAGTATGTATTGTCCTTTCTTACAGCAGCGTGGGTAAAGTTTCATGTTCAAGGCAACACCTACAAATTCAAGAATACTGGTTCATCCCACCGTGACGTCATGCAGTGCTGACAGGGGCGCCCTTATTGGACAGGGAAGTGGCGATTTTGTGATGGAATTTATTTTAGAGGTCGGTCTTTTCGCATCACTGGTCAGTCAGACAGGATGCCAGGGAAGGGACCGCGGTCAATCCTTGATGGAACGTTTTTTAAACCCATTTAGGACTTTCGTCCGGAACCACTACCTTCAAGGCGAAGTGCCAAGCCTGCGGAAAAGTAATTTCGGGACCAAAAAAAAAAAAGAAACTTCCACTTCAAACTTAAAGCCTCATCTCAGTTGGCGCCTCAAAGAAATTTGAAAAAAATGTATTGTATTATCAGTATTTATATTTCTGCCCTCCCTAAAATGTATTCTTGTATTTGTATTTCCAAAGACTTTTTATCCTTTTTAAAATGTATTTCCGACACGTATCACGATACATTTTTATGGATATATTTGAGACTTGAGTATCAGTATCTCAGCAAATTATTTTCATCTATCCCAGTATTTGTATTTCCAAATACACTTCTGAATATTTCTGCCCAACCCTGCAACGTAATGCAGCTGTCAAGTGACACTTTTAACGTTTAGGAATTGGAGGAATGGAATGGAGCGAATCAGCCATTCCAAGAATGGGAATGGGCCCAGTGTCCCCATTCCTAGGAGTTGAAAGGAATGGAATTATCGAAAACTCTAATGGAATTGGAATGGAATGGGGGTGCCCATTCCGCAACACTGATATCAATCAAGTTCTCAGATTTGAACACAGAATTTTTCTGGGTGGAGTAAAAGGTAACATGCATTTAATCACTTGACTATAAGGTCAAGACAGTAATAACCAATTTACAGCTCTATTTGCTGTAGCCCACGGCTGTCGAGGGTTTTAATTTACATATTTTTACCACGACCCGCCCCAACTCCGACAATGCATAGAGCTCCTAAAATGCACAGACGCGGCTCACACTGCCCGCATTTTAATGCCTCTTCAAACTTTCTCTGCAACTGAAATTGCATGTATGTGTAATCAAAGCGAAGACAGATACTGCTCCAACAGTTTTCAAAGTCGCTGCACAGCAGTGGTACGCACCTGATGAAACTTTAGTGCTGCAAGCCCATGAAGATGGTATGACAAGCATATAGAAACAATACTGTGAAATAAAATAGCACCCGAGTTTGAGACGTCGTGTGTGCTTGCCCGTTTATTTTATTTTATTTTTCTAGTCTCAGAGATATTATGTAAGTTGTACACTAGCCTGCCCGTGATTCCATCCTTCCTTCGTGAAAATGGGACCAGTTGGCTGCCATTTTCTCACTAGAAATTGGTGAAAATTGCTCACAACTTTTGAATTGGATAATGCAAAGTTCTGAAACTTTGGCGTCTGGTCTCAGCTACCAGCGGTACATTTGTGTGGAGGTCAAGTGTCTTGGCATCAAGTAGTATTTTATTTATTATTTTATTTTTGTGATAAGAAAAGCATGGTCTGGATCCTTCTCAAATGTCCTGTGCACACAAAACAAAATACAGAGCAAGCACATGTATAAAAATAGGGAAATAACTAGGGCTGGGCGTCGATTAAGAAAAGTAACCCGGTTAACGAGCTCCCTTTAATCGATTAATTGGTTTTGTTCTTTTCCATGCATAATAGTTAAAGGGATTGTCTAGTGAAATCCTGGTTACAAAGTTTTCGCACCGGTGACGTAAAATGGGCTAAACTATAGTCAGATATGATATTTATTTCATTGAAATGCGCCTCAATATTCGTTAAATCAGTTATGAAAATCAATACGAAACTTCACACCAAATTTTGCAAGTATGCATGGCTAATCGTGTCATGACGTCACGTCAGACACGGCAACATCAGTGTCGCGGACGTTGACTTATTCCCGGCTTTGATCGACATGGCTGATGGTGCGTACAAAGATCGTAGTCGAGAAAACGAGCTTCCCCCAATATTGTAAATCTTGTCTTTCTTTGAACGAGGTTGTTTTACTGAGACAGCGGTCCAGAGCTGTGTTAACTCTCTTTGCATGATGTTACGTCAAAGCTTCCACTGTTGAAAACAAAAATGCCCAGTGTTTTGCGGGTGAAATATGAGCAGTTGGGCTCTGTTTAAAATTGAATTAATTGTGCGGAGGAGGGATAAAAATTGAGCGGATGATATTCCTAAAAGCAATGACAATATAATTTAGTTGTTTTCTGAAACAAAAACATTTACTGGGCATTCCCTTTGACAAAAAAGCTAAATTGAATGTTTTGCCTCTGCTGAATATCTAATAAACAGCATAGTACAATTTTGCATTTTAAATCAACCTTGATGTGTGGTTGAGAACATTCAAAAGACACCCACACTCACAAATTATTCCTTCAACCGCAGAGGCAAAGAGGTTCGTCGATATTCTCCCCGCAATAGCGAACTCCTTTGTCGTTTGTCGTTGTTGTCCGTCCCTTTGTCCCTTCCTCATATTCAGTATCCTTCGGTAATTCATAATCGTCTCTGCTGAGCTAAATGGACACTCGCACGGCGTTGAAGTGGCTGTGACACGTATAACATTCTCCACTGGTTTGGAGTGACAATTCTCGCCCTTACAGTTTACTTTAAGATAAAATTACACCTGAAGTTCGCCCTCATAAGGTGTAGTCGTCCATGTCTGCATGGCGAAAGCGTCAAATTTTTAAGTTTTTGTTGGCTTGTTTAAATTTAACCGATTAACTGGTTAAAAATATATTTGCGATTAAAGCATTGATCGATTAATCAATAAATTAATCAATCAAGTGCCCAGCTTTAAAAATAACCAAAAAAGTGGGGTGGGTGCTTTTTGGGTCTGAAAGCAGAAAGGAGCATGTGGCAAGGTAGGTCCCTGTTCGATTCAATGGAATGGTGGAAGCAGTGTAGGAATCTGGCAGAACCTCTCATTTTTTAAGCAGCCACGCCGCACTCTTCAAGCCTGCTTTGTGCTCTCGTGTCAAGCTTCACCGCTTTGCACCGGTGTATGCGCACAAAGCGTCACCGCTTTGCACAGGTGTGTGAGCAAAAGCCTTCGCAACTTTGCACCGGCTTCTCAGATAACGCCTGGCGTAGAGAAGCCTTCTCTGTGAGCTTGGAAGGCTCGATAGTTGGCTGAAATGGACTCTTGGTATGTCCTTCGATTATATTTCAAATATTTCAAGAGTAGCAGGTAGGTATACATGCTCACTGCGACATCAACGCATGCTCAGTATTTTGCAATGAATAAAGCTATACGCACACCGGACTGCACTTCGGACGGAAATGGTTATACGCACTCCTCCGAGAGCTCATGCCGCCCGGGCCACCCTTTTCGAACGGCACGTGTATCACTGGGAAGCTCGTTAACACAGCCCCCCGCCTGCGTTCACGCTGCTTCGCGGCGACAGTGTGCGGCTGCTAATTACAAAACGTAACCAGTACACCATGCCGGCAATCCAAGCCCTGCTGTCCCCGATCGCACCTCCGGAAAGGGAGTCCCATACCATTTAGTTCTGAGAAGTTTCTCGACAACATTCGGTTTTTTACTGTTCATCGCAAAAAAGAAATGTCATAAATATCGCCAAATGCCTGGATAAAACAAAATGTTTGAGAAAAAAAGAAAAAAAAAAAGTAGGCCCACCGCGGATCGAACCCAAGTTCACTTGCGTATGAAGCGGACACCTTAACCCCTATGCCATGCCACCGCTTAGGCCCGCTTCAGACGGGGCAACTTTTCCAGCAATTTTGAGGTTGCTGGCGGGTTGTTCCCTAGCATTCCCTAGATCGATGCGAATTGCTGAGATCGGGTCCGGCTCGAACGAGCGAGCAACTCGGAGCAATTCGAAGACAGTTGAAGCGGCTGCAGCCAATCAGAGACGCGATATTTTCACGTGACACCCCTGAGGTGGTGATGATGACAGCTAAAGACTTAGTTCTGTTTTGGAATGGATCGTTTTCGGAAATAAACAGTTTTAGAAAAATTAGTTAGTATTCTCAACGCCGTTCAAAGATATAAGAACGCGTTTTTAGCGCGTAGCTGGGCGTCTAAGTAGTGAAAGAAGAATCAAAGTTAATGATGATGATGGCAAGTCGGAGCAATTCGGTTGCTGCGTGTGAATGCGGGCGGCCGGTGTTGCTGGTGTTGCGACGTCAAATTGCTGGGTGAAATTGCTCCGTCTGAAGCGGGCCTTAGAAAACTCGTGACCATTCGTTTTATACAAGATAAGTGGAGTGTGTATAGCCATTTCCGTCCGAAGTGCACTCCGGAGTGCGTATAGCTTTACTCTTTTGTAATAGACCACTCCTTCAAAACCCCAAACCTTCAAGCTACGGTGCTTGCGATGTTGAGAAGACCGCGTCGTCCCCCCCTTGTAAACATCATCTCATAATCATCATCACTAGACGTGGCACCGCGGGCCTCCATGGTACGGGCTGTTGCCTTTCCGCGGTGCCACGGCTCTCCTGAGCCAATAAAGATTACGATTACGATTACGATTACTCCTGGCTCTAACCCTTCCTAAAGCCCCTGGACAGATTTGTGTTTGTTTTACAAGTAGCATCAAATGTGCCAAAGCACAAGGTCCGTGCCTCTTGCAGTCTATGAAAGCAAATGGCGGCAGCACTGAAATGAACGGCCCTAGGAAGCAAATGGGGGTGGAGCACTCACTCATGGCGCATATCTCGTGTGTTCGGACAAAAATGGTTGTTGCTGCTTGTGAGAAATGCGAAGCGTGAGTTATACCATGATGCTTTAACCTTTTCCATGCAGCCGCAACAAGCGGCGGAAGTAAGAACTACATTCGGTGGGTAGTTTTGCGCACGGGCATGCGCAGAGCATATGTTGTGGACCGCTCTCGTAATAAGCGTCATCGAACGTGAAACAAAGCACTGCCAAAGCCATCGCTCGAGCGGTGCATGTAAAACATGAGGATCGCGTCTCATGAGCCCACGCGCACCAACTTTGGCAGATTTCTTTCAGACTTCGTCGAGACGACGGTTCGGCCTCGCTTCTCTGTTCCTACCGAAGCACGTATAAGTCCGCTCTGTACCGTGCTGGCAACGCCGAACACGCCTACGGAGCGAGCACTCAGGCTCCGTGGGGCACTTACCAAGAGCGCGAGCCGGAGCGCTCCGACGGCGCTGAGCGGGTAAGAGCGCCGGCAGGCCAGCACCACGCGCGGGTCCGTGGTGCCGACCGAGTCTTCGCGCAGAGCTTTCGTCTCTTCGGCGTCGTCCAGGGTAACCTGCTTGAGACAGGCGTCGTCCACGAACTGCGACACCCGAGACGTGGTGCACGCGCCGCCCCGATCTCCCTCTGGGGAAGACATGGCCGCTCCGCGCTCACTGCAGTCTCTGACTCGCTGCTGTTGACTTCGGCGTCGCCCTCGGCACGACGGTGATGTGGGCCCGCGCGGAGCGGGGGCCTACGACCTCAAGAACTGGTCGCGACAGATGGACAGGGAACGGCCAGCGCAAACTACGCATAGACGGGAAGCAGTGGGAAGCCATGGGGAGAAGCCAACTAACGTTCGGAGAAGCCAACGTTGGGAGAAGCTGAAGAGGTTCCTGGGCTGTCCAAAGTGTGGCGCAACGCGAAGTCCTTTTAAAATAGGGAGCCTCCCTACTTTTAAATACGATTAAATAAAGTCATACTATGAAAAACACTGGCTAGCTTGATGTAAGCAATCGCCTGGTGCTCACTGCGTTGGAAGAGGTCCATTGGCAAAAAAAGCTCCTACGGCTCTGCTGTCACCTAGGGCATGAGTGGAACCAGGTGACAAAAGTGACCGCCCAATTCGACTAGTTTATCGTGCTCATTTATCCATTTCTGCCTTACGCTCTTTCCTTTTTTTTCCCCTTCTCTCCTTTTTCTTTATTAGTTGTATTTTCAGTATTTTGTCCTGATGTTTTTTTTTCGTGATAGTTACAGTTTTTATTAAATACATATTTACACCATCATAAAAAAGTATATATTAAGCGTCTACTAAAACTTGAACGTCTGCTGATTTCTGCCACTTTTTCAACACCTGCGTGGCAACACTGATGGACCGCCTTTATTTATTTATTGTTATTACTCTGCATGAAACCGTTCTTGATCGACTCCAAGCAGGGTGTCGTGATTAACGTTGGTTGTGAGGTGGTGCTACCATGGCACGATAACGTAGCTTTTCTTAAAGCGCGTGCAAATGTTTCTCTTCGGCAGTCCTGGTGAATCCCCACCGCACTCGGCCACCGAACCAATTTGAATCAACGCCGAGCCACTCGCCCCCCGCCGCCCGCTTGTAGATCAGCAATGTCGTCTCCAAAGTCCGAGCTCAAAGGGAGCTCGAACGCAGCGGCATATTTTGCGCTGCATCGGGAAATCGGCAGACGGCGGCCTGGAAGCATACGCAAGGTAATCTGTTCTCGGACGTGGGGAAATGTAAGCCTGAAGCTACCCCGTCGGAAACGCATCACTCAGCCTCCGAACTCTGTCCCTCGTTGGCGGTAGGAAAGGCAGAGAGTATACAATCGAGAGGTGGCTTCCTGTGCCGTCGGACCGACTTCGTAGAACTGCGTAGGACCACCAATGCCGAAAGTCGATGGGATTGGAATCCCGGTGTCTGTCTCGATGGGACGGGGAAAAGAGGGAGTCGGGAGGAGTGCGTCTCCATCGATGGGACAAGTCCTTGCGACGATCCGTAGAGGACGCTACGAGCCACACCAGCAGCCAATGCTGTGCCGTGTGTGTCTGTCACGTGACCATGGGGAGGGACACAGTGATGCGCGGGGCACGTTCCAACGTGATATGCTCATAGCGCTGCGTAAATCTAGCTTAGAAAGAAAAAAAAAAATCGTATTGTAAAGAAATATGGAAAGAAAAAGGGTTGTAGTTGATCTGAATAGGTAAGAAACGGTCGCATAATTGGTGACAAATTCTCTGTCGGACAGTCGTGTAGGCTATGTGCCCCAGGCACCATAAAACGTATGCTTCACAGCTTGCCTGTCTGCGAGTACAGTGTCACGAAAGAAGCGCAGCCTAGCATGGACGGCTTTCTTCCCAATTCCCCCGGGCCCCCAAGCATTTGAAAGTTCGCAGTTGGCAGTCCAGCTAGGGCGTAGCACAGGGAAAAACACTGTCGGGCCCTTGTTGCACCCTGTGCTAACATGTTGGAAGGCTCTGTGGGGGCAGTGCGCAGCTTGGGTATGGTCGGTCGTGCCAGAACATTGTTCATCCTTGATAGTTTAACCGTTAAATGCCAAAGCTCAGATTGAATGGGGAACCACGTTGGACGCTACAGCAGTGTGATTAGCCTCTTTCGTGACAACCTCCCCCTTCCGTCCTGAACCCCTTCATTGTTTTCTCTCGAGCTTTTATTTTCCCATTTATTCTTTCAATATCTGCATCTCGCCGCGGGGCAGCCAAAAAGTCTGCATTCCGTTTAAGCAAACCTTGGCTTAGGGTGAATGCTATGGTTTGCCTGTGCTAATTTGGGTGACAGAGCGACGCACGTGACGGCTCTCTGCAGGAGGAATGCACTTCAACGGCAGGTTGTCGCACACTTTGCTCCGCCACCCCAACTGGCTCATGCAACCTGTAGCACTCATCATTGGTCAAGTTACACCGAGACAGAGTGAAGGCACTGGCACGTTGGCATGGGGGTTAGTCAGCCTTGTGCCTCGTTTCGGACATTTTATTATCCTTCATTTTTGAGAATCACTCTGCTACGGGAGCATTAATTGATGTGAACATAGAAGCCAGTAAGAATGCTTATGTTTAAAAAAAGTTTGGGCAACAAAGCTAGATCCTGTCAGCTCCGTTGAACTGTGGTGAGGGATATAAATGTAGGCCTCAAAATGTCTTTTTTCTTTTTTTCCCCTTGCCAATGATCTTGGGGCCCCGAAATTCCTGCAGAGGCATCTCGGAACTAACGTCTATGAACGAGGGACGAAAGTGAAGAAAAGGCAACACGAGGTGTGTTGCAACTGAAAGTTTGAATTGAAAACTTCTCACTCACATACTGTTTGTGAAAACAACACATCCTTTACCCATTCCCCCACTCTTTCTGCAAGAGTGCAAATTCTTTATTATGAAGGGCCAACGACTGCTCACTGATGGACTTGCCTGTGCCTCTTGTTTCGCGTCGTACGCCTTGTTTTGTCTTTTCCTCACTTTTGTCCCTTGTTCTTGGTGTTCATTCTGAGATGCCAAACCGACTGGCTTAACTTACTATTTTGCTGCAAAGGTACTTTCCTTCCTCTCCTCTTGACCAGCGCAAAGAGAGAAAGAAAGAAAACTAAATACTCTCGTACTCCTGTGCACACAAAGGGCGGCAGTTATCGTGACAATGCTGGGTTTCGTACCTGTCCGCATCCCAATACTCGACCACCCCTGCTAGTTAAGCAGGAGAGAGCATCTGGTACTCGACTAAAATCTGACAGCTAAGAAGTTTACAGGTCCAGCTGTGAAACTGCATTTCAGTTGGAACAGTGCACCCTTCTCCACATTTTGGTTGGTGTCAGTGTGCACATTTCGGTCAGCCGGTCACACCACGTTTTGGATTGGCGCACGGCGACGACGCCATTAAAACTCGCGAATTGTGCCAGCTTTACGCTGGGCAACATAATGGCGGCACCCGTGAGATAACCGGAGAACGTCGAGGCTTTTAGAGCGTAGCTTATCTGGCGGCCATAACCCCGGCACACGGTCGGGGTTGCCCTTCGGACGTGCGTCCCCCGACGGCTCTTTACGTTCCAGGCAGCGCTGGTGCGGTCGCTGGAGCGCGGGGCGGAGCAGGTTACGGTAGCAGAGCAGCTATGCACGTTGGACACCCTGTCGGTGACCTTCTTCCCAGACGAGGACCTGTACCGGGAGGGCCTGGCCATCCTCGGGGTGAGTTGACGCTACCGCCGTTCTAAGTGCGGCGCCTGGAGCGTGTCTCCGACCAGAGAGTTTACTGCGACGTCGTAGACAATGTCGTAAGGCGGTGGCCTGCCGGGATCCCGGTGGTGCTGCTGGTTGCCGTCCGCCTTGACAGTCCACGGAAGCTACGGCAACCAGAAGTTGTGACGACAGTGACTCTCGTGTTTGTTCATGCTTTTTGCCGGAACTTCTAAACCCCACTGCCGGCTACGTCATTTGTTGCCACTTTAGCACTACTTTTGACGCGCTGGCATCGTATTGGGACGATACGAACGCACCGGTTGAAGAGGACGCGCTACCTTTTTTTGACTACGGCGTTAGTTTTGCGACTGCCCGTTGCAGATTCTTGGTGTCGGCGGTCCGATAGCCCTGTAGGCACTACTCGTGTTCTGCCCGAGAAAACATTGTTTGACTCTTTGCGGCATTTAAAGTAACCATTTGCTGCATTGCATTCAAACCAGGGAAGAGTTGTGAGGAAACGTGTGGGGCAAGGGCGTCCGTAAACTCCGGTGGGGTGGCACCAACGGTGAAGGCGGGACGTTGAAAGGTTCAGACTAATGGGTTGCACGAATTCTGTACAAACACCCTCCCCCGAGAGATTGCCCATCCCATTTTTTTTTCATCTGACTATATATAACAAAGATTTTGAAGCATCGCCCTCTCCCCAATTCCTGTTGAACGCAATACAATGTCCGATGGGAATCGCATCAACTGCGCGATCTGCGGCATTGGTATGTGGTGCAAGCGAGTTCATAGCGGTTTCCCGCATGTTTGTCGCACCATGAAACGCGAATTTGATGCATCCACAGTGTGCGGTATCCGTTCCCGTGACATGCTAGTTCAGAGCGGGCTCCTGCACTTTCAACACCAAATGTGTTATATGAGTGGCTCCTAACCATATTAAGTTAGGTGCTAGCAACGAAAGTCGACAGGACGAATGCCAGCCGAACAGTTGTTGCAGTACTCGTCTACTGATTGTGCTCCAGTGTAAGCATAACCTCTTTCTCGAGTGCCCCCATGCAACTCCCAGTGGGGGAAAAACGTCACCTGTTCAGACATACAGCAGCACTCATGAAACGAGCGCTCCGGGCTTTTCTAAGAGAGAGCGGCAGAAAAGAAAGCAGACGGCCACTTTGCCGAGAGTGTTTGGTTCTCTTCTGCTGCGAGCTGGCGTCGCAGCTCTGCTCGGCGCTGCCGCATTCTAATTGTTCTGTTTTCCGCATGCTCAGTCTGCTGCGTCTGACATTCCAACAGGTTTTGAGAAAGTCACATTTACACCGCAACTGCAGAGGATGGCACCCAGAAGCAAGACATTCGCAGAGTGCTCGCGCGCTTACCTTGCACAACACGGCCGCTTTACACCATCCAGTCTCAACATGAGTACACAGTTTCTTTGCACAAAGGCATCACATTCTGCGTTGCCACTGCTTTTGCCACGCTATTACGCCCAGGAGGTGACTTTTTGCCTACGATCTGTGCGCACAATATCGGTTCCAAGTGACATGCGAGTTTGTAGCAGTTTCCCGCATGGTTGCCGTACCATGCGACGCGAATCTGCAGGATCCGCAATCTGCGGCATCCGTTCCAGCGACGTACGAGTTCGGAGTGGATTCTTGCGCTTTCTGTCCACGATCTGCTCGAATGATATTGGTTCCCGTAACACCCGACTTTGTTGCGCGTTCTGGTGTGCTTATCGCACTGTGACACGCGAATCTGCTGTGTCCGCAATCTGCAGCTTCAGTTTTTGTTTTACGTGGTTTGTAGCGGCTGCCCCGGCACATATCACTAGTTTTACAGCTAGTTAAGCGCTAGTTTCCCCAGTATCACGTCCACGGACAAGCAGCGTGTCGACACACAAACTCCAGACAGCTACCGTCATCTATGAGGGACAGCAGCAACCAGACAACTGACTTGCCAGTTGTCTGGTTGCCGTTGTCGCTCATAGATGGCGACAACCTTTCCAAGGCCTTTCCACTCTGGTTTTCACCGGAGTGGAAAGGCTGCATTTTTCTAGGCCTAGACGTCTAGGATGACGTCCTAGAAGTCATCCTAGACATCATCCTTGAGGTCGTCCTAGACGTTGTCCTTGAGCTCGTCCAAGAAGTTGTCCCTGAGCTCATCCTAGAAGTCATCCTTGAGGTCGTCCTAGACGTCGTCCTCGAGGTCGTCCTAGATGTTTTTGAGGTTGTCCTCGAGGCCGTCCTAGAAGACGTCCTAGAGGTTGTCCTAGATGCCGTCCTTGACGTCCTAGACGTCGTCCCTGGCGTCGTCCCAGAAGGTGTCTTTGAGGTCGTCCTAGACGTCGTCCTTGAGGTCGTCCTAGACGTTGTCCTCTAGGCGTCATCCTTGAGGTCGTCCTCTAGGCATCGTCCTAGACGTCATAATGATAACAGCTTCGCTGGTCCTCCATCTTCAAGTGGAAGGGCTTTACATTTTAATAAACTTTTGCTGTCGCATCCTCAAAGATCGCCCACCCCATACTTCTCTTTGTTAATCTCTTACCGGTAAAGCTTTCAATGATTTCTCGAAGGTGCAATTCCCAGGCAGCCCTCCCCCAATGACCACAAGCTTTTAGTTTGACTAACCGATTGGGCCGGACACAACGTTCGTTTTACTGATGTGCGGACGGAGTTTTAGTTGGGTCTGCAGGCGTTTCCTAGAGTCATGCAGACAGGTCAGCTGTGTGGGGGGGTCTTCCTCACCTCAAGGCTTAGGGAGAGGGAACAGAGTACCGTTTTTCAGACATCTCAGGAAGTTTGAGATAAGAGAAATCTTATAAGAGACCCTGGCACTCCAAAAATGTAATAAATTTTTTTCACACAAAACACTAGATTATGGTGTCGGGCACTTTTTAAAATATTTTTCACTGCAGAGTCGCATACATACTGAAAAAGAAAAAACAAACCATCTCAAGTCGAAATCGGAGGGCCAACACGGGGCACTGTGACATCATAAAGAATTGGAGTTTTGCAGGGCATCAATCCTCGCAACAACATCCTCGAATTAAATCGATGCCGTTTTTGGTGTTTTAGTGGACATGAAAATCATATTTCTCAGATACAATTATTTCTATTAACGAGCATGTGCCTTAGATGACCCACAACTTGAAAAGCATTTCATGCGCCTTGACATCGTCGCACATGACCATGGCAAAGAGAGAAAGCGCAGACCGAAACACCAGATTTTCGGCCCACGATTTTCCCATGGAAATTGGTTTTCCCTTGAGCCACAGATATTTTTCTCGGGTCCTCTGGGGCTCCCTAGAGTCCTCAAGCTGCCATGCTTCCTTAGCCATCCCTCTCCTACCGTAAAATACCGGGGAAGCGCCCTCTTTTAGACAAGTGCCCACGATTGACATTTCCAAAACTTTGGAATTCTGATCACATGTTAAGCACCCACCGCTTCCAGAGCGCCGCAAATCTTCACCACACTGTGGGAGCTGCGATAACACCAGCGGGGATCACGGGGATATCCACTTTCTTGTGATGAAGAGGGAAAGACATCTTGGGGCAGGGGAAACCATTAACTGTATTTTCTAGGTCACTTGGGTGCAGTGAGAGGTCCCTACAATGCTAAAGTTCAGCAGCCCAGTTGTAGCCATGTCAGGACCGATGGGGTGAAGATAATGCGGTGTGTCAATAAACGGTTCTTGACAACAAAACCGGTGGTCCCACGGCTTTTGTGAGACACATCTTGATAAAGTGTGCATGCTGCAATGGTTCCCTCACTTCTCGTGCACGCTGCTGCCATCTTGATTTTTACTGCTTCAGCCGGACAAGTGCCCATGTCTAGACTAACCAGTTTTTCAGTGAAAGTCAGATAGGCACTTCCCCAGTATATTATGGTAAGCAAAGTGTTTAGGCACTAGTTAACCGGGTCTGAGCCACCAATTGATACAGAACCATGAGCCCAACACTCCTTTGTATGTGCATTGTTACTCACAAGGTCTGTAAGGTTCTGCACTGCTATAATGGACGAATACCAAGACCTGTAGGAGTTTCTCGACTGCCGATAAAGGTATCAAAATAGAAAAGTCTGACCCACACTTTTTATGGGTCGATTGTTTACACCTTTTGACATGGTAGACGTTGCGGGCGAGGCCTCCGACGGCTTCGAGGTACCGTCTTCTGTGCCTGCGCGCGAGTTGCCCCTTGCTTTGTTCCCGTCGCAGGTGCTGCAGCAGAAGTTGCAGTACAACTCGCACGTGCGGTCGGACCAGGAGCAGCCCTCAGCCGGCCTCATAGAGGCATTGGTGCGGCTGGACGCCGTCGAGGTGGGTGGCGCTTTGCATAGCCCCTCCATCCCGTTTGTGGCCGAGAACTTCAGAAGCTGTTCCCTTGCCTCCGCGACAGATTCTGCAGCGCATCGTGATGCAGTCGAGCCGTCTGCCGAGGGAAAGTGCATTAAAGCTCGGTAAGCTGCGATTCGCTCACTTCTGGCTTCTTTGTGCCAGTTTGACAGGTGTGTTTCGCCAAAAGCTCGTTAGCTCGTCGCATCGGCCTGTCCTTGAAGTATGCGGCATTCACCCGGGAGTTGGGATGTTTTGGACAATCGAGTTGGGACGTGATGTCAGATGTTGCGTTTAATGGTCAGCATGCACCTTGAGCAGACTTCCTTTTGCCATTTGTTTGGAAGTTAAGAGCCCTAGAACGAAGAAGCCTGTTGCACTTTGAGGTGCTCTTTCGCTAGGTACTCGTTGAGGACATTGAGGTCGAGAAAGAATAACAGCACAACTGGCTTGTGTTAAACGGTTTATCCGACTCCTCGTTCGCTCGCGCTCGCGATTCCCCATCCCCCTCGTCTTCTTTTAGCTCCAGACTAAATGTCTCATGTCAGTGGTGTTCATTGTTAGTTTTTCAACATCCTCCCCCCCGCTCACGAAGTGAGGAAATTGGGGATAAGATTTACAAAGTTTCCAATGGGTAGAGCAGCTGCACTGGCCGTCGGATTACACAACCAGACGGCAGCTTAACAGCACACACCCTTACATTTCCATCTCTTCCTGGAAAAACTTAATGACACGTACCAAGGTCCAAAGATGTCTTGGAGTGATACGGTCAGGCAACAGTACTACATCGCCAACGTTCGGTGCACGGCTGCTGAGCGGTGGTGCAAGGTGGGCCGAACGAAGCTCTAGTAGGCATTCTTTCTTCCAACGTACCCAGAAGTTGTTCATGAGCCTCTGCCTATATTCCCACCGACGTGTTAGTGAATCTCTCGATGACGCGTGAGTTGGCTCCGCCTCTGGAAGAGTTATCAATCGCCTTCCTATGAGCGGGGTTCAAGACCGCTGGTTCACTATTATCGGCATGAAGGTAGGTGAGTGGCCGAGAGTTCAGCGCTGCCTCGATGTCAGTTAATACCGTCGTTGGTTCTTCAAACGACAAGCTCTGCCGTCCAAGAATTTTCCTGAGGCACGTTTTCACCGACCTCAGCATCCTTTCCCACCATCCTCCCCACCAGGCTGCCCGTTCTACAATGAACTTCCAGGTGATTCGGTGAACACTGCAGAAGTCTTGAGATTCCGCACTGCGAATAGCCTCCCACAAGGCCGGCAGGTCCTTCGCTGCTCTCTTGAATGTCAGCGCATTGTCGCTATAAATGGTGCTTGGGAGACCTCTTCGTGACGCGGAGCGTCGCAGGGCCAAAAGAAATGGCACCGTGGCCGCGGTGGATACCAGCTCGAGGTGTAGTGCTTGAGTGGTCGCTCAAGTGAATAAGGCAACGTAGGCCTTAACGCACTGCCCTGCTGAGTTGACCAACATTGGCCCCGCGAAGTCGATTGCCACGATTTGAAAGGGTTGACTCTCTTCCACTCTGTCCCGTGGTGGCGGAGCTATGGGGGCCATGGCCGGTTTTGATTGGAATCGTCGACAAATGTGACATTCCGCGATGATCTTCTTCACGGCTCATCGTGAACTTAAGGGGGGAGGCTGGTCTTTAACTTTTGTTTTTTTATTTTTCATTTATGGTGCTGAAATTTAGTATACTGATGTATTTCTCAGTGGTGATTTCAAATATGCAATTTGTTTTCAGATAGCTCTACTAGATCTTGAGTTATTAATAAATTTGGAATTTTAATTAGGTCCTCCTTACGGGTCGTTACCATAAAATTGGTCGAAATATATCAGAAATTTTTATAGAATTTCAATCACCAAGGCATGTTTTGTGCGGTGATGCTATTTTAGGACTGATTTAATGATATTACATCGGTAAAAAACATTTGCAATCAAGTTGCATAAAACGGGAAGCTATATCTTTTTGAGACTAATTAATTAAAATCATTGTATGATATATAAAGCAACAAAAATAGCATCACCGCATAAAACATGCTTTGATGAATGCAATTTTATAAACATTTTTGATATATTCTGAAAACACTTACGATAACGACCCGTAAAGAGGACCTAATTAAAATGACAAATTTATTGGTAACTCAAGATCTGGTAAAGCTATCTGAAAACTAATTGCATATTTGAAATCGCCACTGAGAAATACATCAGTATACTAAATTTCAGCACGATAAATGAAAAATAAAAAACAAAAAGTTAAAGACCAGCCTCCCCCCTTAAGAGCCAAAATCTGTCACGGATTTCTGTCAGAGTGGCCTGCAAGCCTCCATGTAATACTCTGAGGTGAGCATTCATGACAAGCGACTTGGTGAAGGGGTGATCTCCTAACAGAAGAGTAGGATGTCTCACCTCCTCCAAGGCTGTGGCTTGGTGAAGTCAGCCTCGAATACGCAAGGTTCCTGTGTCGTCAAGAAAGGGCTGCAGATCGGTTATTCTCTATCCTTTTGAGATACTTCCGCCTTGAACCAGCTCCTGGATCTCTCTGCCGAAGCATTCTCGTGGAACATTCTTGATCCAGAAAGCTTCTGCATCTCTAATATCACTGCTGTTAGGGGCAGTTCAGGTGACTTGTTCTGTCGACAACAACCTTGAACAAATCGTTTTATCCCATGCTGTGACACGCAGCATCTTGGTATAGCTGCTGAAATCCTCCAATGTCAAGATTGCGGTTGGTGCACTCACAGTGGTCAGTAGTATTTCGACCTGTTGTCGTCTCTCCCCATCAATTCCATTGAGGTTTTCATTTTCTGAGGTACTGCCAATTGGCCAGTTTCCTTCTTCTCGGGAAAGCCACTCAGGCCCAGACCACCATAACTGAAACGCACTTAGCTGCATTACCGTCTTCCCTCTAGTCAGGGCATCTGCTGGGTTCGCGCCGCCCGGGCGGTGGTGCCAATTAGAGGGATCGCTTAGTGCTTGTATTTCTGTCACTCGGCTACCGACGAAAGGTTTCCATGCAGTTGCTGTTCCTTTAATCCAACCGAGGGTTATCATAGAATCTGTCCAGTACCATAGTGTAACTACGACACCAACCAAAACAGTACACAGATATTTAACCATACGTGCTCCCAAAAAGGCTCCCATCAGTTGTAGTCGTGAGAGGGTCAGCGTCTTAAGCGGGGCAACTCTGGACTTGGCAAACACCAGAGTGACGCTGACATTTTCTTTTCTGCCCACGGCGCGAAGATAGGCACAGGCACCATAAGCCTGAGGGCTGGCGTCTGTGAAGACGTGAAGCTCCAGCTTGCTCTCACCATCTGCATTCTTTAAGTGTCTCGGAGCCATGATGCGTGGCGATTCCTTTAACTCGGAGCACCACGTTGTTCACTCTTGCCGTAGCGCTTCTGGTAGTTCTTCGTCCCATCCCAGACCATGTTGCCATATACGTTGGAACAAAATCTTTACTCGTATGACATAAGGTGAGAGGAACCCTAGGGGATCAAAGATCCTAGCAGAGGCTTTGAGGACGAAGCGTTTTGTAGTCATGTTTGTCAAGAGAATCTCCAAGAGATGGTCACTAGAGAACGTGAAGGAATCTGTGGTTTTGTCCCACACCAGTCCCAGTACCTTTGTGACTTCGTGGGACCTGATTGACGTGATGTGAGGTGAATTATCGACGTTCCCCTCCTTTTGATTGAATACGTTCTGCAGTTGGCTGGAATTGGTATTCCATTTGCGTAGTTCCATGCAGGCCTCTCTGAGCAATGTCTGTGCTCAGTCAGCGAGCCTGCGGGCTTCTTCGGTGCTTGCGGCTCCATTCAGTAGGTCGTCCGTGTAAAATGAGTCCAGCAAAAGAGCCGTGATGTCTTTGTTCGGATCACTTACGTTCTCTAAGTGATGACGAATTGTCGCCCCAAGTAGGAATGGACTGGCAGTTGTTCCAAAAGGAACTCGCGTCATGCGCCACTCTTTGATATCGGGCAGCGGCTCGCCTGGTCTGGGTGTCTTCTCAAACCAAAGAAACCGGAGAGCATCTCTGTCACACTCTGCGATTTCTATCTGCAAGAAGGCCTTTTGGATGTCAGCTGTGAGAGCCACCTTTTTCATACGAAATCAAAGCAGCACCGGCAAGGATTCTGTGTTGATGGTAGGCCCCTTAAGATGGTCGTTGATAGATCTGGTGTTCGGCGCGTGTGTTGAAGCGTCGAACATCACTCGAATTGTTGTCGATTCCGAGTTGGCCCGAATCACCGCTCGATGAGGCATATAATAAACGCATCCGTCACATGGGGACTTTTCGTTCACCTCTTCCGCGTGTCCGTCCTCAAAGTAATTGCGTATCGCTTTGTCATATAGTGCAATGGAGCCATCGTGCTTGAGACGTTAGATCAGGCTGCGGAGTCTAGACCTGGCAGTGATGTACTTAATTCCAAGTGTTGTTGCTGTCTCCTTCCATGGTAGAGCGACTTTGTAGCGGCCATTCTTCCAACTTATTTTCTCTGCGAATTGTTCGAGTACCGTACTATCTTGCTGTTTCGTACTGGTCGGTTCATCCATGATTTCAATGGCCTCCAGCTCGTCGTCTTCGGCGGTCATTGCTACTCCTAACACGCATACCATCAAGTTTGCGGTAGTATTCGACAAGACTCTCACGGTGCCTGTTGGACCCTGAAAGGTCCATCCTAGACTAGTTGAAATGGCCACCAGGCCGGGGATGGATGATGAGCGGCGTGTTTCGCCAGTTAACAATCTCCATATTTGGTCAGCGCCAATGAGCAGGCTTATGGCTTCCTCTGCTTGGACGGAGGGAAACATCAACTCGTCAGCGATAGACCCCGGGATTTTTTTAAGGAACAAGTGTTGGACGGATGTTTCGATGAGATCTTGGCAGATGAATGGGACGACAACGGCTTTTAAAACATACTCCATCATCGCATACTGGCCTCGAAGTCGTAGTCTGACCAGTGTGAAGTTCTGTTTTATCACGTCTGAGCCGCTGTTGGCAAATGTGTTAAGCTTCATGCTTCGTTGGCCTATAATTTTCAAGTTAAGTTTCCTTGCCAAGTCCTCTGATGAACGTCTTCTGGCTTCCACCATCAATAATACCGCGGATATATGCGCAGCTCTCATCACTCACGGCCCAGCTCCTGAAAGTTTGCAGTAGAATGCTCGAAGCTCGGTGAAGCGTCGTATTACTAGTCGTGAGTATATTGGCGGTCTCTTCCGGAACTGGTCTTGTTGTCTGCCAAAAATAATTGCACATTGACGAGACATGTCGTTGTCTGCATCCAGAACATCTCGTTTGGCTGCGGCAGTCTTTGGACCGATGCCCTCGTTTGGTGCAGTGAAAACATCTCATGTCTTGCGCTAATCTTCCTTTCTTTTCATCAAGTGCGATGTCAGCAGTATAGGCGCCGGTACTGTGACTGCTGGTTGCAAAAAAAGCAGTAGTTGTCTGTCCCGCTGGTTTGCAACGCGAACCAGCGGGACAGTTTGTATCGTTTTAGGAGCTATCGTCGGCGCGCTTGCTGGTCTTTTCTCGAGCGGTCCTGATCGTTCTCTGCTCTCGATTTCCATGCGAAGAAACCGCAAAAGTTTTGCCAGCTCCTCCCCGGCATCCGTTGTCGATGCAGCGACGTTGACTGCTCCATCGCCAGACGTGCTAGCCCCCTCTTCTCTGCCGGTGGAAACTACAAGTGGTGTTCCGTAGCTTTTGTGGCGATGGTAATCCACAACAATGTCCGTTGGAAGACTGGACAGGAGTATGTCCACCATCATTGTGGCGTACGTCGCACTTGAAACATCCAACGAGTGCAAACCGCGAATGTTTGTCTGGACGTGATCGTACACATTACGCAGTCCTTGGACATCACGCACTGACTTTACCATTGGAAGGTTTCGAAGCCGTTCCAGATATTCCCGCTGAATGTTTTGCTTGTCGCCAAGGTGTTCAGCAAGTATCTCTATTGCATCTCTGTAGCACGCTGCCGTAGCCTGTAGCCCGGAGACGGTACTGGCGGCAGGCCCAATCAGAAGCGACCGCAGGTACTGGAATTTTTCTCCATCAGAGAGCTTGGTGTTCTGATGTATTGAGGCGTCGAACTGCTCCCAGAAGGGTTGCCACTGCGTGAGCTCCTTTTGATGGTGTAGAAGTTGCAGTGTGGGGAGCTTCACTCCCGTAGCCTGGGATGGGTGGCCCCTGTCGCCGTCGGCTCCCGTAGCGGGTGTAGTTGGCGTTGCCTGCAACCACGCGATCTTGTTGCGCAGTTCGCTGAGGGTCCTAGCCACTTCGTCTTCATATTCTGCGACAGTGATGTAGTCGGTCTCCAGGTCAACATCGCTGATGTGTGGTTTGATCTCCTCGTTGACTTTACGGAGTTCCTCATTGCTCGTTACCAGTCTGACTCTCGGGTTCTGGAGAGAAGAGGCATTGACGGCGGTGGACTGGAGCATGGTCGTTATCTCGTTGATTATCTTCGTATTCTGACTGCGTCGGACTTTACGCTTGGTCTTGAGCCGATCCATTTTCAGGTTGATTCCTCAAGTCCAAGTCCCAGGTTTCGGCACCAAATAATTGTTGCGCTTTGAGGTGCTCTTTCGCTAGGTACTCGTTGAGGACATTGAGGTCGAGAAAGAATAACAGCACAACCGGCCTGTGTCAAACGGTTTATCCGATTTCTCGTTCGCTCGCGATTCCCCATCGCCCTTGTCTTCTTTTAGCTCCGGACTAAATGTCTCATGTCAGTGGTGTTCATTGTTAGTTTTTCAACAAGGCCGAAGCTGGCTTTTCTGAGGGCCAGTTGGCCCTCAGGAAAGCGAGGGACTCTTTTCGAGGCTGAGTCTCCTTTCTGGCACCCGCTTCCGGCGCTCGTCCCTTGCCCTCAACAGGGTGTTATCTTTTTCAGCGGAGGATCCCAGGTACCTGGTGTTGCAGAGCCACTGCGTGGTGCTACTTCATCGCCTGTGCGTGGACGTGAGTAGGGGCAGCGGGCCCGGTGCTTGGGACGTGCCTCCGACCGGTGCACTTACTGCGCCTTCATTTTTGGTCACGTCAGAATGCCAAGCTCCTGTTGGCTCTGATTGAAGGATAGTGGGTACACCTCGAGACAGCTTGCTTTGAGGCTCAAAATGAAGAGATAAACAGTGAAAAGCATGAGGTAAGCTATCTTTGGGGGTGAGACAGCAAAACCTTATCAAAAATTAACGATAAACACAAGAGGCACCTGCTACAAACTAGGTGACACGAGAACTGATACCGCAGATTGCGGACACGGCAAATTCATGTTTTTTGCATCGCGATAAAAGCGTGGGAATTCGTCACAAACTCTTACATTACAGGAAAGGATACAGCAGACTGCGGACGCGGCAGATACGTGTTCCACGATGCGATAAACGCGTGGAGACCGGACAAACTTGCACGCCATGGGAGCCAATATCTCGTGTGCAGGTCACGGACAAAGACACGGGAATTTGTTACGAACTCACGCGTCACAGAAACTGTCATTGCGCGCACAGATCTCAAACAAAAACGAGGGAACCCGTCTACGGAAAGCAATGACGCCCTGCCATTGTCCCGTCGGCGACTGATAAACGCACCGCTTGGGGGCGCGTCACGGCCACCACATTTGCGCATCCACGACTGTGCCCGACGGGGACCCCTTGCAGGACGCGGCCATTGCCCGGCGGCTGGCCCGCAGCCGGGAGCTGCTGGATGCCCTGCTGTCGCTGTTCCAGTTCACTGAGACCTGCCTGGTGACCTGCGAGTTGGTCGAGTGCCTCCTCCTGTCCCGCATGGCGGTCCTCAACCTGGCTAACCTCGGTGAGCGGCTGGTGCCTTTCGCCGCCTCTGGCGACGTTGGACGTTTCGGTCGCACGGTAGCGCCGAATCGCGTTTCGACGAAACCCAACTCGGACCTTGCGCGTCTGCGTTGCGTCGCACGAGGGTAGAAGGTGGCAGAGTCGGCTACCTGCCTAGCGTCTGCGCCAGATGAATTGCGCCGCACAACGCCGCACCGCCTCGGTACTTCCGTACTCCCTCTTGTCGCGAGAAAAGAGACGGGAGAGGATGGCGAAGGGACACTGCGAAGAGATGCCACGGTGCTTTTCCGGAGGGCCGAGACTGGATGTCGGCCTTGATTTTGTTTCTCGTACAATGTGGAACTGCGTACCATAAAATACCGGGGAAGCGCCCACCCCACTTTCACTGAAAACTAAGTTAATCTAGACGCGGGCGCTTATCCGGTCAAATGGGATGGTTAAGGTAGAATTTGTAGAATTTCCAAATTTGGGAAGTGTTAATAGCGGGCACTTGGAACGAAGTGGGTGCTTCTGCAATATTTTACGGTATGTTTTTTGAAATTTTTTTTCTGAACATTGCATACGGCATCACGAAGCGCGACGTAGAGTGTGCGTTGCCGTAAAAAGGTTGTTATCGCATTTTTTCTACCGGGAAGTAAACTTGGAAGTTTATTAGTCGAACCAGCGCGCGTGACCCCCTTTGAGGTGTGTGTGCATGCCTCTGACCTGGAAACTCTCCTCTCAGTGAACCTGTCCGGCCTGATTGTGCGCCTGGACGACATCCAGCTGGCCAACTTCTGCAAGATCCTGGCCATCAGCCTGTCGGACCTGGACGTATACGAACACAAGACCTCCCGTAAGTGTCGGACTCCGGCGGCCATTTTTGTTTCCTCGCTCTCGCGTGCGCCGTAATGTTATGAGTTTGGAGGCGAGGCGACGGATGGTTGTAGGCTCGGACCATAGAAGGAAAGGTTTCTTTTTTAGAGCTTGAGCTCTAAAAAAGAAACACCGCTCCAACTTGAGCGGTGTTGCATTGTGGGACATTTCCCAAAATGACGTCACGTGTGATGTTACGAGGGTCACGAATGAAGGCCTCAACGGAGGTCACGAATGACATCACGAGGGCCACAAGTGACGTCACGAGGGAGGAGGAAGAGACTGCAAGGAGGAGAGGATACCCTCCTCTCCTTTCTCTCCCCTCCTCCTCAAGAGCTGAGCTCTTATTCGGCATTGCAGGGAATTGTAAACGTCTTTCATTTTTTCTCCATTCGGTTAGACATGTGTCACTCATTTTTTCTCCATTCAGTTAGACATGTGTCGCCTGCCTGGGTCACTTTAGCCGAAGCGGATGATGCCGACGAGCCGACTGCTCATGTGTCGGCTCGTCTTCACTCGGTATAAAGGCCTATGTGTCTAATAATCGAGCACCAGCCCATTCTGCCTTATTTCGCCGATTACTTTCACAGGCCGGTTCGATTACAACTTGAGGGCACAAGGGCAAGCTAAAAAACACCGTATTCGTGCATAGAAAAACACTTAAGGCGAACGTTTTCAGCATTGATTCCTGCGCGATTTCGAACCTCAAGTATGTCAAGTGAAGCTGTGACGTACCGTATTTACACAAATGTAGGTCGACCCATTTTTCAATTTTTCAAAAATCTGAAGTGCGGGGGTGAATTTATAATCGAACCAAAGCAGCCACCTCCGATAAAAACTAAACAATCGCGATATCAAGAACACCTCCGCTTGTTATGAGTTCAGCCAGCTGTGCCTGCAGCATTGCGCTATTCTGCGCGCTCAATTTACGATTAATTTTTTTAATTTGCACGAACGAGTATTATTGATAGGGATTCGCAAATTAACCCGAATGTGTGGCGGTGAACAGTGCACCATGCGCCCAACTTCCGGGAATGGCGGCACTTCTTGTAAGACCCACTCCTGAGGCTGCTGGAACAGCCTCACGGCTTACCGGCTCACCAGGCTTACTTCTTGCGGCGTCTTTTCGCAGTTTCTCGCGCGATTCACGGTCGCATGTCATTCGATCGAGTGTCGAGATCATGCTGGAGTGCTAACTACGTTGTTTTTTGTTATTGACGCGCGTGATCCGGGCAGTTTAGGTTTTCGGTGCTCGTTAATGGCCATTCTTCACCCAGAAACAACCAACAACTGCGCTGTTGGATGCAAGTTCGACCCGTCGGAGCGGCGATGCTCCAGTGGAGTTTGCAATGACGCGGAATCTTAAAGTGTGACGGCAAACGAAGAGGCTTCCGCGGGCCAAAGGCTTGCGACGTACGCCGCAAAAGCGTGCAATTGGTCCCTACCCGTGACATGCAACGCGATCGCCGAGCAAGCGCGAACGATATGGTCATTTGCAAAGTGGAAGATTTCGTTGGATGACGCCGCCGACGTGCTTCGAGAACGTAGCAGTGATGACGACGGGACTGACATCACCAGTGCGGACGAGTCGTAGTCTAGTCGCGGACGGAATGAGAAGAGGGAGCAGCTTTAGTTGTCCCACTTCCACGGTGAACTTTCCAGTTTCGATAACGCCTGGGCATCTCATGCACCTCGCACGTCAGGTTTTTACGTGCATCCCTCTTGAGAGCTGAGGGCCAACAACTGCTTTGCTCAAGATGGCTAGCTGGGCTGGTTGGTTATTCATCGCTAGGGCACGTTTCAGCGTTTAGAAACACAAGCATTTTCTTTCCCCCTTTGGAGTGACTCTGGTCGCTTCATTTAGGCAGGCCTTACGATCTTACTTATGCCACGTGTGCTGGATGCCCAAACGTTTCACGAGCAACAAAGTTGGAGATTCGGCATGGAGATAATCGATGGCAAAGTGTCTAGGAGATGCTTAGAAAGGCGGCGCTGTCGTGACGATCGTCTGTTTTCCGTTGCAAACTAGAATTTGGAAATGTTTACTCATTTATTGTTGAAACAAGAGCAAGTGCGCAAGCAAGCTGCCGAACATTAAACGTGACTAAACCCGAGACGTGGAAGGAAAGAAAAAAAAAAAACGATACACAAAAGGAAATCGTCTTTGGCGAGACGGTGTAGCCGTGTCCCTCTTTTAGCGTGTCTTTCTCGTCCTTCTGTACGTCGGGCGTAGTCGCATCGGGTCCATGGTTCGGTGCCTCTCGATCGCGTCTTCTCGGCGTGGAACCATAGCGGGGCTCCCTCTGTCCGCAGTGTACGCCCAGTGCAAGGAGAAGAAGCGGAAGGACTTCACCTGCGTGCGCGACATGAACCAGGGTGAGTGGGGGCGGGCGTCCCCGTGGCCGGACTGGCAGCGTCTTGGTCGTGCGCAGAGGTCATCCTGAGTGTTCCGGGCATCCTGGAGCGGCTGGTCCACATCGCCTGCGCCAAACCATGTGAGGCATTGGGGGGGGGGGGGCGGCGGCGGCGGCGGCGGCGGGACGGGACGGGACGGGACGGGACGGGACGGGACGGGACGGGACGGGACGGGACGGGACGGGACGGGACGGGACGGGACGGGACGGGACGGGACGGGACGGGACGGGACGGGACGGGACGGGACGGGACGGGACGGGACGGGACGGGACGGGACGGGACGGGACGGGACGGGACGGGACGGGACGGGACGGGACGGGACGGGACGGGACGGGACGGGACGGGACGGGACGGGACGGGACGGGACGGGACGGGACGGGACGGGACGGGACGGGACGGGACGGGACGGGACGGGACGGGACGGGACGGGACTACCTGGATGCGTCTTTGACTGCCTCGTTTGAATTCGGAGAACGGAGTGACGGTACTCCAAGCGTAGCTCGTTCGGCAATTACAGCGGACCCGAAACAACAATGAATTGCGTTGCAAGAGCTGACGTGGACGCTGCGGCCATGGCAGTGGGTCGTAGAAATGCCGACGAGAAGGGGTGAATGGACGCGAAAGTCACCGGCGTCTGCTTTGGTTTCTGGCAACCGTCCGGCCACAGAACGAGCTGAAGTCGAGCACCAGCGTACTGTGGAGAAGCAACACTCATGGAAGCAAGTTCTGCAGATGTTGCTTCTCCACAATGCACTGGTGCTCGGCAAGAAGCGCCCTCAACAGGACCAGCCGTTGAGGCCGCCTCTTGCCGCTTTCTTATGTTGAGTTACGTTACGGAAGCTTGCATCGGCTTGCATTGAGGAGTTCAAGGAGTATGTTTGAACGCGACATTCGTGGCACTCATGTTCGGGTAACCCATATGTAATGTAATAAAACGCGAGAATGTGCACCTGCGTCAGCCAGCCTTAAAGCGGAACAGTGTCTAGCACAATCGATTCTCGGATTAGATTTCGTCGAGTCCGGTCGTTGTTGAGGGGCCCCGCTCCATCAATCTATTCGAGGTTAGAATGTCAGCACGGGTGAACCCTTCTCAGAATTGCTGACCCAGTGCACTGCTAAAACTAATGTGTTGATCGGGGGGGAAGGGGGGGTTCGATGTAATCTTTAATATAGTACAGTCAAATCTCGTTTATTTGAACTCGCGGGGGACCGAAAATTTGGTTGAATAAAGCAAAGTTTGAATTACTGGGATTTTCCTCCCATATAGATGCATAGGATGGGACCTGCATGTTTGTTTGAATTAAGAGAGCTTGAATTAATGAGATTCAATTGTATTGTGATTTCTTCCACTAAATACGAATTGACAGAAATTTTACCAGCGGGTGTTTTTCCGATTTTTTTAGAGGACCTACGGAATCGTCTGCCGTTCCGAAAGAAGTGCCTGCAGCCTTCGTGATTACGTTGTGTCGAGTGGCACAGACCTATCAATTTTTTCGAAAACTTGCGAATTTGCCTGAAAATGTTTGTTCCCCAGCCATTAAAAAGTTGTGAGAATTTTTCGTCTCGTCCGCAGACACGCCCCGGTTCCCTTCGGCCGCTGGCGAGATGAACCACTGGATGCAGTGGATCGAGCGCCAGGTGTCCGCCTGCGTCCAAGGCCGTCCCTCTGCCCGGCCAGACTTTGTGGGCGGTGAGCAGAACTGTGGAATAGCCGAAGCGACTAAATTTTCCTAAATTTTTGCGAATCGGAAAATGAGATCCCTTGAATATGTCACCCCGTGGTAACTAATACATGGCATACCGCCCCCATTCGCAAAAGTTTGTGCCTGCAATACGTTTTCGAAGTTCACACTCCACCCAATTTCTCGAAGTGTCGAGCCCACGATAATGGAGTTGTTCGATACGGTATTTAGGAGAAGGTGTGGGTCTTGAGACAACGAAGAGTTGCAAATTCTAGAGGGGACTGTAATGCTGCGTGCGTGGTGGAGTCGGGAACATTTGAGGCTGCCACGCGGAGGAACAGGGTTCAAACTCCGCTCGGCCTGGTTCTTTCTTTTTCTCAATCTTTGATTTTCTCCGGACCGTTTTCAGTTGTCGTCGTCTGTTCTGGTTTCGAACATTCTTGAACCTACCACACGTATGGAAGCAGCAGTAATGGGCCGCCGTCGCGCAATCTGTGCTTCCTTTTCGTTTAAGGCAGGAGTTGGGTTTTGAGACTAACTTTTTAACTACCAGAGTTAGGCTAAGGGAGTTAGCATCAGCTTCCTTCTTTGCTATGAAAAGAAACTGTCTTTGAAGCTTTCCTGATGTCTTTGTTGCAAAAGCCACAGGTCAGATTTGATAACCTAAAAGTTTTAACCCCTGCATTTGCTATTTAGGAATAATATTCAGCAGGCAGAAGTGAAATCAGATGGATAGTTTTCAAGATGTCCCCTGCACAAGCAAGCCAGATGACAGAAAAACATGTTTTGAGAAAATCGAGAAAGAAGTTAAAAGATGGCGGCTTAGCCTTATATCTTGTAGCACTGCCTTAAAAGTTGCCTTCGATGTCCAGGAGACATATTTATAAGAAGAAATACTGTAAATGTAATTCAAGTACATTAATCAAACAAACAAAAGGAACTGAGCAAGTTTGGTTTTGGAGTAACCTCAGCCACTGAAAATCAGTGACAGTTCCTCATTGCACAAACAAACGAGAATAGAAAATAGACAAGTCATTAAATCTCTTTGACAGCTTCCAAAATACCTTAACACATCTCTCTAAAAAATAGTGATATGGAATTTTTTTTTTTAATGGGATAAATAATATTTTATTGTTCATGAATACAGTTTTTTTTAATTGGACCTAGAATGATAGATATATTTGGGTTTTCTGTGACATTTTGTCATTCAAAGATAAATAACAAAAAGTTTGATTAAAAAAAGGACTATCAACGGTCCCTGTCGGGCATTTGCCAGTTGTGAAATTCTCATGTGGTCGCCAAGGCTTCCATTTGTACCGAATGTGCAATTTTTGAGCACATTAGGGGTTCTTTTTAATTACTTCTTGCATGAAATCTCACGTTTTGGTGCAAAGTGTGAAAATGGGCATTTTTCTATTCTTATTGATAAAGTTGCATATAGGAGGCCACTCTTGGTGGCCATAGTTCAACTGTTCTGAAATGTACTTTTAGCACAACTTCTTGCAGTCGTGTCTTCTCAAAATTCGGCGACAAAAAAAAAAAGCTCCGACTAGCGAAAGCAAAATTGCAGAGATCAAGGCCCGCAAAAGCCTTTCGCAAGCGAGCAACCACTTCACACTGGCGCAAGCAGACGAAACGCGAGTCAGAAAGAGAGCGGACGAGAAGGAAAGCATGCGGGAAGGTTCACTCATTGCCCGGGCAACCGGAATGCGCGGTGCGGTTGCCCGCGTGCGCTCGGATCACGTGCTTGACAGAGCCAATGAGCAGCCCGTTCCGGATTTCGACGTTTCGGGCGCCGTCCAATGGCACTACAGAAACGTCCTCATTGCCAATCGAGAGAGAAGAAAATGGCCTTTCGAACGCGTCCAAGATCGCCGTGCTCTGCCGCTCTATTTGCAATCGAAAATTCTTCAAATTTTTTGTGTTATCTGTTACCTTTTTGGGCAGTTTTCGGGGCACAATTATTAATTTGTTACTAATCTTGCGTGCAAGATATGTACACATACAAACCTTGGCGAGCATAAATACCTTTTCCGTATTCCTTTAAGTTTGTAGGCACGAGTTCACCTCATATAAATGTTTATTTTCAGTTCTATGTCCCTGAAATATATTGCCTAGAGGCAGTCTTGGGCAGTAACTAGTTGCTAGTACGAGTTACCGGTAACTCATTACTTTTTCCGGTAACTTTTACACGTAACGCGTTACTCTTTAATACCGGTAACTTGTAACTGTCGCACTGTTACTTTTTTATTGGGTAACTGTAACTGTTTACGCCGTTACAGTTACTTTTTTTTTTCTATATAAATTAGAACCCACTGCAGCGGACATGGAGAAATTGCCGTCTTGAAGTATTTTGCTCCAAACTCCTCGCTGACAAAAAAAAGAATAAGAAGAAGAAGGGTGGTTACTCATTAAACAAACAAAAAAAATTGCCTGCTTTAGCCCACGACCGAGAATGCATGACGGACAAGTCAGCACAAAACCGGGAGATTAAGGAAACGACGCCCGCGGTGTTAGGGGCGGCAAACAATGTCTGTTTCACTGACTTTGGCTCACACTTCTCTCATGGGAGCCATCTGCGGGTGTCGGTGGTCGTGCGATGCCTCCGAGTATTCCGTCTGGGCTGTGCCTGGGATATGTCCCTGCTGACGTTTTTACACCCAGCCGTTCGCCGTTTCCTCATTCCTATTAGGTGTCAAGGAAGCCGTAAGCCGGCGCTTGTTTAACATATTCATTTTTTTCGGAGCTGCTCGAATGAACACGACTTTTACAGTTGGCTTTTCGGACATGGACGCCGCGATGGTCATCGTACACTCGTAAAGCACCAGAAGCGCATTGTCTTCTTTTCCCCTTTTATTCTTTTGAAGCTGTTTGACCTGCTATGTTTAGGCCTGCTTTCGAGTATATCCCATAAGATAATTATGTGACCATCTCTGTGCTCATTCTTTTCGGAGTGAAAAATAAGCCAAAAACGTTCACTGGCGCGGGCCGATTACAATTTTGAAAAACGGTTGATTCTAAGTTGTAACAATTGTTGCAAATAAATTATGCACATCAAAATGCTGAAACGGCGAATGACGCAAAAAAAAGAAACACCCTTCGGCTTTAAATTTTTCTAATTTCTCAGTTTACCTTTCTTCTCACTATAGTGTAACAAACAAAATAATATTGTGTGGGTTTGTGATTCTTTGTGTCCGATTTTTGTACTGTAACGAGAAAGTAACGTCGTTGCTGTTTTTGCAATAACTGTAACTGTAACACGTTACTTTTTACTGATAACGTGCCCATGACTGCCTAGAGGACAATATATTTTTAGAACTAGACTGAAGCTTTTGCAGTATTTGCAAGAACAGAAACATGTACTACCTGCAAGTAACAGTCTCTTATAGCATTGTCAGTATTGTAAGCCCACAGTAAAAAGATAACGCATACAAAATGAGGAAATTTATACGCAGCAAATTTGTGCACTATCTACGTTAAACAATCTTACAGTTTTGTCAGAATTACTTCAAGCCGACAATGAAAGAATGATGCGTACAAAATTAGAAAATATATACGGCAAATCTACGCACCCTCTTCGAGAAATGCCGTAAGCGACCTACTTTTCACGAGGACCCAATTGTCTCAAATGTCGCAGCTCAAACAATATAGCGAAAAATATATCCCGCAAAAAAGTTACCCCACGATAATGAATGCATGGCATACCACTCCCAATTGCGAAACACTTCCGAAGCCCACGTGTCGCAAAATTTGCGAAATATCGACCCCGCAAAAATCGATTTGTTCACACCAGTCGTTTGTAACATTGTCGGGATTATTTCGAACCCCAAGGAGACGAAGCAACGTTTTAAGCAAAACCAAGGAACTACGTGCAATCTCGTGGCGAGCAGTCGCATCCGGTCGTGACGCGGTTATTGTTGCAACGGAAACGTCCGGACCGTCCTCGTGCCGCGTCGTGACCCTCCCCACCGGCCTCCCGCAGGGATCTCGCAGTGGAACCGGGACACGGGCCGCTTCCAGCACGAGGCGGCCCTGCAGATCTCGGCGGAGATGACCTTCCGGGCGGAGGCGGTCTACATCCTGGGTCTGCTGCTGGCGGGCAAGCGACGCCGGGAGGTGCAGAGGGCCCTGGCCGCCCTGCGCCTCATCCCCCGCCTCTCGGACCTCTTTGACCACTTCGTCTGGAAGTACAATGCGTGCGTGGCCTTCTCACACTCTCGGGGGAGGGAACGGTCTAATCCACACATGTTTAAATAGTGCCCTCGGGATTTTCCTGGACCGTCCGTACCCCTAAGTGAAGTGGTTTCTCAGGTCGATCTCTTGCAACTAGGGGTGTGCAAATACTCGAATATACAAATTCGAATCAAATACCAAGTTCTTGAATAATTCGATTTGCAAATCAAATTTCTAGAATTTGGTCACTCGAATATTCTATATATTCGACCAGAGACGCGCGGTCGGCGTGGAGCTGACAAAAGAGTCGTTTTTTTTCTCCCGATGTTAGTGCAGTGAAGTTAGATAGACTATGCGAGAAACACCTCTTGGTCCTACCATTTCTCACAAAATCTAACGTACAGGCTAGAAAAAAGAGAAGTGACAAATGTCACAAACCTTTATAGCACGCAGGTTTAATCATGATCGTGACACAATCTAAACTTGAATCACAACCAAAACATCCCGTTTGCGCCGCTTCCAGAGAGGAATAGTTGCGAGGCTGGAATTCCAGACCATGCCTGATTCTTTTCATGAGTAAAGCCCCTTGTTTCAGATTGAAGCGTCAATGTAAAACGCACTTGCCACATTCACACAAACCGCCGACTGCAAGATCACAAAAACTTTCAGCCTTTCCACCCTGGTGAAGAAGGAAGACCATCGGAACGAGAAAACAGCACAAACAAAAACGACGAACCAGTAGAAGAGTAGAACAGCGCCTTGTCTGTGTGTATACTCTTCTACTGGCCCGTCGTTTCTGTTTGCACTGTTTTATCGTTCTGATGCATCATTAACTCATCCAGATTTCTACGCTTATAAAGGAAGACCAGCGAAGCTGTACTATGGTGGGAACGAAGTGATGGCCGGCCGCAAGTCGGCAAGCCAGAGTAGAAAGGCTGGAAAGGTTGCCGCCATCTATGTGCGACGGTGGCAACTAGACAATCAGAAAGCCGGTTGTCTGGTTGCCGCCGTCGCTTATAGATGGTGGTAGCTGTCCAGAGTTTAGTGTCATCATTTGTTTGCTGAAAGACACGATACTGGGAAAACTAGCCTTTAAAGGGATGCTGAACTGAAATCTGGATTCTGTATTGATTGTGAGTCCACACATCTCGGTACCAGAAGAGAACTGGCTCTCGTGCTTTATGTCATGAGCCCGCGCCAGGCTCCGAGCTGCTGCTCGAGCGCCCGCGCAACACCGATACATCTTCCGCTCTTTAAAGAAAAGAAATACAAAGAAAATAAGTACGAAAATAACATAACATACAAAGAATGCAGATAGCATTAAATAAAAAATAAACACACAAAAGAAACTATGGAAACTGTTCAAATGTTTTGTCGTAGGTTAGTCGACGTGGTGCGTGTCTGCTTCGTGATGATCTTCTCAGTGCTGGAGCCTCATCTGTCAAAGTTTCACCGGATGCTGGGGATGGATGTGTGGAACGATGGTCTGTATCTGGGTTACAGTGTGGTTGTGGAAGCTGTGGAGACTGCGAAGTCTGTGAAGGCTGCGGATTGTCGTGGGCGTCGGAGTGCTGCTGTGGTGAAGCGGCATCTTCATCCAGGCAATCATTGAATGCTTCCGACGTTTTCAACAAATGACGGCGGTTTCTCCTGTAGATCCTGTTCCGCTCGGTTTGGACAGTGTAGGATCGTGGCCCGGCACAATTTGTTACCCTAGCTTTCTCAAACCAACCGCCTTTTCCTCGCATGCGGACGACGTCACCGCTCTTCAAGTCCTTCAGCGACGTTCCAGGCTTGTTTTGTTGCCTCTTGCACACAGGTTTCCTCGGGTGCGATGAGAAATCAGGAAGTTGTGCTCGCTACTAGGGTCCATACAGCAACTCTCCCGGAGACTGTCCTCCTATCAAAGGGGAACACCGATAGTTCAAGAGACCGAGAAAAAAATCATCCCCTGCATCATCACATTTCTTTAAAATTCTCTTTGCAATTTGTACCCCTTTTTCAGCAAGACCATTGGATTGCGGAAAGTGGGGGCTTGATGTCACGTGATGGAAGTCATAAACCCTGGAAAATCGTTTAAACTCGGAAGATGAAAATTGTGGCCCATTGTCTGAGCAAACTTCTATTGGAGTGCCGTGCCTTGCGAACCAGCCTGACAATGTATGGATGATGGTTTGCGAACAGGTGTCCTGGAGTCTTTCAACCTCTGGGTAGTTTGAATACGCATCAAATGCAACTAAATAAGAGTAACCTCCATAGGCAAACAAGTCAATGCCAACACGATACCATGCGTAAGGAGGGGGCTCGCGCATCATTAGTGGTTCGCGGGGTTGCTGATATGCAAACTTCTTGCATGTCGCGCATTCCGCAACAAAGGTGTGAATGTCCTGCGCCATTTTGGGCCAAAACATGAGTTGGCGTCCCCTTTCTTTGCATTTGTTTACACCTAAGTGCCCTTGGTGGACCCGAGCTAACATAACTCGCCGAAGTGACAAAGGGATCACCACCTTCGTTCCTTTAAGAATGATTCCATTGACCACCGACAGTTCAGGGTCTAGTGACCTGAAGTTGCCTTGCAATGGGTACCCGTTCTCTAGACAGTGAAGGACGTGTTGTAACTCAGGGTCCCTCTGTGTTTCAGTTCTGAGTCTGTCCTGTGTTGTCTCGCTCACAAGTGCGGCAAGCATTCCCACAGCGTGTACTTCAACATCCTCCAAGCCTTGCTTGTGATGAGGACTATGCTGCCCAGCTCTTGACAAAGCGTCAGCTAGAACAAGCTTTCTGCCAGGTAGAAACTGTAGCGTGAAGTCGTACCTCATCAGTCTCAAAAAGAAACGTTGTAGGCGAGGGGGAACATCACCCAGTCTTTTTTTTGATAAAGCGACCAACGGGCTGTGATCAGTCTCGAGAAGGATGTGTCTACCATATGTGAGGTGGTGAAACCTCTCACATCCAAATACCAGCCCAAGCGCCTCCTTCTCAATCTGAGAGTATCGTGATTCGCTGTCCGAGAGTGATCGGGACGCATACGCTACAGGGTGCCACGACTTGTCGTACAGCTGTAATAAGGCCGCTCCAAGTCCATCTGTAGACGCGTCAGCCGACAGTTTTGTGGGTCTACTAGGGTCAAAAAGTGCGAGGACTGGAGCACTGGTCAGCATGAGTTTTACAGTGTAGACCGCATATAACGTATGTCGCGGGAGTCGCGAAAATCCGCACTATAAGCGGTACCGCGCTATAACCAAAACATCAATTTTTCAGGCCAAAATACATGGCATGAGACAACTTACCTTTGTAAAACAATTTATTTTATGTTAGATGAAAAATAAAGCTTAGTTTAAGGAAAGTTTTTATTTCACTAGGCTAGTACACTTCTCTCTCAAGTGTGTTACGCATTTTGAAAGAAATGAGCGGCTTTTGCCTGGCGAAGCCTCGCGGGTTGCGGACGGACGTTGCGAGCGTTCAGGATTGCTAACCCTAATCACTTTTCTCTGGCGATGAAAACGCATGAAAATTCGCATCCTTCATACGGTACGCGCCAGTAATACCTTCAACTTGAGCACAGGCATGAAATGCTCCAAATAAGAAATCCGGGCGATGTTCGAAAACACAAATGCTTAGAAAGCACCACTAGTCAAAGTAAACAAACACGACGACACGGGCGTTTCTGCCGTCTTGAGGGTGCCTCCACAACATCGCGGCACAAGTAGGTAAATCTTCCCTTCTAGTACGTGCTGGCTTATCATAGCGACACACAACGAAAATTCACAGTCAAGGATAGCGCTTTTACGCGGAACGATGAGCTTCTACCAAAACCGACGCCATGTTTGCGGATAGAAGCAGCTGGCCCGCGACCGGCATGCAACGCACGCGAACACTTCTCCTCAACCTGTGATTGGTCTGTCGTTGCGGTTGTTTCCAATGCAGCGGAGGTACGCACGCGAACGACACATGCGTGCGTCCCTCCGTCGCTATGGCAACTGAAGCCCCTCTCTTCGCTTCTTTGAGCAACCTCCTTGCCCCGCGAGTGCCGTTTGCGGCTCGCGCCGGCTCGCGCCGTTGCCTAGTGTCGCACAGGGAAGCATGCTCGCTGCATCGGCGCGGTCGGCGGGCTGTTGCAGAAACCGCACTATAACCGGTATTTCCCTTTGCGCGCCTGCATTTTAAGCGGTATGTAATTACATGGAGTTCTATGGGAGGCGAACCGGTGGTTTAAAAAAGCCGCATTATACCCGGTCCTGCACTATAAGTGGTTACGTTGTAAGTGGTCTATACTGTAATTGCTTCCACTCATTGTCATGAGCCGCTGTCCACTCAAAAAGTACATCTTCGCGAAGAAGTTGTCTAAGATTTGCTGTACGTTCGGATAAACTCTTTAAGTATTTTCCAAAGTAATTTATAACGCCAAGCATGCGCTGGAGAGCTTTCTTGTTTGTGGGTGCATCCATCTTCACGATATCTTTTAAAAGACTCGGATCAGGCCTGATACCTTCTTTGCTCACTACATCCCCAAGGAAAATTACTTCTGGAATTCCAAACTGGCATTTCTCTGAGTTTAGCGTCAGGCCTGCGCTGTGTGCAGCTTGCAGAGCTGATCGCAGCCGATCATCATGCTCCTGTTGCGTAGCTCCCCAGACCAGCACGTCATCAATGTAAACACGTACCCCCTTCAGTCCTTCAAAAATTTCAGACATCGCACGCTGGAATACCTCTGGCGCAGAAGCCAATTCAAATGGCAACCTCAAAAATCGGTATCGTCCAAAAGGGGTGCCGAATGTGCAAACTCGCGATGTTTCGTCAGTCAACGGGATTTGGTGAAAGCCTGCCCGCGCATCAAGCTTTGAAAACACTGTGGCGCTAGCAAGCTCAGCTTGTATATCTTCCCTTCTCGGCATTTCGAAATGCTCACGTCTCAGACACTCATTGATTCTTCGTGGGTCCATGCATACCCTTAAACTGCCGTTCTTCTTTTTCACCAAGACTAGGGGGCTTACTCAGTCTGAGGGCTCCTTCATTCTTGTGATAATTCCTGCCTGCTCCATGCGGTTCAGTTCTTGCTTCAGCGGCTCCATGAGGGCTTGAGGTACCCTACGGGTGGGTTGAACGACAGGCACTGTGCCTTCCTTAAAAGAGATGCTGTATGGACGTTGGATTTTCCCACTGCCTTCAAACAGTGCTGGAAATTCTCGCTGAACTTGTGATTGAGTATTCGTGATGGTGGCGATCTCCTGCACACGGTTCACCAAGCCTAACTCTTCACAAGTAGGCAATCCTAGAAGTGCACGCCTGTTCTTCTTGACGACAAAAAACTCGGCGGAAACAACTTTTCCTTGGAACTTGAGCATGAGACTGGCTTTTCCAAGGTGGCCGATAGCGCTGCCGTTGTAGCTTTGAAACTCTGCCAGACTTGGTATCAGGTGCTGCCTGGAGTTGGCGCTTCGGAAGAGTGACAGCAGGAGAAGATTGACTTGGGAGCCGGTGTCTACCTTGAACTGTAGAGGCACATTTTCAATCATTACCTTGATCAACCAGTCTTTCTCAGCGATTTTCCTGGACTCGCCGACCTGGAGTATTTCAAAGTTATCTTCTGACGGTATTTCTACTTCCTCCACTCGCCGACTGCTTTGCTCATCTTGAGGCTTTGCGTCACAACATATCGCGAAATGGTGTTTCTTTCCGTACAAATTGCATTTCTTGCCGAAAGCTGGGCATCGGCGTGGCGCGTGAAATTGGTTGCACTTTCGACATCGCAGACGTGACACACTTTTTTCACTCTTTTGCATGGCGTCTACTTGTTCTACTGGTGTCGGGTGCTGATCCATCCACATCCTCGCTTGTTGCGACGAATTCTCTGCAGCTTTGCAGATTCTCGTTGCTTTCTCAAGGGTCAGGTCATCCTCCCTCAGCAGATGTTCCCGCAGTTTGTGATCTCTGACGCCATCGACAATCTGATCTCTCACAAGAGAATCTGTCAGGTCGCCGAAATTACACGAGCGCACTTTGAGTTTAACGTCTCTCAAAAAGTTTTCAAATGACTGACCTTCTATCTGGATCGTTTTGCGGAAAACGTGGCGTTCGAATGTTTCGCTAGCTTTCGGTGCACAATAATCTTGAAACTTGTGAACTACCGCCTCGAAGCTTTCCCTTTGTTCTTCCGTGAGAGTGAATGTGTTGAAGACGTCGACAGCTTCAGGTCCCGCGACGTGCAGCAAGATAGCTATCTTCTGCCTGTCTGTTCGAACCTCTGGATCAGACCCGGTCGCTTCAAGGAAGAGCTCCACTCGTTGAAGGAATCGTTTCCAGTTGTCTGCGACGTTCCCTGAGAACGATAAACCTTCCGGTGGTTTCAGCATCTCCATATTGGACTTCAAGGTTCGCCCGGTCAGACATCAGTCGGGTTTCGGCACCATGTATTGATTGTGAGTCCACACATCTCGGTACCAGAAGAGAACTGACTCTCGTGCTTTATGTCATGAGCCCGCGCCAGGCTCCGAGCTGCTGCTCGAGCGCCCGCGCAACACCGATACAGATTCCACAAAACGCGCGGCATGCTACAAATGCTAAAACATCACTCGTACAGTGATCTCTCGAACAAATTACCATATTTTTTTAAAAAAGGGAGACATTTGACAGAAATGTTCACGTCATGTTTTTCCGAGAAGGAGAGGGAATGGCCTTGCGTCTTCTCCGCCTCGCCGCTTTGAGGGAGCGAAGTGAAGAGAGGAGGAAACGAGATATCTCTACGTCACGCGCCTCGTCGGCCTGGTTCAATCTCGACCTCTTTTTCCGAAAATTTGGCCTTCCATTCGAGATATCGCCTTACGAGTAGTGTTGTAGGGATTGTAGCGTCCCGCCTACAGCTCCTGCATTGTTTTTTAAAATCCAAATTTCGGTTTACCATCCCTTTAACAGCACCGCTGTAAAAGAAAACCACGTTAACCACGCCGATGAAACCGGCCGAGTTGGCGCCGTCGTTAGTTTGGAAGTGCAAGTGCCGCAAGCCACAAGTTCCGATTCAGAACGAAACGGAACGGAAATATAGTGTGCCTAGATTTGAGAGGGTTTCGAAGCGTTCGATAGCCGCGTTTGAAATACGAACTGCGAGAAGATGACGGAAAGACGAAAGCGTCGATCGGGCAGGCATCGTCGCCCTTCCATTAGCTCGCCTTCTTTTCATGCGACAACACAACACATGCACACTTCTGTCCAATCTGCGCAGGAGCCGTCTCTGTGGTTTCTGTTTTGCTTGCTCCCCTTTTGAATCTAGGCTGTCTAAAACAGGATAGATGGACGGAAGAATGCATGTTGAACGGTTACTTGCACCGCCTAACCACATGTTTTTCTCTTGCTTCAGATAATATTGTTTAAGCCTGTTTACTCCGAATTAACACCTATCTGTTTATTTATATAAAATAAAACCCTGGGTGCCCTTTTTCGCCCTTAAAATTGAGACGAAACATCATAAAATGCCCCTTTTCTGAAATATACAGATATAAAAAAAAAGTACATGTTACAGTGTTAGGTCATGCTTTTAGGCACGCGTGGCTGTAACTTCGTTTTTTTTTTTTTTTGTGACGCTTAGGGTAGATTATGTTTGCACCATAAAATTGTATCTTTAGTGCCCCACGTCTATCAGCAGCTGCTTTTTTTTTTTTGCATTAGAACTTTTTCACATTTGAGCTTTTTTTCCGTACGATATGCGTATTCTGCACCAGGCACATACTCTGCGCATATAATGTTCTCATTCACAGCACACTTCGAAAAATTTCTAGAAATGAAATTCCTATTCAATATTCTATTCGATATTCGGCTTTTTTTTCTTACTTCGATTCATTATTCGATTCTATAACTACTATTCGGTATTCGCACACCCCTACTAGCAACGCCTAAACTGGAAGGGGATCCCCGAGATCACAAAGTTTGACAGCCTCCGTACTAGTCGCTGGGCTCCCTTTAACTTTTGCCAGCGAAGACGGCGACGAGGAAACGGGCTTCCCAAGAGGTAAATATAGGAAAGCTCGGAAGTCGTTTTAAAGGGAGACCCTTGTTTTGAAGATCAGAACTTAAAAACGGTGCACAATCCTTTTTTTTTTCCCCTCAATAATTGTAAAATAAGGTTTCCTGTTATTGCAGTTCTTTGGATCGTACGTTCTCCGCTACTCGGCATTTGTTGGAGTCCAATTTTGTTACGTTACAGCTTCTCCGATATTCCAGTTGCAAAGGAAGCATCCTCGCACGATCGCATCAAAAAGAACAGAAAGTTGTTTTCATTGCTATCAGTACCCGCAAGGTCGTAACACTATGCACGTATATCGAGAGCCTTCATGCTGCCAGAAGTAGATTGGAGCTTGCGATGAACTCTAGCATGCTTCGTAAGGTTCTTGCCGTGTCGTTTCTGGAGTCGATAGCAGTCGCCGACGGGGGGGAAAACAGAGGGGCTGCCGTCTCGGATGCCCGGCCTCCAGGCTCGTCGCCTTCCACCGTGCTTTGGCTGCGCGCAGACGCTCGCAGCTCGCGGGACGCCGAAGCATTATGGAAGCCGGAAAGCTCGCGCCGGGCATGGGACGACCGAAAGACCTTCCCCGCCATTCTCAAGTGCTGAAAAGCACCACCCGGGAAGAGTGCCGTGCAAGGCAACGGGCACGGCCGCTTCCGAGACGGAAAAGTGTCGCGTCGTGCCCCTGTTGATTTGCCGGTCCATTTTACGGCACCGTCGTTGCAGGGGACGGGGTCGCATGCCGGGCCACAACGTGAACTGCGAGTGCAGTCCGGTGAGTCGCCCCTTGGGCACCCCTCGTCCCTCTTACGAAATACGGGGTACTACAGCGCCATCCACTTGCAACGGTACCAGTTATAACAACGTACTGCCTATAAAAATCGGTTTCTAGATTTTCTAGACTAGCAGTAATCGATTTCTAGTCCAGATACAGCGATGGTCGGTTGCATCGTTTGAGTTTTCTGGCTTTCTTATTATCGTTATATGTGGATTGCACTGTACAAGGAAGTACTGCGTGCCTGAGCTTCTTAACAAATGACCCGAAGAGGTGACTTACGATCAACGTTACTAGGACAGTTGAACTGGGAGACTCCCGTGGAACCCTGCTTCCAAAAAACTGGCTCCTCTCCGTATTTCAGCACCAGGCTCGACGAGATCGCAGTGCCGCCATTTCCGCCGCAGCGGCCCTTCTGGGAACTGTGCACGCCAAATGGAGAACATGGTACACTCGTGCCATACTGTGGCTTCCTCACGGACTGTCCATTCCGGAAAGTGCATCGAAGCTGTAAAAATAATGCAAACAAAAAAACAAAAAAACTTGTGTCTGCAAAGAAACTTTTGCTGACTGCCTCATCTCAAGACACAGATTATGTACCCCAAACTACCCAACCAACGGAATGGACTGACCATGAAGGGGCGGCACTGTAATCAAATCGGGTTTGCAGTGGCTCTGTTCTGGCAAAGAAGGGGGGGAACTGTCTTTGTTTCAAGGGTGTTTTCCAACTGGGTTGTTCAGGTAATGTTGCTTCAGATGGAAGCTGTGCAAACAAATGAATCTGAGAGCATAAAAGAAGAAATCACATGAAAAAAAAAAAAAAACTCAATTAAAATATTGACGATTTCTCCGGCTGCACCTACCTTATTGGATGCTTACGTTTCAGTCTCGTATGTATTTCGTGTACAAGTGTGCAGGCTAAGCTGAAACTGAACCGTTGTTTTTATCTTTGCAAAATTTTCGTGATTCTGTAACTAGTGTTTGTTAATGCACAGCACTGTTGAAATCAGTTGCAATGAAGTCAACGGGAATCGGAAATCACTTCACTACCTATATCCGCTATTTCATTATAACCGACTTCGGTTATAACGAAGTGCGAAAGAGAATGGAAAATCGTGATTGCTTCGCTGTAGCCACTATTTCGTCATAACCGACTTCGTTATAACTGGTCTCGACAGTACAGAAGTGGAAATTCTTCAGCGCAAAAAAAGTGCACTCCCGCTTTAAAGAATTTATTGCTTTGATTCTTTGAGCAAAATAAAGTAGCTGCAACGTATTGACTAGAAGTTTTGTGAGCACTGCGCTCACAAAACTTCTTGTCCTATGTGGGCTTTGTACAGTAAAACCTCATCAACACGTTTTTCCGGGGGACCGCAATAAAAAAAATTTATAATCTGGGAAAACGTAAGAATTAATAATGCTATTGGGGTTTATAGGTAAGATGGGAAGCAACTCTCGAGCAGCAAGTTACTTAGTGCGGACTTCTGCAGCTGGGAAAAAAACTATAGTGTTTATTCAAATATACAGGGCAACTATTTAGCACTACCGTAGAATTCCGCGCATGCACCCATTCCACATTGAGCGCCCATTCCCAAATTTGTAAGATCTGAGAAAATATGCTCTGTACATTGATATGTAAAATTGATGACCGGACAAGCGCCCATCCCCCATTTGTTTGCAATTATTTCAAAATGTTAAGTGGGTGCTTGCCCGGTATTTTACGGTATTTGAAATTGGAGTCGGTCTATTCGTAACTAAAGAACGTCGACCTGAATGAGAGCAAAACTTCCGAGCTGGTGGAGCTCATATTCTCTACCATAGAGCTCAATTCCTACTACTTGTAGGATTTTCCTGGCTGCTACCTGCCTCGGAGAATGACGCAGCACACCGGTTTGACGACACATAGTCCTTCATTGACCGTCATCGCCCGTGCCGCGACCCAAAAGCCCCTGCCATACGCCGCGGCGGCCTTTTATCGGTGGCGAAGCACCGCCCCGTGGCCAGTTGCACTCCGCCCCGTCGCGGTGGAAATGACGACGAACGATTTAGTGTGCGGCCAACCTGGTCCGACGTTTTGGATCCCCAGGTTGCCCACAACTGTGTTCCATGTGAAATGAAGCAAGTGCAATAGGCCGACCTCACTAGCCAGTTTCGTCACGCCGCCACTGCCACGATGCATTGAGGGAACTTAGGTTTTTCTGCACGCACGACAACTGCACCAGGGGTCTGCGCGAGCGGGGCACGTCGCGGCACGAGCTGCCTCATGCTGCGCCATCTGCCATCTGCAGATTAAAGTTAAGGTGGCATCACACGTGCACAAAAGGCTCTGCGGGATCAATTTCTAGGGATACCGAGCCGTTATACTAATTTAAACTTAAAACTCCTATTAGTTTCATTGTTTTGTGCAAGAAATGCTCATCATAGAGAGTTTTACTATCGTAAAGTCCGTTGCTTGCATACGCGCAATGAACACCGCCGATCTGCACACAGCGCGAACGTTTGCTCCTTGAGAGCATGTTTCTTACACCGATATGTTACCTTAACGTTAGTAAAAGAAAAAGAGTCAACAAGAAAATAGAAAACCAACCAGGCGCAACTATGGCAAGCGAGCGGGCGAAGGAGCAATGAAGAGCGAAGCTGAGGAAGCAGAAAAGCTGGAGATTGCATTGGCAAATACTTTGGCATCGGGCCTTGCCGATTGCAAGGACTTGCGCGACTTTCTTGTTTGGTGCATACATGCGAGCGTTCGTGTGCGGCTGGTGCGTGGCGTGGACGGCACCACGAACACGGAGCTCGAAATGGGACACTTTACAGACGTCCGTGTGCGGCTTCCAGCAAATCGTGTGATAAAAAAAAAGAAAAGTTGGAAAAACGCTAGTCTTAGATTTTGTGACCTGATAAACTTGTAACTGTAGGGAGGGGCAATGAAACAAAGATGACTGTCGTTCTCAGTCGGCAATGTTCGCTTATCTTCTGTCTTGGCTAAGTAACTAAATTTCTGCTGAGGTCACCGTTGGCCAGGGCCCTGCGATTTCTAAAAATAAGCCATCTTTTGATGTTTAGCAAACCATGTCGAAAATAGGGGGCAGATTACCTTTCGGGGGTGCGGCATATCTCGGGATATTACGCTAGGCCGGCGCTTGCGGAAGTAAGAACTGTGAAAACGTATTATTTGATTTTGTATCAACAAGGCTCTACTGTAATTGCGACGCGTTTCGACGACGAAGCAAATACCGTAGCATTTCCTACGCCGCCGTGCCTTGCAGGAGGTTGCCCTCAAGATTCAGGTGCTGCGGCTGGTCCACAGCTTCTGCGAGCACGCCCAGTGAGTGACTCGATGTCGCTTTTGTCGGCAAGGCGCCTGGGGCGCATCTTCGACTGGCGGGTTTGTGGCGTCCTCAGACACGGACTCTCAATTTTCGCCCGATCATGTTAAAAAAATAAAAGCACGCAGCTCTGTCGCCCGCCTGATGTGGCGGATGGCCGTTCCGTCGTAGTCCGGTCTCCCGCTCGACGGTCCATGGAAGGTTCCACGGCAAAAAAACTGGAACGCCGCTACGACGGTGACGCACGCAATCGCTAGTTTTGTTTGCTGGAACTTCTAAGACCCACTTTCCTTGTTAGCATAACCGCTTACAAGGAGAGAACATACCGGCGCCGTCGTTTGAGTAGCTCTGGAACTGCGTGCAACTAGACCGAAGGTTTTGCAGTATTTCAGAGATTAAATCTCTGCCTCATTTCGTCGTCTGTCGCCAGTTTGGGATCGCTTCCTACGCACGGGTGGCACAGGACGTCAAACGCGCCGGTCGAAGATGCATTCCAAACGCCACACTTTGGGGAAACGTCCTAAGGCTGCCTTTTTCTCCCAGGTACAAGCACGTCATGCTCTCTTGGAGCGAGTACAGCGAGCTGAAGCGCAACGGTAAGTGACTCGTCCGAGGTGCGTACTGGAACTCTTACTTTGCTCGGAAAAGTGGCACGGTCAAACCCGGATGTGTCGAGTTCGAGGGAGATTGCAAAATAGCTTGACGCGTCGATAATTCTACATAAGAGAGTATGTTAACTTAATCTCCGGTTGAAATTTCCACGCTAATACCGAAGGTTGTGACAAATCGGAACTTACCAAGTGGAGCATCGAAGAACAGCTAAATGTTTGCAGAAACCGCAATGAGCTAAATGAGTTTGCAGAAACCGCAAACGCCTCCGCTCGTACGTGTGTGGCCGTGACCTCAACAGCACGGACAACAGAGTGTGAAAATAACTAAGAAAAACAAAACAAAGAGTGGTATACTTGTAAAATAAAAAAAGCGCTTTCATGCATAGAAAAAAGTTGAGCAAGCAGCAACAAAAAACAATGTGGCATAAAATCGGACAAAAGAACGGCAAAACAGAAAATGCAAAACGAAAACGGCGAAAGAAAGAGTTACACAAAGATAAACCAGGCATTCAAAGAGCGATTACACAACCGTTGTCAACAAACTCAACTATCCAGAGACATTTTTTTTTTTTTGTGCGTTTGGCTGTTTATGGCTAATTTTGTTTATCCTGATGCCTGCAAACTGCAGAGTGACGGCTGTACTTGGGGAAAGCCCCCCTACCAGGGCCGCAGCGCGCTATCTGATATATCGAACGTGTCACATAGTGAAGTTTGATGCGTAACGTGCCCATACTTTTACGGGGGATTTTCAACTGGATGTTTTGACTGCAAAATAGACAATATTTTGGAATGCCCCGGAGTGAGTGAGCGAGAATGTTTTCTTGATGCTAATAAACCAACGACGATTGGCCCTTGTACGAGGGATGGGATGGGAATAGGGGCAATCTACTTCTGACGGTTTACACTGCGGTACCGTCAGGAAAGGGGGTAGGGAGGAGCTTATGGGACGGGGGGGGGGGGGTCTTTGCATGCGTATTGTTAAATATGAATGTTCAGGCCAGATATTCGCAGAAGTAGGAGTAAGCTGCCCAGAATGGTCCGTCTCTTTCCATCTTCCCCGACCGATGTGAGCCATGCCTCGAAGGTGGGAGGCCTGCCCAGCGGCTCCAACGTTTCTGAAGCCTTTTTCTGTTCTTCAAAGTTTGAGCATTCCCAGAGAAGGTGATAATCGTCACTGGTGGCGTCCGCGTCGTGGCAGTAGACGCATTTGTCCAGTTCCGGACGAAAGTTGTTGGGGTTAGTCCTCTGCCGTCGATGGTCTCCAAATTTCTTGAGACAGGTTGCTCTAATTGCCGCTCCGGCATGCAGATTTTGCAGCCAGACGGTCTGGTGTTGGCGGAATCCGCTGCCCTCGAGTGGAATGCTGTCTTCAGGTGGTTCGCCGGCCTCGCCTGCTTTGCGTCTTGCGGCCCCCAACGGGTCGTAACAGTGGCTCGGGGCGGTGCGGGCCTTGCATTCGTCAGCTGCGAGGGATGCGCTGCCCCCGGAGCCATTGCTCCGTCAAGGGTCAGAACAAGATAGCTTCCTGACTGCGGCCCGTGGTTGGCCTTGTTGCCAGCGGTGCCCGCGTGTCCTGGTACCCACTCGACGGGCACTTACAGTGGGTTCTTTTTTTTTCGTCCTAGTTCCATCGCCAGGTGAAAGATGGCTCTCACATTGGCGTTGGCTTTCATGCGAGTTCTGCACGCTCGTACGGTCGCTGTTGAGTCGGTGAATATTCGCAGCGTAGTGGCGGTGACGGTGCCGACGTCCCCTTGTTGGTCGCGATCTCCCGATTGCGTCTCACTCGTGTCTCGAATGGCCTCAAGGACAAAGCGAAGACGGCCAGCGTCTCCGCTTTGTACGCTGATCCACATGTAGTACCTGCGTCTTTGCTTCTGGTGGGGTTGAGCAGTCGCTGCATTACCGGTCAAACATGCCACGTCAATGTAGTTGCAGCACGTCCCCTCGCTGCTGTCAGCTGCTTCTTCCCGGTGATTATACGCACACTCCTTGCGTCTTTCGGGGTGCTGTGCCGCATTCATTCTGCGAGGAAGCGGCTTGTTTGGCGTGATAGCCGCTTTCTGCCGCAGCAGAATCTGCTCTGGAATTGGTGCCGATCCGTTCGACACTCGTCGGAGCAGTTCCGCTGGGGTTCGTCCTTGTTTCGTGTGTCTGAGCTCCTGTCGGAAGTTGCGTTCTTGTTGGGTCGCATTGTCATTCAACGACGGCGACTGGACCGCCTTGTGCAGTTCTTCGAGACGTGTGCAGCGGGCAAGGCCCGGGATGCAACGCCCCGCCTCGTGTAATCATTTCTCCAGCTTTCCCTTATGGGCCGAGTTCGGTTTGTAGAATCGCACTCCATAAGCAACCTTGGAGACGTGAGTGGCCTCGACTGTCGTCTCGGCCAGCCATTCCCCGAGACCACCCGCATGCCTGGTGACTCTCCCGATGATGCATGGGCCCTGCTTCCGGGTCCCGCACATTCGTTTTATCCGGGTCGTCGGGTCTGGGCCCGAACGTTAGCGTGAACAAATTGGTAACGGTCTGATAGAAACGATTCTATCCAAGCGATTATATTAAGATCTATGTTAAGTTTACGGAGTTTATGAAGAAGCAGCGCGTGAGGAACCTTGTCGAAAGCTTTTGAGAAATCAAGAAATATGCAGTCAGTCCTGGAGCCCTAGTCAAGTGTTACGTGAAGGTCATGAGTAAAGGTTAGGAGTTGAGTTTCACATGAATAAAACCTTCGAGATCCATGTTGCGCTGAGTTAAAAAAGGAGTTTGAGTCTAGAAAATTGAAAATGTTAGTGTAAATGATGTGCTCAAGGATTTTACAAGGAATGCTCGTTAAAGAAATGGGACAAAAGTTTAAAGGGTTATGCTTATCGCCCCCTTTGTGGAGAGGGATCACCTTCCTCACCTTCCAATCCTTTGGTAATTCTCCTTGTTCAAGTGATTGCGAAAATAATTTAGATAAGATAACGCATGAGTATGTATGTGTTTTTCAAAAACTTAGCATTAATATTATCAATGCCTGCTGTCGTATTGGTTTTAAGGTTTTCAGTAACGTTAGATATACCTTCGCAGTCTATGATAACAGGAAACATGGGCAAAAAATCATAAGTTCTAAATACCAGACAGTCTGAGGTTACCGTGCATGAAAAAAATCCAACAAACACATCATTTAACAAAAAAGAACACACTTCACTAGGCACCTCCTCTCCATGGGTGTCCCTAAGTACTATGCCAGGACTAGAAGGAGGGTTAATAACTTTCCAAAATTGACGCAGATTGTTAAGGGGGGACACTACCCAGAGAAAAAAAAAATCTGCAAAAAACATTGATTTTGAAAAATTACATATTTACATCCATCTACATCCAGAGAGTATTCCCAGAAATTTTCACTAGTTTACACTGCATAGTTAATTTTTTATAAATTATTTTCTGTCCACCGAAGCTAAAGAAAAGGTAGGGTTTGGAGCACTTTGAACACATTTTTCTCCGTTCCACTTTATGGTATAAATTCCATTTTAGTCAATCTATCGTTTGATAATGGCAATACAGGGAAGACTCATTCTTCACTTTTCCTGACTAAAATTTAATAAGGAATGCGCCTATGGAGTTTGTTTGCCACTTTACGGATGTCTTTTATAAAAAATGTTGATATTTTGTCGGAGACACAGAAGACCAAAAAGATGACCAATTTTGCAGAAGAGAAAATTGATAGAAATCAATGACTTTTTACAAAACTCTTTCCATAGGCATACCTCCTTGGCATTCTGCTACATATCTAGCGAATAAAAATCTTGAATATTGTGATAGTTTTCCGACGATAGATTAACTAAACAATGTAGGGGTATGGCTGATAGAAGTTGTGCTAATTTCCTTTCCACTTAACCGACAGACCTAAAATTTTGTTATGCACCCTCTAGCATGACCACCAGCCTACCCTGTAAATTTCATTAATTTTAAGTCAAAAGTTCAAAAGTTGACCCTCCCAGGGGGTGTCTCCCCTTAAGTAACATTGACGGCAGTGTACTGTTAAAGTAATGTAATTTTGCCTCTTCGACTGCTTTCTTATACGTTAGCGTCAACATAATAGGCTTCCCAGCGTTGTACATTGTCCGATAACTTTGCAGTGCGAAATAATCGTTTCTTTTTATTTGACAGCTTTTTCATTGTCACGCTGTACCATGGAGATTCTGGTGAAGAACATACCACGCGAAGGGGAACATGGGCGTTTATGAGTGACATAACTTTTTCTTTAAATAAACACCAGTTATCATCAACTGAGCGCTCAGCAAAACAACCTATGAAGTCCTCTAGAAAACGACAAAGTTCCTTGTTGATTGAATCAAAATCAGCCCTAGCATAGTCAAAAAATGTTTTCGTCTGATTGGACTTATTGCATCCAGGAATGTTTAGCAAAAAATGTAGAAGGGAATGATCACTAAGACCAGGCATGTAAGTTAACGAGGAGATCAGCTCAGGCGATGTTGCTACTATATGAGGTCAAGCACAGCAGCAGTTGTTGAAGTCGTACGTGTCGGTTTTGTAACAGTTTGAGAAAAATTGAAATCTAAACAAAGATTCAAAAACTCACTACAATCGGAAGAGAAGTGACTAAGGTTTGCCCCCTCGTCTGACCATATTATAGATGGGTAGTTGAAATCACCCAACAGTAGAATCGGTGCATTCGGGAAACGAACAATGACTGCGTTGATCGCATCGTGAAGATTTGTTATAAACGCGGTATTGCTAGAGGAGGGCGATAACACACGCCTAAAATATATTTTTTATTTTTTAGCTGGAGACCAACCCATAATGGCTCAAGTTCTGAAACAATATTGATGTGAAACGATGGTATAATTTCTACTACTGCGACTAACACCCCGCCACCCTTTCTTTCTTCCTTGTCGTGACGATAGAAGTTGAAACGTCTCTGACAGTGCAAAATTTCACAGTTGCGTATCTTACTGGACAAACATGTCTCGCTTAACACGACAATATATCTGCGTTAGAAGTGTCCACAACTGATGACAGATCGTCCCGTTTATTCATAATGCTTCTAATGTTGGTAAAAAGAACAGAAATACTGTATTATTATTAGGCAAAGTATTGGTAGTAGCAGCCTCACCCCTCCTAGAACGTTGTGACGAAGCTGAAGCTTGATTAGGATTTACGACGTCACGTGCTGGCTGACGAGTGGAAGCACGGTTAATAATTTCGACGTTACGTCTAGGTAAATTATGTTCTGACCCGCGGGAGATTCACTGACACAGTCTGAGGCACATAGATATAGCACTTATTTCCAATGAGCAGTTTGTCGAAGCACAACTTCAACGGTAGATCCTGTGGTTTTGCAAATTCTTATAGCTTTTGCCGCACTGACGGTATGAAATCCTCACTCACGGTAAATGATGTTCCTTTGAATTTGTAGGCCTTAGAAAGTATGGTCTCTCTATCTTTGTACGAAAACATCTTTACAATTATTGGGCAACATTTTTGCTGAGAATATATACCAAGACGATGCACCCTTTCGATACACGGCGGTGCAAGTACAACTCCTAACTTCTCGAGACACTCGTCTACAACAGTCTTTTCCGGCTGCGCCCATGTTTCCTCATCCTTATCGGGGAAGCCAAAATAAAGAAGATTTGATCTGCATGCTCTGCTCTCCGCGTCATCGCAGCGTGCCCTGAGCTCCGATATCTCGATAGCAGCCGCGGCTATCTGTGGAGAAAGGCCCACGTCACTGTTAACGCTGACTGATTTCACCGTAGAAATATCACTCTCTAACTGGTTGACGCATGCAGTGAGATTACTCAGCGATTTCTCGGTGGAATGTAGCTTAGCCTTTAAGTCTTTTACTTCCTGGAGGATGTCGGTTTGCCCGGTCTGAAGTGTCAAAACTATTTCGTAAACTTTGTTGAGTAACTCCTCTTGCGCTTTGGTCATGGGTCCAGGGTTGGTTTCAATATCCCCACCAAGTAGTAGAAGCAGCCCAAATCCCACACTTTCGACATATGCAGCAACAACGCTAAACAGCTCTAGAAATTCAAGATACAACGTAAAGCATGCCTTGGGGCCTGGCAGCACAAACAAACACAAAAAGTTGCTTTTGAATTCAAAGTATTTGAACTTACTACCCTGCAACGAAACGACAAAAAACTTAGGCATCCTGATCCCACTGACGAAGTTGAGGGATGCTGCCGCTTTTCTACCCTGTGGCGCTGAGGTCGAAGTGGCTCTTGATGGTAACTGGTTGCGTTCGAACGAAAACTGCACCGTAGGGGTCACGTGCTGCCCGACGTGTCTGGGACGAGGTTCCACTCTGCTTGTTCGGAAATACCCGGGTTCGATGTAATCAGTGTCAACCGTACTCTGTGCACTGCAACTTTTTTTTTTCTTTTTTTTGCAGTTTTGGTTTTGCGTGACTTTTTCTCCTAAGTTGGGTCTGGTTACTACCCAAGCGCTGCATATACTTTTTAGAGCACAGCTCTTAGGCGCCCGTTTACAGGTTGAGCGGCGTCGCCGTCGGCATCAACGTAACCGTGCGCGTTGCATTATTGGAAGCGGGAAAATTATCCCGCTAAATTTAACAGGGAAACTGAACCCGCTAAATTTAGCAGGGAAACTTAACCCACTAAATATAGCGGGGAAATTTAACCTGCTAAATTTAGCAAGAAATTTAGCAAAAATTTTTTACTAAATGGGAAGCAAGGAGGAGGGGAGGGGGAGGAGAGGCATACCCTCCCCTCTGTACCCTTTTCTCCTCCTCCTTAAGAGCTGCGCTCTAATTTCTCCTTACAGAGAATTGTAAACGTTTTGTTTTTTTCTTTTTTTTTGTTAGGCAATATGTGTATTGCAATTGACTGAGAGTTGGCAAGAGTGGTGCGGTTTTGTAATTTAGAAAAGGATTAAGGGCTTACAACGTAGTCTTAGAAGAAAATATATTTTTTGGTGCAGGAATAAAGCTACTAATCGATGAAAACGTGACTATCTCACGTTCAAACAAATTTCCATCACAAATTGCCCAGGTGAAGATTATTACGGTAAAACCTGCGATTTATTTTCACTGACTAGATCGAAACAACGTATTGCTAATTAAAATAACTATGAATGACCGTCTCTTACCTTCTTGGGCACCTTAGTCTTTTAGTTTTACTACTACTAATAACTTCGCGAGTGCTGCCGCTTTTTACCACAACTAGTATTGCTGGTTTGGGTAGTTTACTATATCAGATTACTATTGAGTCACAGAGGGAACAGAAATTTAATCCGAACCAGTAACTCTTTTTATTATAACCAGATTTTTACTATGACGGGGAGGCAAAACTCATGCCGGGTCATCTCGTTGCAGAAGCAGCCCGGTCGGTGGAGAGCCCCAGGCAAGTGTTGCACTGCCCAGGCGGCGCGTACGTGTGAGCCGTAAAGATGCCAGCGGCGTGCTTTGGCCTTGGCGCAGGTTGGACCGCAGCCTGATGTGCACCGGCAGCAAGGGCCTGCTCACCAAGATTGTCGAGGTGCTCAAGAAGGAGACTGGCAGCTCCACGTTCAGGTTGGCCGTATGACATGGCCACCACGCCACAGCCTCGAGTGGTTACAAAAGACACGTGGCACGCGCCGGAGCACTGCACGGGCCTACAGTCAACTCTGATTAATTAAAGCTCCAGGGAGTCGGGGACTTTAGTTTTAAATATCAGAAGTTGGAATTATCAGAAATTCATCTAACTATGATGTGAGGCAAAGTAGCAATTTGCTATAGGAATAGCTACACATACCAAGCAGATTTTTTACACTTTCCTCTAGACAAGCCTATCTGCACAAACATTGGTGAAGTTCGAAGCGAATAGTGGTTTTGGCCGAATATTTTCTAAGTGAATATTGAATAGTTTCTCCAAGCCTTTCACTACCGTTGTACCATGCTGAAACGAAAATTCAGCTGAACTCGTGAAGGCTGCTCACAATTTTCCACTTCTCCACTTCTAAGCTCAGTTAGTTTTAATATAACTACCGTAAAGTTCCGAAAGAACACCCACCCAAAATGGAGAGGTAAATGGTGAAAAACATGGGGTGGGCTATCTTTGGGGTCGCCACATCAAACCTTTATATCAAAAACTAATGATAAGCACCGCCACATCAAACCATGTGACGTGGGAACTGATACTGCAGATAGCGGGCATTGCAATATTTGCGTTTTACGATGCGATGAACGTGCGGGAATTCGCTACGAAGTCCTGTGTCGCGGGAAACGATACTGCAGGGTGCGGGCACGGCAGATCCGCGTTTCACGGTGCGAGAGGACTGGAAACCCGCCGAGAACTCTCATCTCACGGGAACGAATGCCGCAAATCGCAGACGCAGCAGATTCAAGTTTTATGATGCAATATAAACAGGCAAAAACCCAGTCCAAAATTGCCTGTCATGGGCACCTCATGTGCGCCAATCGCGGACAAAAAAGTGGGAATTCGCTAGAAACTCATATTTTGTGGGAACAAATACCGCAGATTGCAAACGCAGCAATGTACACGCGGGACCGACTCGCGTGAAATCGAGATCGCACACGCAGATTGCGGACAAAATTGCGGGAATCCGCTACAAACTTTGTCACAGGAACGGATACTGCAGATTGCAGACGCAGCAGATTTCATTTCACGGTACAACATACACGCGGGAACAACTCGCCTGTTACTGGAGCCGATATTGCCTGCGGAGATTGCAGACAACAACGCAGAAACCCGCTGTAAACTCGCTTGTCAGACGTGCCGGGTCAGCAAATTGGGCAATTGATGCAATTCCCGTCGGACGTCGCTTGACGTCCGATGGGAATCGTGAGGTGGGCAATGTTTCGGAATTTTTATGTCGCAGATATTTAGCCAGAAAAACGGGATGGCAAGCTCACGGGAGCGGACACTGTCTCGGAACTTTACGCTATGTCTATGAACTGTGGCGTCAGAAAGTCCAAGGCCTACATTGGGGTGGCATGTAAATGACAGATTTGACATAAAATGAAACCTAAAAAGATGCCCAGCTTTCCTAATCGAGGGAATTATTAAATCTGCTTGCCTAATGCAAATAATCTTTCTTTAATCTCGAATTTAACCCCCTCAGAAAAATTTTAAAAAAAACAAGCACGAATAATGAAAGCAGATTCTCGGGACAGTACTCCTCGCATAATGGCTGTGGGAATTAGTCCCGTAGAGCGCGCTTCTCACCAAGCATTAGTGTTCTACGGAAAGGCAAGAGTGCAAGCTTCGTGAGTACTATCGCTTTCCTGCAGTGCACGGGTGCTCGGTGAGAAGCGCACTCAACGGGGCTATCCCGCTGCAATGAACAAATAGTACAAATTGAGCGAAAACACTGTTTGAATTAAGCAGCTTATAAATGGATTGAAAGCATAGCGGGACAGCCAAAATTTTTAAATGAGTTTGATTTAATAACCGGACGTATGAAATATACGAGTTTGAATTATCACCAGTCCATCATACTTTCCGAGGCCCGACCCGGCCCAAGCCCGCCGACTTTCGGTCTTGCCCGACTTGGGCCCGGCCCGACGGGATGCGTACCCGATCGTTCTTAGCCCGGGCCCGGCCCAATTGGTGGTGCCTCGACTGCCGAAGGCGACGTAGGTTTCGAGCTAGCAAGAGGCCAAGGCGCGGCTCTTCTCCGAAATTCGAAGCAGCCCTGAGAAATTGTCGGTGCTCTCCATCTGCTCGGGAAAAACAGCCGGCGCGTCATTCCCTGCCCGAGAGTGACGGTTGCTGCCTGGGCCGCCCAGGTTCGGGCAGAGCTCCGGCGCACGCTATACTCTGTCTCACTAGTTGCGCACAATGCCGTGTAAGCCACGAGCAGTAGGGGGAGAAAGGTCTCTTCTGCGCGATTTTGGAGTGACGAGCTACTCTTCGACGGGCGCAAAAGCGACGTCTAAGATCCATGAAAGAGGGTCTTAGTAAGAACGAGAAGGGGGTGGCGTTCCGCTTTCCCCTCCTTTCCAGCTGCTTGCTGTACGCTCTCACCCCTTCATCTTTGGTAACGCTGCACACAACCAGTGAGACAGAGTTTGGAGCCTTCATATACAATGGTCTAGCTGCCAGAGCAACGCCGCGCTTTTCCCCGTGCCGCCTCTCACTACGATTGGTCAACCCGTTATCGTGGAGACAATTGTAAGCTGGCTTAGTTTCCATGACCGTTGAATGCACCGAACAGCAGCAGTTGTGTTTGGACAGGGATCAAAGATTGTCTGTCATTGCCACGGTGATTTTCATTGCCACGGAGATTTTCTGTCAGTGCGGTGATTTTCGGGACCAAAATGCAGAGGAATACCGTTACTACTTCTGGTGTCGTGCATCTGGACCAACCCGAACGCCCGGGCCCAGCGCAGCCCATGTAGCAACCGTCGCTCTTGGGCCTTTGCCTCGTGTCATTACTATGGCAGCCAAAGCTGCCATATGCAGATGCTGTTGTGCGCACCTCTTGTCTTTTGCCACCACTTGAGGCCGGGGCACAATTACTGCTCGGGAAATGCACGAGCGTGAGTGTTCTGTCCTTGCGTTTTAATACCGTGGATGGAGAGCTGAGCACTGCTGCCATGGTCCTCTTTTAAAGGACACATGCAAAGGAAAAAAAAATTTTTTAAACAGCTTAGATGGAAAAAGGATGTCATAAAACGATTTTACAACAAAGAAAAAAAATTTTAGAGCTATATTTATGGCGCTATACGAATTTGTAGTTGGCGCCGCGGGAGCCGCCGCTGGTCACGTGGTAGGCCCGCGCGCCGCCGCCGCAAAGTCGCGCTGCCGCCGCACGCTAAGCGTTTTGCGAACGCCACTTCGACGCGTTTCTCCACGTCGCCGCCGCCGCACAAGTTCGTCTGCTTCGGGGCGCCGCCGCCGTCGTCTGACCGGCGCACAAGTCTATCATGTCTGCTTGCACCTTTTCAGTAGTTTCCTTTGGGCTCTAAAAGTTACCCATTAATCTTAGTTTTTTGTTATACTTCAAACAAAGATGAATAAGTTCTTTTAGACGCCATACGAAGCTTTCAAAAGAGCGCAAGCACCACGTGATAAATAAGGACCACCTTTCCGCGGCGCCGGCAGGCACCAACTACAAATTCGTATAGCGCCGTAAATACAGCTCTAAAAATTGTTTTTCTTCATTGTAATATTGTTTTATGACATCCTTTTTCCATCTAAGCTGTTTAAAAAATTTAAAAAAGATACACCCGCATCATTTGGACAGCTCATAGACGCTATGTTGCTTCGCTGTTTATTGTGCAAACTACGGTACAGTAGTTTTGCTATAAATCTGGAAGAATATCTTGCTGAAGTTCGCCGAGAGAACCTCCTTTCACCCGAGGGATTCTCTGGATGAAGCATTTCTGCGGCGAAAGCTAAAACGTCGACTACCTTATTTACCCGAAAATAGGTTGACCACGAAAATAGGTTGACCCCTATTTATTGAACCCACAGAGAATAAAAAAAAATAATAATTTGAATATAGGTCAACCTTTTTTTTCTTTTTTTTTTAAAGAACAGAGGAAAGTTTGGGCAAAAGAAAGAAACAAACTTGTATTTATAGCACTCTCAGCTAAATCACGGGGCAATACCAAAAACTTAATCATCGTCAGAACTTCCGGACATGTCATCGTCGTCCGAAGCTTCGTCAGCTTGGTAGACATCCTCGCAAATTCGCAACAATACCTCACTGACACCGTTGTACAATGACCACAAGAGGAAACGGAAGAAGGTGGAGACGGGCGAAGTGACGAAAGACCAAATAAAAAAGACGCGAACAACGCCCCGAATCGTTGTGAGCGACTCGCGAGCTGCCGCAAGAAACAAACAAAAGTAACCTCCGTATATTTTATTTATCTTTTTTTTTTTGGCGCGTCGGCAAGGGAGACTGGTGGAGGGCAACGTGCATGGCGCGTCGCGTTCCTCCCCTTCCCAAGCGAGGGGAATGCTACAGGCGTGAGGGCGAAACCCGGCGCCCGAGGGATGTGCACCTGAGCGGCGGCCACCGCGGGCGGGCCGTCGGCTGCTGTTGTTTGGGTTGTTTTCGTGCAACAAAAGCTTTTTGAAACAAAAAGCGGCGCGGCTCTACGGCGACGCCGGCTCGGTGACTCGATAGCTCCATGCCCCTGGTAGGGTCGCAAATTTTGGTCGCGAATGTAGGTCGAAATTTTTCAATCACGATTATAGGTCGACCTTTAATTTTTGACAACATTTCCGAAAAAATAAAAAAGGTTGACTTAATATTTGAATAAATATGGTACTTTTCAAATGAACGTAAAGTCAAACTTGACCTCCTCCAGCTACCACATTCCCGATAGAGAGGAATTTGCCGGGCCATGCCTGGTATGTGATTAACTGCATGTGAAAAAAGCCGCTCTTAGCAAGGATCTGTTGAGATTCCTGGAGCTCCCTATGACTCGTCGACCCACCTACCGTAAAATACCGAGCAAACGCCCACTCAAAATTTGAAGGTAATCGCGAAAAAATAGGGGATGGGTGCATGTGAGGTCATCAATTTGACATACATATATATGTACTGTGCATATTTTTTTTAAATGTTTTAAATTTTGGGGGTGGGCACTTAGTGCTGAATGGGCGGATGCTAGTGACAATAAACCTTTCCGGAAATACAGTTGAACCTCGATTTAACAAAGTCACCGGGACACGCTAATTATTTCATTAAATAGGGAACTCGGTAAAATCGAGAAAGGGAGACCTCGCGCATAGGCTGCGCGGGGAATCCGAATTTGGACGTTAAATAAGGAAATTCGTAAAATCAGGTTTCGTTAAATCGAGGTTCAACCGTATATGTGGTGCACTCAGCATCTGCTTTACGCATTGTGACGTTCAGATTTTTTTCGGCGCGTGAAATTGTCTAAGAAGCGAAGACGAAGTTGACGTTGGTTTAACAGTTTGTGATTTCAGAATGCAGAGAAGGCAGAAGGAAGGCAAAACAGAGTATGTGATGATCTTTTTCGTTTGCTTTTATTTATTTTGCGAGTTCCGAGCTCCTATTTATAAGAAAGATTGAATCGTACCGCTACTGCAATATACCAGGCTATGAAGCCGGCACTAGCGTAAACATCTGAACAGCCCCACCATTCCCTTTGTTGCAAGTTCTCCTTGGATTTTCTGGAAAGGTCTACAGTAAGACCTCGTTAATTTGGATCTCATGGGACCCGCAAAAAGGTCTGAATTATCTAAAAGTCAGAATATCAAAAGGACAAAGAAAACTGTGCGAGAACATTTCCCTGTAACATACCTTTATTTTGAGAAGAAATCTGTTATGAATGTCTGCTTTCTGGACGACATTTGGGCAGAGACGACAACTTTCTTAGTGCAGTCAGGTGCTCCACCGCACTCGCACTTTCAGAGCTGTGCATCCCGTGCGCTGAGGATCCACCGCAGCAAGGCTTCCTCTAGTTTCGGGCGCGCCACCTTCCGTAGCCGCTTTCTTTTCGCGTTGAACTTCTTGCTCTCGGAAGCCTGTAGGATCTCGGCCTCATTTTTGACGTACGTGGCCAAAGTGGTTCTCTTGACGTCGTATGTTCCCCTCACTTGGTGTCGAGAGACGCCGTCCTTCAAGGCCCTCAGTATTTCCACTTTCGTCGCTAAATTCTTGGCCTGGTACAGCTGCAACGGAGAAAGAGTACCACAAGTGACCGACGACCAGAGCGGCAAGATCGCAACACGTGGTGCTATTGTTTTCGAGCGCGCCAATAGCGAGAGTGCCAGTCACATTGCATGTTTCAACGCAGGGGTGGCCGACAGAAAATTGAGGGATAAGATAGCTGTTAAAATGCGGACTTTAGGAGGGGCTGCTTTCTGCTGGCCACTCCCGCATTGAGGCTTGGAACGTGACTGTCACTCCCGCTATCGGCGTGCTCGGGAACAATAGCGCTGCAAGTCACGATTTCGCCGCTCCGGTTGTCGATCACTTGTGCTACTCTTTTTCCGTTGCAGCTGTACTTCTGTTGCTTCCATGCCAGGAGACAAGCGCGCTGATGCCCGACAATCCAGAACAAAACTGGTGCGAAACACAGAGAACTGGAAGAGCGAAGAACCATGGGAAAAACCGGAAAAACCACGTGTGCACCTCGGGTGGATAGCAGTCATACCCTGTGGAACGGAGGGTAGCTTGCGCCACCAGCCAAATTCGTCCGAATTAACCGTAGTGTGCCACACTGCCTTCAAATTAATGAGCGTTTGGCGCCACTGACTAATACACACGTTTGACTGAACCGGATCGGCAGTTCAAATTATCAGAATTTCCGAATTGGGGAGGGTTGAATTAAACGAGGCTTTGCTGTATAGGAGAACACGTGCTCGTGCTAAAGGGCGCACAGACGCAAGCGCACGTGGCACTTTCGTCCTTGGGACCCGCTGACGGGCTCGCTGGGGCGTCGCAGGTTTTGGCTGTCCCGTGCCATTGAGAGCTACTTGCGAGGTTGCACCAGCAGTGCCGACCAGGACTTCCTGCTGTCTCGGGGACTGCTTCAGGTCGGTGGCTCCGTCGGCAGAGGTCCTTCCCAGAGACGTCGGTGTGGTTTTGACGGACCTTCTTTGCATTCCCGGCCGGTTCTCTAAGACTCTTCTTTCCGGTGGTTTATAGATTCTAATCTTCTTAGTAATTTCTTACTTCTCACTTAGCTGCCTCGAACATGATTGTCGTTATGCCCGGTTGCCGGTTAAGAAAAGCGGGTTGAGCTCCTCCCGGGAGTAAAGCTTCTTTCCACTTTGGCAGGGCAAACGTCGGAGAGGAGGCAACGCTTTTTCGCTTCCATTTCGGCGTTTGCTCCGCCGAAGTTAAAACTATAGCGTCGGCATTTTTGGCCGTTGTTGCTAACGTTACACCAAAGAAGCGCACAAACCACCTTCAATGCCACGGATTTTCTTTGAGAGTTTGGTTCTGCTCGCACCCAGTTGGGTATGTGAGACGAGCACCTGCCGACGAATGCGGCCGAACCCTCCGAATCGGAGGGCGGCCGGCGCCACACGGGGAGCGTCCTCTTTACTCACCACGCATCCCGTCGCAGCTGGTGGCCGGCAGCCTGGTGAGCCTCGGGGTGCGTCAGAAGGAGGTGCTGCAGAGCAGCTTCGACCTGCTGGGCGAGCTGGTCAAGTTCAACGTGCGCGCCTTCCGACAGCTCGACAAGGTCCTCTCCACAGAGGCCAAGGTGGGCTCAGCGCGGGGACCCCGCGTCCCGGGAGGGTCGCACCCCCGTTGGGGTCGTCGACGGGACGAGAACAGCCGGGATGAGTTCCGGCCGTCCTGCCTCCGGCGCGAGCGTCTGTCTTAAAGGGACAATGAAGACAATTTCGGATATTTTTTTGCTGATTGAACTGGGTTCCAGGCACGTCCCAGGCAACGTTTTCCGAATTTCAGCCGAAACCGGCACTTGTGTGCTGCACAAATCAATTAAACAGTCGCGGTAATAATTGTACCGGGATCGATTGCAGCGACGCTCCGAGAGTTGCGGGAGAAGCGGAGTTCGCGCGGCGCTGCGGTTCCTAGAAGCGCGACGTCACAAGAGACCCGTCAGCAATTGGTCGAGACGAGAGACGTGCCCTCGGTCACTTTCTGGTTCGCGATTTTTATTAACACTGTTCTAATTTCCATTTGAATAACCATGAGAAGTATAAATCGGACTGGAAATGATTACTAAACCGTAAAAAAACAGCATACTTATTTTTCTCTCTGCTACGCTGGATGCGAAACTGCCAACGAGGAACTATGGGCAAACAAAATGAATAAAAAAAAAAGAACACAGCGCGGAGCACGCGGGAGACGTCTGGTTTTGGTTTCAGATGTCGACGTCGTGTTTACTTTGGGAAGACGGTACTTGAAGGATTCTGCAAAATGGTAGTCGTGCCAAATTTGTGCATTGTAGATGGCTGTTAAAACGGTCGACTGAAGACTAGTAATCGTTCGGGCAATGCTAGTTTTTACGTGTGGGTTGCTGTTCGTGTTCTTTGACGACGAAAAGAAAGGACGTCTGACTCTGGTGAAAAGAAAAAATTGTGCTGTTTATTTTCTCCTTTTTGGGGAGCGTCCCCCCGCGGAAGAACCGGTTCCCGGAACGGGTAGCTGCTGCTTTCCCCTCGGCATCTCCTCCACGTCCCTGTCCTTCGGCAACGCGCCGCTCTCATCTCGCCTACACAAATGTTGCTCGCTGCTTTGTTGCTCGCAACCTGAAGGCTGCTCGTTGCCGGCTGGGCGATCACCGTCGGGTGATGGCGGAGGACGCCACACACATATTCCCGTTCCGTTGGTAGTAGGTCACTGAACGGAAGCCTGAACTCGCTCACGAGAGCGGCATTGTCGTCAGTGTTGACAGATCCGATGAAACGACCGTGCCACCGCGGTGCTATAACTCACCGCGGTAACTAGAGTCTCGATCTCGTAAATGCTACCGATACCGATTATTTACACTTGACGTCACACCCTATGTCACCTCCGTTTTCGGAGGCCCAGAAATGAGAATGGAGATAGTTCAGTTTTGGTTTCTTCAGTTCTTTCGTAGGCACAGAAATATGCGTCACAAATGTCTACAAAAAATTGGGCAGCATGCTAGGTTCCCAAGAAGCCTAAAAACACCATTTAAAAAAAGTGAATTAAAATCGTCTTCATTGTCCCTTTAAACGTCGGCCCCTAGCGTGCATGTGCAATCGAAACGCGGCAAAAGACGCTAGGCGCACGCCGGGGGTCAGCCGCTCAAAAGAGATGCCCTGCCGTTCTCGCCTCGTCAATGACGATAGAGAGCCTGTGGCGCTCTGCCTTCCACTGGGCTCCGACCGCACTTGCTCGAGGCAGAGCACCTGCCGGCTTCTAGAGCGGCCGGAGAGGCGAGCGAAGCTCAGAGACACTCGCGGAAGATTGACGCTTTCCTCTTCTCCTCGCACCTTGTGTCACGAGCGTTCCCCGTGAACTTTGTGACCCCGACTGAACGGTTGGAAACGCAAACTCGGGATGGGCGGGACGGACGTAAGAGACGCGTCTGTCTTTCGGTTTCTGTTCTCTCCCTAATTGTGTGTATCTTAGATCTACCGTAAAATCCCGAGAGGTGCCCCACCCCAAAAAGGTAACCCACCCCTACTTTTTGCTTGATTTGCTATTTTATTTTAAACCCCGAAACATAGCCCAGTCTCAGTAACCTTAGTGTTCGGATCAATGAGGACCTCGTTAATCATCTAATTAGCTATGGGAGGATATAAGCAAACATTACCGACTGGGAAGTACAGTCATCTTTGCTTCATTGCCTCTCACCGAGACAACAAATTTGGCAGCAACACATTTGTTGTCTCCGTGTAGGCCACCTAAAATCGACACATTTGTTTTAGGTGGCCTACCTCGGGATATACGGTGGGCACACGAATGCGTGCATGCTTGCCTAAGGCCCCCCAAAGATGCTTCGTTCGTGCTAGAGCCAGCATATATGCTAGGTTTAGCTGCCACGGTAATGGACGGATGGATGCGTATGGTTAAACCCGTCAAAACGGGCAGCAGCTTGCGACGCCTAGCCAGTGCTTTTAATTGCGACAGTTAACCTCTAACTACGTTCTTCCCCGTGCCCCTGTTGTCCCGATTGGCCGGTCCGGGGGACATGACTGCAAAAGCAGGTTCGGACATTTGCGTTTTGAGTGCGACCGGCTGTGCCACGACCACTTGTGGCCGCTGACGACGCGACGGTTAACATAAGTAGGCCTCGAAACGTCCCCAATTAGGGCTTAGCTGGAAGTCCTTTTTAATTATCGTTCTCCCCCAAACAGACAGATTTCTGTCAAACGTTCACGTTCAAGCATTCAGTTCGAGGCAGAAACAAGGGCCGCTACTATGTTCCGGCGACGCCTCTTTCTGGGAAAGTGCAATATAGTCCCAACGACGGTGATTAGCTACGGGCCCTCAAACGGCTGGGCAGGGAGAGACCGAGGCTCTTTCCCTGGTGCAGCAAAAGAAGCTGCTGCAGCTGGTAAATGGCTACCTGGTGGACTCCAACATGTTTGTGCGTAGCCTGGTGCTGTCCCAGGAACACCTGTCCAGCTCCAGCGACAAGGAGACTAGGGGTGAGCATGCCTGCCTTGTTATTTAATGGATGGAATACAAAAAACTTGGGGGGGGGGGGGGGGGGGGGGTTTAGCGCAGCAAGCATGCTGTACTCTGTTTCAGGTTAAGGAAGGCAAAACAGACTGCTCCCACAAGGCCCTTCACTCGTTTCACTTTAGCAGAGCTAACGCTGGAGAAGACGGACTCGCCTTCTTTCTTGCCTCCTCCCTGGTGTTTGCTCTGCTGATGTGGGAAGAGTGGAGGGCTAGTGGGACCTCTCTAGGGCAATTTTTTTTAGAAGCTAGGCATTTGTGTGTGAAGCTGTGGTGCTCTTCCCTAAGGGGCTTGGTATAAAAATGCAGCCAATAAACCACACTTTTATTGTTTGAATACAAAGTAGGGAGTGCAGGACCCCACGCTATCTAGTTTATATTATTAAAATATAAATATTTATAAGAGAAAAACTACTGTCGAGACCGGTTAAAACGAAATAGGAGCTACAGCAAAGCGAGCACGATTTCCCATTCCTTTTTTGCACTTCGTTATAACCGAAGTCGGTTATAACGAAATAGCGGATATAGTGAAGGGACTTCCGATTCTTGTTCATTTTGTTATAACCGATCTCGACAGTATTACCATAAATGAGGAGCACTTTCTTCGTATACTAATTTGTCAATATATCACTTTTTTTCGTTATGACTTTAACTTAATGCACAATAAAATGAATAGCTGAATTCTCCAGTAAATTTCAGTTCATAAACGTCTGGAACAGGGCATAGGAGTACTTTTACCGTCGAGCAGAAGATTCATGCAAAGTTCATAGCAAAAAAGCGAAACTGAGAAAAATGAAATCAAACATTGCGACCCCTTACTTTTTTAACTTCTCGCAATCTGCGCCCTCTGAGAGGACCCAGCAGAGTAGGCGTGTCCTTCAGCGGCCTGTTTATTTTGTCTCTTTAGGATTTCCCGCAGCATCCTCTGTTTGTGGGCCACTTGGACGACTATGCCATGTGCCTTCTGCTATGCTGCTATAGTGGCTATGTGCCTTATGCTTGGCTTTCGAGACCTTGGATTGCCCATACTTGTCCAAGTGCTGCATCTGGTGACTCCCAGGCTCTAGCCCCATCTTGAGAAGATCCCCCTCAAAGCCCTTAGGGCCCAAGTTGAACTCTAGCACTGCGAGTAGAACAGTCGTTTCTACCACTCTTCGAAACACAACGTCCCTCTTCAAACACTACCTCTAGTCCAGAGCATTGAATGACTCGTTCACATTCTGAGTCTTCATTTTGGCACATCTCTCGAGGAGGTCGTACCAGGCCAAATGGTTATACAAAGAAACCAACTCCTTTGCAACTTCCCTAGAGCAGGCAAGGCTGTGCAGCTGCGGCTTTTCCATTGCCTCCAGTGATGCATGGTGGTTGTGATGGTACCATGGCTCTTTTCCTTGAAGACAGGCTTGATGCTGGGGCTCTTCATCAGTAGAGTAAGAGTGCAGGAGGCTGCTAAACATGCTTTTCTGCATCGCCTGAATTTTTGGAGCATTCTCTTTCAACGCACATGCATAATAGTTCGTCAACTTCTTTATTATAACCTTGGTCAACTTGCACCACCCACCGAGCCTTTTTTTTTCCTCTCTCGAGGATCTCCGATGAGTTCATCCATACATAGAGCACGGAGAGGTTGGTGTATGAAAACATTCAATAATTGTTGGCTGATGGCTCACCAGAAATGGCTCCGGGCAGGCAAGGCGGCGCTAATTACTCTTCAGGAACCCAACGAAAGGCGAAAGGGAGACTTTAATGGGTTATGATATGCCAAAAATAAAATATGAGATAGCTATACTGCTAGGACCCCTTTGTATGCTCCTATAATTCTGCTAAATTCATTTTGAAAATGCCGCGATAGTTTCGTGGATAAATTGATTTATATGCATATCCCTTGGATCTGCCCCATTCGAAAAAGCCGCCGTGGCTGGGAGGCTGGTGACTTTGCCAGCCTCCCGCATGGCGTCTCCTTGCATGCACTCACGCGCTTGACTCTCTTGGCGTCTCGAGCTTCAGCTTCCTCGTTTACCGTCCGCGTTTCGAGCATGCTGTTCGTGACGATTACGTCTACGCTCGCCTTGTCAAAGTGTTCGACATTGATCGCAGGAGCGATGAGAGCGATTCTAATCAAGAAATGTTGGAAGCTGTTCATTTTGACTGCGACCCGCTGGCGACCAGCTCCAGGGACGGCGAATTACGGACAGACTTGCCATTGTCACCGTCGTCTGGGAATATCTCACAGGCGCATGCAGGGTGGAAGTTTAACGGGCCGGGGGTGAGAGCAAGGATAGCGCTCAGGTTGCCGAGTTGCGTGAGCGGTTTTGATCGTAACACAGCGAGGTGAGCTTGGGCGATCGTGGGGGTGCTTAGAATGAGAGAGCATTCATGATCACATGGTTTATGGACACCATGGTGTAACTAACTTGGGCAGTGTTACCTGGTTGCCAAATGAAAATGATAAAAATTTGTAAATTGATTATTGCAATTACCAGAGCTCTAAAAAATTGCGTAACTTGGTGTATATACTAGTAGCCTATGAGCATTCCATTTCAAGAATAATCTATTTGTTTAATTTTCGTGTCATAACCGCTTTAAGGACCAATTTCTTTTGTTGTATTCTTCCCCTCGAAGCCAGTCATAAATCCCACAAAGGGTGCCTTCTCTCCCTCTCCTGCCCGTCATGTATGTTTTTCCCTTTCGCTCTCAACCTTTCGGTTATCGGCATCCCGGCGGGCTGTCCCTTCCGAATTCTCGTCCATACGCTCCCACCCGCCTCTAAGCTCAAATGGCAGGTGGAAGGTATAAAAAAAAAAACTGGTTTCGCCTCCCTCACTCTCGCAGGCCCGTTTTGGGCTTGGTTTGGACCGCCCTTTTGGTGGTTAGGCCTAGTGCGCATTTGTTTTCCAGGTCCATCCTTGATTATGACGACAGTTGGCATATGGTTGGGCGCTTCCCGACCACATGCCAACGGCGGCTAGAAAAACGAGGACGCAATCGAAAGACCGATTTCACCGGCCCATCTTGTTTTGCCGCTGCTCCCGGCACGCTTCGTGGAAACTTCAGTCTTTCCACCTGTGCAAAAACCCCGCCGCAGGTCTGCACAAGTGGAGCATGAGACGGCGTGAGTTGTTTCGTGCGCTGCTGCCCGATTTTCGTCAACTAAACTTACGGCGGCGGCACGCACGCGTGGAACGCTTCGTGAGGTTGTGAGGCGAAAGTTAGCATTGCAGCTCGGTCTGTCTTCGGTGCTCAGACTCGCTCCCCCCGTCGGCGGCTTCAATCTCCGCGCACTTCAACGTCTTCGATAACTCGACGGCGTCCAAGGCGGAAGGGGATCGAACCAAGGCCCCTCCCCCCTCAACACGCAGACTATGCGGAGCGCCGCAGCTGCGTGCTGAGCCACATTGCGGAGCCCCGGACCCGGCTGCGCTACCTGCGCAAGCTGGTGTCCCTGGTGAACGTGTCCAGCCTGACCCAGGAGAATGTGAGCTGCGTCAACACGGCCCTGGTGCTGCTCATGTTTGCCGAGCAGCGGGGCCAGCTGGGCGACTACCTGGCCGCCTTGGGGGCCCCCTCGGGGGGCCTGCTGCCCAACCTGCTTGACCTGCTCCACTTCTGGCAGGACCACTACCTGCACAAGGACAAGGACTGCTCGGCACTCGAGAAGGTCCGCTCCTCCGTCCGTTTGTCGGTTCTTTGTCTAGCATGCTGGAAGGCTTGTGTAGGGCGTGGATTCCCAGGCCGGGTTCCAGGGAGTGCAGGAGTTCCCCAGACTACCCTTTAGGGTTCCTCAAGCTCCCGAATTTTTACGACGACGTTCGTTACGGGTTTTTCCCACTACCAGAAATGATGTTCGTTGTCGTCGTAGCTGTTAACGTTGTAGTTAGCGTTATGGGGCGTAGGGCGTTCGTCGTGATATCTCCAAGTACTCGAAAGAAGGTCATCCACCGCTCTCGGGATTCAATCCCGGGCCCGTTGCGTGCGAACCGGGCGCCTTCCGCGGAGCTACTCTGCTGCAGCTCTGTCGATCTGTTTGATATGCGGTATTTGTGAAACAAGCGCGTGCATGTAAGTCTCGTCTATACTAGGTGGTTACAGGTCAAGAATGAAGTGGAAGCTCCTCCCACCTCTTTGCACTTTATCAGAGTGAACGCTGGAGAGGAGGTCACCTCCTCTTGAGCGTTCGCGCTGATAAAGTGGAAAGAGGTGGGAGGAGCTTCCATTTTGTCCTTGTCTCAAGACCTACCATGGTGCCCGCTAGACAGCCACAGTTGCTGCGACGTGGCAACCGAAAGTTCTTTGTCATTAATTAATTCCAAATTTAATCGGAGTCAATCGTCGAAACGAAAAGCTTCGGCCAGGTGGCGAGAGCCGCCAGCCGGTTAAAAGGGCTGAGTCGTATCTGTCCACCCAAGGCCACCTAGAAGACCAGGCCTGCATATTATGTCATCGTTAGCCGATCCCGTCCCAAGCGGCGAACGCGCCAGAGCTCGACGAGAGTGCGGTGCAAAGTGGCAGACACGGGTAATAATAATAATAATCTTTATTTTCAGGAGAAACATTACCCCGGGTAGTCTGCAAGGCTAGGACAGAAAGGCAAGAGCCCGTGTGCTGGTGCGCCTGTTAGCCTTCCACCCAGGCGTCTATGCGTCGCCGCGTGGTAGTGTCTCGCTCGCCGCGAGAGGCCCAAAGTCGTGCTAGCGACAATGCCGACGCGTCTTGCCGTTCGTCACGGGGAGAACCGTGAGGTGCGTGCTCGCAAGAACGACGGCAGTCGAGAGTTTGCCGTCGAGACCCCAGGGTGCGTGAATGCAGTACCGATGCCCAATGACTTCGCCGTCCTGTGCCGTGTCGTCACTGCTATGACTGTACTGCCGATTAATGCCGGACAGCTAGTTTTTTTCAACCATCCTTGCTCCTAGAGACCTGTTCTCTCAGTTTAAGCAGTATTTTAGTAGATCTGAGCCACCCATTGATGCACAACTCTGAGACACTCGCCAGAATGCACAAGACTCTTACGATGTCTGCAAGCTTCTGCACTGCTTTATTACATCGGTGCCAAGAGTTTGAGAATACCCGGTGTAGGGCGTAAGCTCCCAAATATTTCGATTTCAAGGAATCCGCATTCGATGGCAACTGGAAAACCCCTCTCCGCGTCGGCATTGAGGCAGTGTAGTAGCCTTGTAAAAAAATAATGTGCATTTTAGGGAGTAAAGGTTCATAGTTGTGCATTAATGGGTGGTTCAGATCTGTTAAAATTAGTGTTTAAACTTGGAGAGCAGTTCACTTGGGAGCAGGGACGATCCCAAAGGTTTGAGAGCTTGAGGAACCCTTCACAGTTCCTCTGGGGAACCCCCGTGCTAGGAACCCACCGTAGAATACTGCGCATCCGCCCATTCCACATTAAGCGCCCACACTCAAATTTGTAAGATCTGAGGAAATATGCGCAGTACATTTATATGTAAAATTGATGACCGGACAAGTGCCCATCCCCTATTTTTTCGCGGTTATCTCTCAATTTTGAGTGGGCGCTTGCCCGGTATTTTACGGCAGGTTGAGAACCAGGCACATAGCCAGGATTTTGATTCGGGGTGGGAAGAGGAGGCCCCAGCAAAATGGAAAATTTTGGAGGGGGGCCCAGGCCCCATGGGCCGCCCCCCCCCCCCCCCCGGCTATGTGCCTGTTGAGAACCTCGCATGACCGCGCCAGTGACCGTGCTCTCCGATCGACAGAGCTCGCGCATCAGCTTCAGCCGCTGGAAGGCAATGGTGCACAGCCTGGTGTCTGGCGGCAGTCTGGCCTCGCCCCTTCACCACCCGGGACCCAGCACCAGGGACAGCTAGCCCCACCCGCCGGCTGCTGTACATACTCGCGCCCGTGGCCTCACGGGCGCCGCCGCCACCATTTTGACGCCTGCGCCTGCGCGCGCTGTACATTTTTCTTGATTTCCGAGATGGTCGACCTACGGAGCGTTTTTTTCGTTTTAATCCACGGCGGCCAGATTAATTTTCCAAGTTCAGTTGGTCGAAAAAGTGTATAGGCACCCGCCGTTTCCAATAAATTCCTTTTGAAAGCGATCGTGTTTCTGGCCCGACGTATCTGGAGTCACCTCGGTATGTGCCAATGCGACACGGATGGATGCAAACGCACGAACTGAAGAGATCTCTGGAAGCGGTTGGGTTGAGATTAGGGATGGCCGCGAACCCGCCAGGATTCGACTTTTCCTTACTACTAACGCACAATTGGACGAAGGTTCGTCAAAAATTACCGTAATATCCCGAGTCATCGCCCACCCCCCTACCGCCTGAAATTCATTAAAAAAGTGGGGTGGGCCATGTCTCGGTGGGTGAGCACAAACACTTGAAAAAAACCGGAAAAAACCGCCTATTTTTCTCTGCGTATCTAGCGCTGATGCACAAGAGATACATCAAACTCAAAACTCGATTTAGTTTCATTATTTTATAGAAAAAAATGCTCACGAAAGAATATTTTACTATAGCGAAGTCCGTTGCTTGCATACGCGCTAGAAACACCGCCGATCTGCATATAGCGCAAACGTTTGTTCCGTGAAAGAATGTACCACTATGTTCTCCTAGTTAGTAAAAAAAAAAAGAAAGAAAAGTCTACAAGAAAATAGAAAAACCGACCAGGCGCAACGAGCGAGCGAGCGAGCGGACCAAAGAAGCGACAAAGAGCAATGCTGGGAAAGCGGGAAAGCCGGCGGTCGCGTTGGCAAATACTTCGGCGTCGGGCCAAGTCGGGCGCCTTGTCAATTGCAAGCTCTTGCACAACTTTCTTGTTTGGTGCGTACATACGTGCGTCCGTGGACGGCGGGCTATCAATGCACGGTTGGGACGCTCCGCAAACGTCTGTGTAGGGCGTTCCAGCAAAGCTTTATTTACGCGTTGGCTTTGCCTAAAATATTACACAACTGCGGTCGCAACGGGCGGGAAGAAGGAGTGGGTTCGTGGTGACCTTACTTCGGCGGAGACAGACTTTGACCTAACACTCCGCGGATACATTAACAAACTCTTATTTTGTTATCTCCATCGTTTTCTTTTCGCACGGATACACGACCACTTTGGGGTCGCTCACGGAGGAAATGCGTAAACAAAAAGAAGTGTCTTTCCCTCCTTCGTTTTACTTTGTCACGGACGTCCTCCAACTGTAAGGTCCGCGGCCGCGTCATTCGGGTAGGATGAGTGTTCGCGGATCGCAGAGTCCGCGCTGGGGTATTTGAAGGGGTGGGCGATGACTCTGTGTTTTTTCGGAAATCGATATTGGCCCAAAAAATGGGGTGGGCGATGGCTCGGGCATGGGCGATGACTCGGGATATTACGGTAGTCCGCGCGCACGCTGAAAAACGAGCCGATGCCATTTGGCGGAGGAGAAGTGGAGCATTCGGTGACATTAACAAACTGATTAGAGCATTAAGAGTACACTTATTTACTTTTTACTGTCCAAAGATTGGTAGTCATAAGATCTAAAATAAACTATTTCATGAATTACTTATTCCCAAATAATTCGATCCTACAACAAGGATCTCACAAGCCCACCCAGCTCCACTTGGTAACAATGGCATCATTAAACTGCCCGAACATTTTTCGATTCTTATTTGATCTACAAAAAAAAAATTTAACTATATTTTAAAGGAAATGCATCGCAAAAAAAAAAAAAGAAAAGACCGCATCTCCCCGTGGTGAATGATGATGATTGGGGCGAAGCTCTGGTGGTGCTTGTCTGCGTAGACGCTGAGCCGCAGCATGCCGAGCCTTTCGTTCGTTTTCATTCATGTAAGAAAGAGAATGTGTGGTATGGAACGTGGTTATATACGCATCTAAGCATTTGACCGCAGCGCCCTCTCGTCTATAAACGTTGAGCCGATGCATGCAAAGTTTAACGCGATTATATACACATTTGACCGCAGCTCCCTCTCCTGTATAGACGTTGAGCGGCTACATGCAACGTTTCATCCATGACATCCCCAGCTCTTGAGTTACCACATCCCAGAGCCCCCTACTTGTCCTGCAGTCATGGCCGAGTGGTTAAGGCGATGGACTAGAAATCCATTGGGGTCTCCCTGCACAGGTTCGAATCCTGTCGACTGCGCAAACATTTTTTTTTTTTTTTACCCTACACGTGCACGTGAGCTCACAAGCACCGGACGGACAAGGCTAGATCCTAATGAGCTTCGCCCCTAAAAACAAGGGCAGAAAAGCAAAGAGCAAGGACAGAAGACCAAAGGGCTAAAAACAAGGACAAGGTCAGAATGCACTTTGCGGTATCACTTGGATTTTCCCCGTTTGTTGCAGCACTAGGGTTCTGCGAAGTCCCGCCTCATCAGTCAAGCTCGGCAGTAAAAGTTGTCTTTCTCTGAAATTGAGAAGAAACTTTCTAATTTTTGGTTGAGTTTTCTCGTGTGTATGTTAATGAGAAAAAATCTACTTGACGTTAGCCCTTAGTTATATCTATCTATGAAATCATTATCATAATTAACCTACAGCTTTCCTTTCCCCTCACCACGAATGAGGTCCTCCATCATCTCCGCGGATCCACAAGGGGTCAGTGAAACATAGATGGTTAAAAACCACCGATATAAGCCATAGAGCACGTCTTTATCAATTGGAGCTGCAGCCCTCTAGTATACTTTGTTTTGCCGTAACTTGGCGAACGCTACGGCCCCTTCGAGCCGATCGGAGCTACGGAAGCAAAGTGCGTGACGGCCCTTACCAAAAGGTGCAGGGGCAAGAGTGTAGCCCAAGCAGTCGGGAAAGGGGGAACTGCCCTCTATCCCGGACTCTCTTTTGTGGGTCCCGGACGTCATTGCCTTCCCTGTCCAAGAGTAGTCCGTCACTCAAGTTTGTAAAAAGCGGCTTTCCTTTCCCGGCCGTGGCTTCAACAGCGCTGCGCACAATTAACGAGACATAGTCGCGCGTCTTCCTCCAACGCAACGATTGGCTCACTGGGGTCGTACCATTTGCCAAGTTACGGCGAGAAGTAGTGAAGTGAATGTTGGCACGAACTAGAGTTGTCTAGACTACTGTCAAAGTTAACATATTTAGACGTGCCTATATGTTGAAGACGCCGGTGTAGAGGAGTGTACTCCAGAGTCTGAGGCCGGTTGCTTTGCTGCAGCTTTATTTATGTACAAACATAACTGAAGCATGGCGCGCTCTAGGTCGGTTGTTTTTAGGGATGCCGGGCAACCTCCTGAAGCTGGAGTTCGAAAGGTTTGGAAAATTTCGAACCTTGCCAAGGTTCGAAATCGAAAAGTTTGCAACTGTAGAGCTCGGCTGAAGTTCAAATTCAAATAATTAAAAAAATGTCAAGGTTTCTGAAAAATCGAGTTTGAAGATTTTGAATTATTTTTTTTACAGATTGTTCGAAAATTTCGATCATATTTAAGATTCAAGTTAGAAAAATTCGAAGATTTCAAACTTTTCGAGGTAAAAGGTTAGAAAAATTCGAGTTTTTGATCTTAAGTTTGAAATATGAAGTTCACAAACGTAGACCGAATTCCACGGTTTCGAGCTAATCTTTTACGAATTAATCTAACAAAATCTCAAAGTGTGCTGCAGATTGTACTGAAACGTTGCCCATTTCTCTTGGTAGTGCCCATACTGCTCGTTATTTGTCGTAACCTATGAAACCAGCATTGAACGGTACATCAAAAAGCCCTGGGGCGATCAAGTGAACATACTTCCTACTTATTTACAAACTAGCAGCAATCTGGTCAAACGTTCCCTAATTGCGATGCTCGCATAAGACAACTAAATGTGCGGGACAATGCACAAACTTAAAAAGCCCCTGAAAAGAAAAAAAGTTTTTTTAAACAGTGGTTGGGTTGGGGGCACCTAACTTAGTCGGTAGTCACCTCCTTTCCACTTGTTTTCTTTTCCGGCATTTCAGGTGTGTGGAGGAAAGGTCGATTGGCTTCGCCTTCACGTTGAAATTGAAAGAGTGAATCACCGTCTCGTTCAGCGAATGACCATTTCGTGACGTCATGGACTTTGCACGCAGAATTTCTAATGAATCTCTTGCCATCAATATTGCTCAAAAAATTTTTTTTCCGTAAATTTTATTTTTTGATTGGCATGTCCCAACCAGACTTAAAAAAAAAAAAAAAACTTTTTTTTTTCAGGGTATTTTAAAGGTATCCAGGCTTCCCAAAAAGTTTTACAGTTGCTCGTTCGTTTTTGGTGGGATTACCCGTGGGAGGAAGAGAACACTGAACAGAGGCACAGCACCCGACAGAAGTCAAAGCTGAGGAGAATGCAACCAGACTAAATTAGACCACACACGGCCCCCTAAAATGCAGCTGATCGAGTCACAAAACAATAGTTATCAGGCTAACCATATTGCCGCTGCCTGGAACGTTTCTTCTTAAATGAATTGAGATATTGGCCGCCCTAAGATGCAGCCGGTTACTAATGGTAATGAAGTAAGTCCCGATTCAGTGTTCGCTGTAATGCGTTAGCGTGTACCTTTCCTTGAGTTAAGAAAATCTAGGGACCTGCGTTCAAAACTAACTAATGCTATGAAGGACGCTCCACGTAAAGCGTCTCAATTGAATATCAAGCCTGCACATCAGGGATCTGTTTGCCCTCAGATTACTTAAAGGCAACCTATGAAGTTGTGTGCAGGAGAGGCGCTGTGCGGAAGTTGAAAGAAAAAGGTGCGAGGTACGAGGCCGAAACGACCCTAAAGTGATCATTCAGCACTGGTGCGATTTTACTTGCGATTTCGCAGTTGCGACATTGCTCGTGCAGCAAAGAAAGCATGGGGGAAGCTGCAGTGCCCGATGTCGCAGCTGCGAATTCGCAAGTAAGATCGCACCATGTGAATTGGGCTTGAGTCATTTCTGGCACGATCAGTTAGTAATGACCTATGCAATTTCAACTCCACTTCACGCATTGACATCGTGCATTATTTATATTTGCTGCCTCGACCCTATGGGTCGAGGCAGGAAATATAGATACTTGGATTAAACTTCGTCAGGCTTTTGTTGAAAAGTTTGAAGTTCGTCAAACTTTTAAACTTAACAGGTTTGACATTTCGAAAATTATTAAATTTTC